ATGAAGGGACCGAGGCATTTGCCGTGTTGCCACAGGACTTGTCTTTGAACCGCCTGGCATCTTCAGGGCACCAGAGTTAAGACAACAAGTCATTAAAATTGATTAAAATATTAGGTCCTTATACCATTCGGCCAAGTGCGACTTCACTGCTGCAGTACAGGACCACATGGAAGTCGCCCTGACTATAGAGGAAAGTTCCTGCTCATCTCTAAGTTAACCACGGAGGGGATCAATATTTTTCATACTGGTATGCTTGGATTTTCACAGGAAGTACAAAGATCTAAGTGCTATTCATATGCTTCACTGATCACATGAGGTAATTTGACCCTGCAATCTAGTGAACTAAATTTCTCTACTGACTATGAGAAGACAGCACAACCTCTCTCTTTCTGTCTGAGCCCGCGCCGCCCTCGTGACAAAAGCCGAAAAACTAGTTCGGTTGGTTTCCGGAGGTGAATATTGGCATTCGCATTCCGCGGCCGGCTAGTGTGACGAAGAGGTGTCTACATTACCCCGTCTATATCCTCAGCCAGAATGTCACAGGTCACATGGCCTTCTCTGACATGCAAGGTGATATATATATTACTCTCGGGGAAGGCCTCTGAAATCTAACATTCCCACCCTCTTCCTCAGTTTGCCACCTGTCCACAGCGCGAATGAACGAGCGTGTTCATGTAATGAGCTGATTGTCTCCAGCCAGACTCTTAAAATCAAACCAGGGGTGGAAAGTAGATTCACTCAAGAACTATTTTGAGACACTTGAGTATAGCCATTTTTATGTTACTTTATAGCCCACATACTCAACAGGTGGATCTGGATCTGGACTGAAAGACAATTTAAACTGGACCCTTAACAAAATCTCATTACTAACTGACCCGGACTGCCTGTGAGTAACACATTGCAATTACATAAAGTTTTTTTTAGGCCAGTAGCTGCATTTAGCTTGATGTCAGGGGGTTGGTGCCCAGGTTGCAAACGTGGAAATGCAGGAAGAGGTTGATGATGAAAATGTAAACTTAAGTCTGAGCAGAATCTAAAAGTACTGTCCTCAGAGTGCAGAGGAAAGAACCATCTAGACTGAAGCATCTACAAACGTCATATTGGTTCAACTACAAATACAGTGAAAAAGTTTTTAGACCTTAACTATAACTCGTGACAAGTGGACCTTTACAACTTCTATTGGAGTACCCTGCTTTATACTTTTACCTCACTTTACAACATTTCAGAGGGAAATATTGTACTTTTTACTCCACTGTCACCTCACAAATTCACAGATAGTCACTTCACAAATGAAGATTTCCCATAAGAAAACATACGTTCCCAAACATCTGGCCTGTAATATCATATTACAAAAATAGTGTCTGGTTGAGGCCCTTTCCCAAATTTCAGATGTCAATGAGTTCACACACACACACACACACACACACACACACACACACACACACACACACACACACACACACACACACACTGCCTAACTCTAAAGTACATGAACTAGCTTCACCTCGAGCAGCTACAATGGTAAAATGCTTCTTACAGGCTGATACATCAGAATTAACAAAATAAAAGATGTAATATATAATAGTTTATCAGCAACACGGGCCAAAGTCTTTTATTTTTGACACTTAAAGTATATTTTCTGTACTTTATTACACTTCTTATTTTGAATGCAAGACATTTTTGGATCTGACTGCTTCTTCCACCACTGAATCAAACGCTTGCATGTAACTTCTACTTAAAACCATTTGCTTCTGCTTTTAAACTCAGTAAATTCAGACAGGATCGTATTTTCTTTAGATGTTTTATGATGAGTTTAAGCGTGGTATACATAATCTATTTTGACTGACATTAAATATCCCAGTCTTGGCTGTGCACTCTTGGCTCTTTCATGCAGAGACACTGATAAATGTAGCTACAAAACTTAACATGCTGCCAAAGCGTATTATTTACCTAAGTGACGTGGGAGACAAGGCAACAAACTCTGCGAGAGGACTTTTTTTAAGATTGGCAGGCTTTCGATTTAGGGACCTAGCTTCTTTTAAAAAAGGACATTTGATGGCTTCAGCAGTAACGGTGTGATGTAATGCAATCAGGAAATGTTCCCCATAAGCCACAGAGAAACACAACCATTCTCAGGATGTGTATTTTAAGGTTGGCTCACGGTTGAGGGCAGCGGGGCCCACGGCTCCCAGAGTGGGGGTTTTGAAATGGGATGATGAGGGTTGAAACCAGGGCTCGGAGGGGAGTGTGAAGGGGAGCAGGCGGTAGGTGTAGCACTGCACAGGTCGTCTTGTGACTGGATGGAACTGAGAAACTCTGGAAATAAATCTACGTTGGCTAAAGGAGCAATATTGTACTTTTATTTGAGGAGAGCAGAGACGGTGTCTGGTGTGTGTTTGAGTGATGAGGGATGGCAGCTTTGATGAGTGATAGGGTTGAGATGGCATGATTGAAGTCTGCGTTGTATGAAAGAGGGATTTAGAGCTTGAGGTGTCATGTAGCGGGGCTGAGGGAGGGAGGGACGGGAGGGAGGGGGGGGGGGTGCAGAGGCGGAAGCTTAGTGTGTTTGGGGCCCCATGTAAAATACAAGGTGGTAGGGAGAGGAGTCAGCTCGGTAAGATAAGTTGGCATGCTGTCCTGTTTATCGGAGGGATGTGAGGCGCAGAGCAAAGGCTCAGCCAGGAAGGAATGAGCAGAGTCATCGGGCTTCTGTAACACGACGCTCCGCCTTGATTGCCTGTAGCAGCTGGGCAGCCACCGTATCTGTGCGAGCGTGTGCGTCCCCTCGTGTGTGTGTGTGAATGCATAATTTTCTGCTCAAGCGAGGCGGTTTGAGTGGGCATTACCCCCGCATTAATGTGTGTGATCAGTGGCTATCATTGTCACTGTCACCGTCCATCCAGTCGAGCTGATGGCTCAGTCTGCCTCACATGTGTGAACTCAGCAGCTCTTCAGTCTGTTACCAGCTTGTGTGTGTGTTTTGGCGATTGATGCTGCGTCTGTGTTCTTTGCGTAGTCTCAGAAAGTGTGGACACTAACATTTAGCTAAGTTGCAAGTGGATGTCACAAGGCGACATCTAAAATTTGGTTGCTTACTTACTATTGATTGATCTGTGTTTCTGAGGGGTTTCGTGGTGTGGTTTTTGGGTATCCAAACGTCCCTTGAATCAGTTGTCATGTTTGGTTAAAGCCATTTGTGTTTTTGTCTTCCAAAACATATCAAAGCCAAACTTAAAATTTGCATTTGCAAAATGCATATTAATATTGTTGCTCTCTATACATGTTCCCTCTGAACCTATTTAAGTCAAGATTTGCACATATACGCAGATCTTGTTTGATAAAATATAGTTCCAGGACAAAAGTGAACTTCTAACACACATGGAGAAGCAGTGATAACTCTTGTTTTAACTATTCCAAAGCGTATTTCAGTACATTCTACACAAAGGCCAGACAAACACTACGTTATTTTTGTCCATGAATAGCAGCAGCCTAACCTTAACCAGGTGATTTCAACTGGTTGCTAAACACATCAAAGGACGTAAGCAAATGCCACTTGGACCCAGCGTGGCGCGTCTGCTAAGCTAATAAGTAATCTGATGTACACAAGTAATGTCATGGTCTCTTTAGAAGGGTGGGAAAGTCCAAGCTCTCGTACTGAGTGCGTCTTGTCATTTTGTTACCGTCTTGACACTTTTAGGTGCTCGTGGTGCGGCGTGGCGTGTCAGGTCAGAGATGTAGGGCACAGGGCGGAGGGCAGAAACAAGTGGCGGTGATGGGTTTGGACATAGATCAAAGCAACTGAGACCTATGAACATTACCAGCACTTAGGGCACCTATGGAGACGTGGCTTGTGACCCTTCAAACCAAAGCTGTGTCTACATGTGGTCCCTCACCACGGGTTTCAAATGTCGATGAGCTTTAAGCAGTTCCCCTCTGAAGTTTTCAGATTGTGTTATTTAAATAATTATCTGAGGTTATAAAAAAGTACAAAACATTTGTGTGGCAGAACTTGGTCTTCTCTTTCTTTTGCTTAAGGAGCACTGCAGCAATTTATTCAATTAATTGATCATCAGGTGGTGACTTTTTAAATTCTCACTTAAAGTCATTTATAATGTAAAATACCCAAATTTCTCCCTTTTTTATCACTGTAAACTTAATACAGGGGTTTTTGGTTGTTGCTAAAACCAAATCATTGATAAGTTTTGGCTCTGGTGTCATTGGTATTTGAGAAATAAAAGAAATAAATATATATAATATATAATGATATATTCACTGATTTTATTTTTTAAATTTATTTTATTTATAAAACATTACAACATTATATTACAAAGTTTTTAATAAAAAAAGGAGGAAAAAGGAAAAGAAATTCACTGATAAATGTGATAAAGATTAATTTCTTTATCTATTAAACTGTTGATTATTTTATCAATTGTTTGGTCTAAGAAATCTAAGAAAATAAAGGAAAATGATTGTTATAGTTTTCTAAAGCTAAGGTTGATGACTTCAGATGTGTTATTTTGTCTGACTCACAATCTGAACCTTGAAGATCAGTTCAGTTCAGTTTACATCACATAAGACAAAGAAAAGAAGCAAAAACTCATTCTCAAGAAGCTGAAGCCAATGATTTTTGACAGAAAAAATTGTGATTAATTGATTATTTTTATTTTCTGTTGTTCGACTAATCAATTAATTGTTGGAGCTCTAACACATTACATTCCATATTTGATCCTGTAGTAGAAACCTTCTTTCGTGAGGACCACATTTGGAGGAGTCATAAATGGTTGATGTGTTTTCAAACTTTTAAAATCAAATCAAAATGTTAATGTCGACCTGAAAATGGTAAAGGTTTGGGGTCATGGCTCGATGTTCTGTCTGCATGCTACAGCCAGCTTAAAGCTCTGGTTGGTAATGCAGAATTTTTCCTGTATTCACTGATTTGTCCTCCCTCCAGCTTCTTCTAGGGAAACCCTGGTGAGGCGGTATCCCTTCGCAATGCGAAGATGGCGACCCTGCACCCTCCCCCAAGCATCTATGCAGTCCGCCCCTTCACCCAGAAGTCACTGGCGGAGATCGAGAGGCTCAAGGAGGAAAGAGAAAAGGCCGCAGAAGTAGAAGTAGGCCAAGAGGAGCAAGAGCCAGCAGCCCCGAATGCTGACCTGGAGGCGGGCAAGAACCTGCCTATGATCTACGGAGACCCTCCACCAGAGCTGCTCAACACGCCTCTGGAGGACCTGGACCCCTTCTACGAAGCACAGAAAGTCAGTCTCAGATCATCTGGGCGATAAAAATCTCTGCTGAAACACACAACCACCGTGCACACTTAGTATTTAATGAGCTTGACTCTGTCCTTACATAACCTTACATTACGACAGGATGTATTACTCGACATAAATTTCTGTTATTACAACCGCATGCACTATCCCTTACGAAACATATACTGTGTCATTTATGGTATGCATATGTTACGGTTAGTTTATTATTTCAAGATTGTCATCACTTAAGTATTTATTGAAATGTTATTTTTGGACTCACTTGCATTTATACAGATAATCCTTGTGTTTTTCAGACATTCATTGTGATCAGCAAAGGAAACACGATCTACAGGTTCAATGCTGAACCAGCTTGCTACATTCTGAGCCCCTTTAGTTTGGTTAGGAGAGGAGCCATCAAAATTCTCATACATTCATATCCTTTCAACTATTGTCTCCTGAGCTTTTGAATTATTTAGTATATTAAAGTTTAAAGGGCTGGGACGTTTGCTTATACTGTACATATATTGTCCATGTCTGTTTCCTTAATCCTGAGTTAAATTATTTAGCATGTTCATCATGATTACGATTCTCTCGAATTGTGTATTCATGACGATGAGCAACCCACCAGCATGGAGTAAAACCGTCGAGTGAGTACTTCATCATTTTCTTTTGGTTTTCAATAATTCCTGTGTTGTAATTATTTAATTCTCCTTTTCACGGTGCATCATTTCTGTCTAGGTATGTTTTTACTGGTATTTATACCTTTGAGGCAACCGTCAAAGTGTTGTCCAGAGGTTTCTGTGTTGGACCTTTTACATTCCTTCGAGATCCATGGAATTGGCTGGATTTCATGGTGATCAGCATGGCGTAAGTATCTGAGCGCACATTTATCCAACCATGAAGTCATGTTATAATTCAGGAAAATTGTTTCAGATTTTCTTATTATGACATTAAATCAACATTTTTAGTAAAAGTAAACAGAAGTGAAAAAATGATATGAAAGCTGTTTATACTCTGTGATATTGTGCAAATTAGTGTAACCATTTGTGCATTTTATATTAACAGTTCTCATGAATGCTTGCAGCCAATTCAAATAGGAAAATAAATAGATAACATTTGGGTCTAATCTGGCTGTTGGCTTTATGTCCTTCCACAGATACATCACTGAGTTTGTTGACCTTGGCAACGTGTCGGCCCTCAGGACATTTCGTGTACTTCGAGCCCTCAAAACAATTACTGTGATTCCTGGTATTTTTAATATTTAATATACATCTATTTGAGTGTGTGTTTGTGTGTGTGTGTTTGACTGAGTATATTATGAGTGTGTGAATGAATATGAGTGTGTAATTTAAAGGAGAAAGTATATGAAAATTTGATGTTTTCATCTGATGAGTCTATGACATTACATTTTGTGATTATAGATAAATAGGGTAACTGTACTCAGTGTTACATGAATAAGTTGCAATATTGATTATCATTTGTTGTTGCAGAGCTGTATGACGTTCAATGATATGCCACTGACCCATATTACTTGCGTTTGGTCAGGTTTGAAAACCATCGTGGGCGCTTTGATCCAGTCAGTAAAGAAGATGGTGGACGTCATGATTCTGACCGTCTTTGCTCTCGCAGTTTTTGCCCTTGTCGGCCTTCAGCTTTTCATGGGAAATTTGCGTCACAAATGTGTGCGGTGGCCTATTGAATTAAATGAAACTGAATTTTTTAACACCACATCAGCATTCAATGACACCATGTCCTTCAACAACACCATGGGCGGAAATTATACAACGTATTCCAACGGTACCTTCAATTTTATGGAATACATAGAAAACCCAGGTATGTTTACCATGTATAATGCCTCTTAGTAAAGCTTTGAGATTTTGTCCACACTGGAGTAGATGTCACTGTTTCTTTTCTTGTTTTGTTATAGATAATCACTATTATTTGGAAGGCAGCCTAGATGCTCTTCTTTGTGGGAACAGCTCTGATGCTGGGTATGTATTATTATGAGCCCACCTTGCTAATTTAGTCCAGTAGATCTGAACTGGTTATCTTCCAGAGCTGTTTACATCTTTGTTCCATAACAATTTCAAAAGTGTCAGTGTAAAAATGTATCTTATTGACATTGTGCGTTGAAAGTGATTTGGGGGAGCAATCGTAGCACACTGACTCTTCTTCCCTGTTGATAGAAAGTGCCCCGAAGGATACACATGCATGAAGGCTGGGAGGAACCCCAACTATGGCTACACCAGCTTTGACTCTTTTGGCTGGTCCTTCCTGGCCCTCTTCAGACTCATGACCCAGGACTACTGGGAGAACCTTTTCCAGCTGGTTGGCCCTTCTTTCATTTGTTAAAAAAAACAGAATTACGAACTCTAACTTGCAACCTTTTCATTTCAGTTAAAGTTGTGAAAAGAAACTTGTCCTTAGTTCTCGTAGCTTCTTTTTTGCTTCAAACACAGATCCTGCGGGCGGCTGGTAAGACATACATGCTGTTCTTTGTGGTGATCATCTTTCTGGGCTCCTTCTACCTCATCAACCTCATCCTGGCCGTGGTAGCCATGGCGTATGAAGAGCAGAATCAGGCAAGTCAGCGAGAGGCCATAGAGAAAGAGGAGGAGTTCCAGCGGCTACTGGAGCAACTCAAGAATCAAGAACAGGTAAGGAAGCAACCATCCCATAGACTGGATCATTATCTATACTGACCTTACTGAGCAGATCGGGTATCAGCCAGGTCATGACGATCCACAGTAAATACAGATTCTCAATTAATTCAATTAGTCATTCAATTGATCAGTATTTGGTGTCGACCATATGCCTGAGTTTAGGTATTGGAATCATACAGTTACATTTACTTTGACATACATGGTCACAATGTCTTCAAGTGCAGGCTTTTAGAGCCAATATAACAAGTTAAAACAAGTGTGTGTGTGGTTGGTATGAACCAAATAAATTATACTGTGTGCTGTAAGGCTGAACCTTGTACCAAACAGGCTCAACTTGGGAGCCGAGCCACTCTAATCAGTAAAAAGACGCTCAGTCATCACACATCATCTGAGTTGGCTGATGATGAACAGAGTCTTGAACAGGACAAATTCATCAAGGATTGTAACGGGAGAATCATTCCCCATCTGCTCATCAGAGCACCCACCATGGATGAGGTGAGTCCGCTTAGTGAGGTTTCTTTATGAGCTTGCGACTGATAAATCTTTATTCGCGCTAAAAGTTTATCAACTTTATATTTTACAGTCTGCTGCAGATGACGAACTCAGAGAGAAGTCACTGGGCTCTGCGCACAGCATGCTTCATGTGGAAGAATCAGGCCTGACACAGAGATCTGCTAGTGCTATGACTGTGCTCTCTGCAGCTGCTATGGAAGGTACAGTGCCAATGATGATAGAAACTTCACACTGATGATGCATCGTCTAATGTCATACAGAATCCCTAGATATGGAATTTAACTATGAATATTCTCAAGCTTTGATTATACTAAAACAAGTAGATGATACAACACTATAAGGCCTATTTCAGGGTTCTGTTTTATGCTAAGCAGCAGGGCGCAAGTATCTAGTAGTGAGTGTCAAGTGCCATCAGTGAATGAAGAAATACACAAGGCTTAGTTGCTGGTTCATAGAAGCAATGCTCTAATGTGAGTTCTAATTGCTTAGATTATCAAGCAGTTGTAAACATTATACACTCATTTCTCCAAGGCTAATACAGTAGCATTGTCTAGTTGCCATGGTCAGGCTAATCACATTGTGTGCAGGAGAAATCCCCGTCAGCTTTCAGTGTCGCACCCTCACGGTGTTAAGCTTGGGCTATTTCAGCTCAGCTATGACGTGGCCCAGCAGGATTCTGCTAGCTGTATCCTTATTATCACTTAAAGATAACACATATACTTCGATAAAACTGACGGCAGGCTACCTAATTGTTTTTCCTCTGCCCTTCTGCCTTCGTCTAGAGTTGGAGGATTCTCAGAGGCCGTGCCCACCTGGCTGGTACAAGTTTGCCGATATGTTCCTGAAGTGGAACTGCTGCACGCCCTGGGTGACCTTTAAAGAGTGGGTGCTCTTTGTGGTGATGGACCCCTTTGTCGACTTGGCCATCACCATTTGCATCGTGCTCAACACCCTCTTCATGGCCATGGAGCACTATCCCATGACCCCGGAATTTGACAACATGCTCTCAGTGGGGAATCTGGTGAATATGGGCTGCATTTGATTTGAAATTTCATTGCAGAACCGGTCCAACATCTAAAGACTTGATTTTTGTCAGTTCTTGTAAAAGAAAATCTTTACCTCTTCAGGTTTTCACCGGGATCTTCACAGCGGAAATGTTCTTCAAGCTCATCGCCATGGACCCCTACTATTACTTTCAAGTTGGCTGGAACATTTTCGACAGCATCATTGTCACTCTCAGTCTAGTGGAGTTGGGTCTGGCAAATGTCCAGGGACTCTCTGTGCTCAGGTCTTTCCGTCTGGTGAGAAACATTATGATTAATTTATTTGTGTCCATTTACCACACTGATGACAATACCTACGTCATTCACTGTCTTTGTTTGTGTATGTGTCCTGTGTTGGAGATAGCTTCGTGTCTTCAAGCTAGCCAAATCCTGGCCCACACTCAACATGCTGATCAAAATCATTGGTAACTCAGTAGGAGCTTTAGGAAACCTGACTTTGGTGCTGGCCATCATCGTCTTCATCTTCGCCGTGGTGGGCATGCAGCTTTTTGGCAAGAGCTACAAGGACTGCGTGTGCAAGATATCCTCAGAGTGCGAGCTGCCGCGCTGGCACATGAATGACTTCTTCCACTCGTTCCTCATTGTGTTCCGCATCCTGTGCGGAGAGTGGATCGAGACCATGTGGGACTGCATGGAGGTGGCCGGAGCTGGGATGTGTCTGGTTGTGTTCATGATGGTCATGGTCATTGGAAATCTTGTGGTAAGTGCAACCGTTGATATACTGCCAGATAGGCAACTCGGTGTTGTTGAGGGTGTGTTGCTGCAGGAGAAAAAAAAAAGTGCTTTTGTGTACTTCAGATTACTGATTCAAAGCAGAAAACTGTGTTAAACTCAAAATTCAAAGTCCTACGCTGAGTGTTGTAGAAGTTGCACACACACTTTAGTTTCAAGTGTGAATTTTGGTCCTGCCTGTAAGTGTTAAAGTGAGGCCAAAATTTGTACATTAACTTGTAATATAATCTGTGTGTGTGTGTGTGTGTGTGTGTGTGTGTGTGTGTGTGTGTGTGTGTGTGTGTGTGTGTGTGTATCTGTGTCCATGTGCGACTCTAGTGTCACTCAGTGTGGGCCAATACAGTGTTTCTGCTTTGAATCTGTACTTGGATCTTTGTGGACATACAGTACAAGTTGTGCAAAAATTATATCAAATTGTCCACTTGTTATTTCTCTGTTTCTCATCGTTTCTGTTTTATTTTACAATTAAAGTAAAAATGAAAGAAATTATTCATATCTACATGCTCATTCCTGAGCTCACAGATGCTGCTGCTCGACTGCACAAGCAAAATCCAAACTGAGCAACTGGCACTGCTGTGAAGCTGTAAAGCTGACAAACCGTTTTGTAAAATCTTTCTAAATCTAACAGTTATCTTATTATAATGCCGGGAGATTTTGTGGTCTGCATGTCTCAGCAATCTATTGTTGACCTCTCAGCTGAGGGATGGCGAGGACAGACAGACACAGCTGGGGGGAGAAAATGTTTCCATCAGGGGGCATTGCAGCAAATTAGTATTACAGTACGAGTGATAACCTTAACACACAAGGCGGAGTACAACATGTTTGGCATGTTTTTGTGGTTTTGGGGCATCAGAGTTTATTAGAATCAGTGAAAAGATGTTCACAGATGTAACTGTTAGATTGAGCTGTACTAACCTTTAGACAGCGTCTGGGTGAATTTGTGTGAATTTGTTTAGTGAAGAATCCTGAATGTCTAGAGCATGACAATATTGTGACCCTGACATTTTATCTTGGCTTCACAGAACAAGGCCATACAGATGATCACTCTCAGACATCGTTTCGGCATCGTATTTAATGACTAGTGCCAAAATCATTTCCTGTAAGGTTATTCATAGAATCGAAAAGGAAATGGCTCATCGTCAAGTGCTGACAAAAGTGCTGCACTGACCGCACTGTGCCAATATTATCATGCCTTTTTTGTGTCTCACACTCTGTGCCACCTTCTCAAACCCTCCACCCATACACCACTGTACATTCATCTGATGCATGAATGCTCTCACCCTCTGCACTGACATGAAGGCAAATAGTACACTTAAACACTTCATGGGTGGGTGGGTGGGGGGGGTTCTATTTAAATCAAATGACTTGTGCCACCAAACAGTGGTTTTGACCTTGGGTATGTGCTAAGATCCGGCTCAAGTAAGCATGCTGCCACTGAGGGAACAAACACAGACAGCTGAGAGAGCAGAGCTCAGGTGGCAGCGGGACTGGGTGTTAAGGAAAAGTCATTTGATAGGGGATTGAACCATAATTGATGAAGAGGTAATAATACTGGGCCATCAGCACTACAACATATGGAGCAGAGTAGATTTAACTTGCATGTTTAGGGACATGCTGATCATTTTGTTCTGATTATCTTTTCTCTTAAGCCCATTCATGATCAACAATGCTCCTGAATTCTCAAGAAGATCTCATTGGATTCTTTATTGACTTTCAGCATCCTCGTTTTTGCCTTTTTGCAGTCATTATTTTGTACAATTTTAAGAGTTAAGACGATCATTTTAAAGAACATGAGGAATTCTTTGTGAAAGCTAGAATTCAACATTTTCGAAAATATGCTAAATTGCTTTTTTACCCAGAGTTTGAACCCAAGTCCGACCTGCTATGGTTAGGACTAAGCCCATGTGGTATGCGCTCTACATAGTGAGCCACCAAGGGGCCCTACACTTTACTTTTTGTTTTTGTTTCTTGTTTAAGAGGATATTACAGTTTAATTAGAGTTTTTTTTTTTTTACCTTTGGACAGTTCCCCTGTTTACAGTCTTTTATAAGCTAAACTAATGTAACTGGCTGCTGGCTGTAGTTTCAGAGTTTTACTGGCTCCTCTCGTCTAACTCTCGGCAAGAAAATGAACAGCCATGTTTCTCAAAACGTCAAATTACCTAAGTGATATTTCTGTGAATGTGGGAGCAATACCTTGTGCAACACTAATACTGAAAACACTATAATAGACTATATATCAGGCTTGTGGTGCGTGCAGCTCATCCTGTCTCCTCAGCCCTCTTTTACTGATTCACAGCTCCTACACTGGCATGAGAGAGATCAGCCTGCCACTGGCCCTTGTAACCATGATCTCCCGCTAAACCTGGGAAACAGGAACCGAGAAATTGACTAACAGGTTTAAGAAACTAAAGATAGCCACGTCTGCAACAGGAGGCAGACGACATAATATTTACTGATGCATCATCACAGCCCCAATTTGATATGTGATGTGTATTTGAGATAGTCCAGACTGTGTTTAGTTCAGGCAATGTCGGCACACTTTGACCCTGCGATCAGTCACTATAAGCTTGGGGATTCATATGGGACTATAAAGTATTCACTCACTCTCAATTGCGGAAAAAAAAATTCATGATAATTTTCATTATTATGTAATTATAATTCTTATCTACTGATCAAAAATATAAACATTGATAACATAATGTATCTGTATATTGTGTACATCTTTTATGATATACAGTTTTTGTTTTTCACATCAAGGTACAAGGTGTTGAAATTGTGTTAATTGTATACTTCATACAATTTTACTGTGTATTTTTCATTACCTTCATGAGTCCTCCATGTTTCCTTCCTCAGGTGTTGAACCTCTTCCTGGCCTTGCTGCTCAGCTCGTTCAGTGGAGACAACCTCTCAGCGGGAGACGATGACGGAGAGATGAACAACCTGCAGATCGCCATTGGCCGGATCACGCGGGGCATTGACTGGTTCAAGGCTTTCGTCGTTCGAACGCTCCTGCAGATTCTTCACAGAAAGCCCAAGGAGCCTGAGGAGGGTCCAGTGGACGAAGCGGACCCTAAAATGGAGGGAATTGAAATGAACCACTTGGAAACCAGTCAGAATTTCAAAGCGGCAGATGGAATAGCTAACTGTGTAGTTGAAGGCCGGCCTGCTGGATTTACTGTGGATGGAGAGCTCAGTCTCAATGTGCCAATTGCCCAGGGAGAGTCAGACTTTGAAAACCTGGGCGAGGATGATGATGATGATGATGATGATGAAGAAGATGAAGATGATGCTGATTATGATAATGACTTTTCATCTGAGATTTCAGATGAACAAAATGACCAACATAACACAGTAAGAAAACATCTATCTATCAATCTATCTATCTATCTATCTATCTATCTATCTATCTATCTATCTATCTATCTATCTATCTATCTATCTATCTATCTATCTATCTATCTATCTATTTCAAAATGACATTTAAAAAATATAAATTGGGTTTTCTGAAGACAGACTGACTTCTCTAATTGGCTTTCTCGCCTTGATGCTCTGTCAATCATCTCATCATATTAGCACACTGACATTTTAACACATACAGTATGCTTAACCAATCAGGATGAAATTACAGAGCAGTATTTCACCTTCTTTCATGACACTGGCACAAGCAGAATGCTATCTATCATCAGACAAACTAAAAACCAGATTGAGCGTGAACCATCATACACAAATGATGTTCCTCCTACACACCTTGCGGAGTATGAAGCAAGGGATGATTCAATGCAATGCTTTGATTTATTTATTGTGTAGTAAGGACACAGTATGCTAGTTTTAGAAGATAAAATGTGTTGTGAATGCGATAGATCTATACAGAGCCAAATCTAAAGTGGGAGGTTTGATGGTAAAAATCAGTTTTGGTATTTTGCTATCAAAGCACTGTAGGCATGCAGGCCCACATCTACACAGGTGTTGACAGTCTGTGCTTGATGGACATTTCACTCATGCTCTGTTAAGCTTTGTTGCATCTATTCGGTTAGAAAGCTTAGACCTTTCCTTTATCAAGGCCCGTTTCATCACTTAGCAACTCACTGTAGCGTCCAATCTGTTGTAATATGATTGTCTTATTGGTTATGAATGTTTAATGAAGTTGATTCTCTTTTGCTTTATTCCAGGAAAACTCAGAACATGGAAGTATTATGCCAAGAAATGCCAAAGTGAGTAACTGCCTCCAAATCTGCAAATGTATGAACAAAAGCAACCCTTGTTTACATTTGAAATTGAATTTTGTCTTGTACTACTAGCCCATACACAAATGTAATGTATGTACATATATTGAATTTCTATATATGACATATATGTACAAATAAAATAAAAACATATGTAAAAAAATATATGGAACCTATTAGAAGCTGGAACTATTTCATGTTTTTACATATATTTATAGCCCATACAAAAATGTATGTTTATGTATGTATGCTTTTGTTGTTGACATATGTTACATAAATATATGTCCCTCCCAAAGCCTGTCACTATATGCTGATATTATATACAGTAGGGTCCAAAAGTTTGAGACAACTTTCGCAGAATGTGAAGATACATTTTTAAAATTAATAAGAAATTATTGAGAAAAAACATATGTAAACATATAGACTTTTTATGTAAATGCTGTTTTAATAAACTTACATATATAAATCAAATTAATATCATTAACATACATGGTCGCAACATCTTATACCAAATAAAAATTCATTGTATAGACATTTTTTAAATATATGTGTATATATATATATATAAATATACCTATATTTTACATGGTAACTGATTTGCGTTTGTGATTCTCGAACAGCTCATGGGTGCTTTGACTGATGGGGATTCTTCAATATGCAGCACAGTGGACTATCAACCACCTGAGCCTGAACCAGAAGAAGTGGAAGAAGAAGAGCCAGAGCCAGTGGAGCCGGAGAGCTGCTTCACTGACAGTATGGACAACCTGTAAAACAGAATCAATTAATATTTTTTATTACCAGTGTTCATGCTGTTGAAATCTTTTGCAGTAATGCTAAACCCTTCCTCTCTCCTCAGACTGTGTGAAGCGCTGGCCATGTCTGACTGTGGACATCACCCAAGGCAGAGGCAAGAAATGGTGGAACCTCCGTAGGACTTGCTTCACCATTGTGGAGCATGACTGGTTTGAAACCTTCATAATCTTTATGATCTTGCTCAGCAGTGGAGCTCTGGTAAGTGCTGTCACCAGCGCAACAAATTTAGAAATGTTGACTGTTTTTATGATAGCATTAAGACACTCTAATACCGTTTGGACATGTATCTAGGTATCGAATGTCGTCTTTTGGCAGGCCTTTGAAGACATAAACATAGAAAGACGCCGAACCATCAAAATTATTCTGGAGTATGCTGACAAAGTTTTCACCTACATCTTTGTCATCGAGATGCTCCTTAAATGGGTGGCTTATGGCTTCAAGACTTACTTCACCAACGCCTGGTGTTGGTTAGACTTTTTCATCGTAGATGTAAGTTTTGATGTCTGGTTTCAGTGCTGGCCTCTATGTCCAACTTTCAACAGAACATGCATACAATCATTTTTTACGTCAGATAAAGTCTGTGGTAACACTTGAATAGGAAATGTTTTGATTCTGCCCCAGGTCTCCCTGATTAGTTTAGTTGCCAACTGGATGGGCTACTCTGACCTTGGACCAATCAAATCCCTCAGAACCCTCAGGGCACTAAGGCCTCTCCGAGCATTGTCGAGATTTGAAGGGATGAGGGTAAGTTTTTTGGTCCAACATTTGAGCAATGTGCATGGCTAACATTGATTTCCGAATGTTTAATGCATTCTTGTACTAATATGACCAGCTTTTCCCCATTATGTTTGTTGTATGCATGCTCACACCATGGCTGCTTTAACAGAGCTGACTGAGGTAAGAGTATCAGCAATGACTGAGCATCGCATTGACGCATACCAAGTTTGTTCAGGCTTACAAACAAAATACATAAGTAAATAACTCCATATAATTCTAACAAAGTTCTCTCTGTTGGGCAGGTGGTGGTGAACGCTCTTGTCGGGGCGATTCCCTCCATCTTCAACGTGCTTCTGGTGTGTTTGATCTTCTGGCTTATCTTCAGCATCATGGGAGTTAACCTGTTCGCCGGCAAGTTCTACCGCTGCATCAACACCACCACAGAGGAGCTCTTCCCCATGACAGAGGTCAACAACAGGAGCGACTGCATGGCCATCAAAGAAGCCACACAGGAGGCACGCTGGGTCAACGTCAAGGTCAACTATGACAATGTTGGGAAAGGATACCTGTCCCTACTTCAAGTGGTGAGGGACGCTGATGGGGAAAGAGGCTTAAGTTGCTTTATACAGTGAAACACATTTTGAGACAATATTCTCTGTATTTACAGGCTACTTTTAAAGGTTGGATGGATATCATGTATGCTGCTGTTGACTCAAGAGAGGTAATTATTTACAGTCAATTCAGTACTGAAACATAATATATACAGTTTGGTCGCACTACACAACCTTATTCTGTAATTCTTTATACGTGTACACTTTGTTTTTCCAATGTTGTACAATATGAATTAATATTTAGGAAAGCATCTGAGACAAATATTACTCTCTCATTAGCTTCACATATGGATGTGTTGTATATTTTATTTTTCAGAATAACTTTATATAATATTTGAAAATGAAGATTTAACAGTTGCATTTAAGATTTATGATGAATTATATGTACATGTCAAATTTAGATTTGCCTTTAAAAATTGAATTTAGCAGTATTTACTTATCGTTGAAATCTTTAAGGTTTTTAGTAAAACTGACCAATACCCAATTAATAAAATAGTAGCAAAGATTTACTCAGAGTAAAATTTACTTTGGTTCTTCTCTAATCAAACCATGTCACTAACCTTTCAGACTTCACAGAGGTCAAGGAATGTAAATTATTTGCAAACTTTGATGCTCACATAACAACATGCATAACACATGAAGAGAAGTTGAAAAGCAAGACTGATAGCTCATTTTGCTTATACTGACCAGGTTTATTGATATGTTGATTGACAATGAGATAGTCTGATCGGTTCAAGTGCTAGCCTCACCGAAACAGAAAAGAAATCCCAACTGTAACTTCTTTGCTAAACTAAACCACCATTTTAGCAAACCAAGCACAGTCCGTATGGAAATAATATCAGTAAATAATCCAGCTGCTTTGCCGTCGGCTCATGCATCATATTTTCCTTCCCCCTACTAACACCATCCTGCACTTTAAGTTAATTGAATATATATGTAATATATATGTGGCAGATGGTGATGGTAAAGTGAGTCCCCTGTCTCTGGATCAACAAGTGTCCCTGCTGACTAGTATCAAATTCCAGTTTAACCTTTTATCCTGTGTCTTCTCCACCCTGTCTCACAATCATCTTTCTCAATACACTTAAAAATTTAATAACAGAGAAAGGATTTACTTTCTCTTAAACTTTTTTCTGTTGATTTGAATGTTTTGTTCCTTTTAGGTAGAGGAGCAGCCTTCGTATGAGATCAACCTCTACATGTACATATACTTTGTCATCTTCATCATCTTTGGCTCTTTCTTCACACTCAACCTCTTCATTGGTGTCATTATCGACAATTTCAACCAACAAAAGAAAAAGATAAGTATCACACTTTTTATTAAGAAGGAGTCTGCACCAATACGCAAGTGAAATGTTGTAACTTGATTTAAATACCTATAATAATCTTCGTATTATGTTGTGTCTGCACTTTGGAGATAAGGACATATTTATGACTGAGGAACAAAAGAAATACTACGAAGCCATGAAGAAACTGGGTTCCAAAAAGCCGCAGAAGCCAATTCCACGTCCGACAGTATGTTATTAATTTACAGCTGCATTATCATTTCAGTTACTGACAGTAATATTAGCAATATGTGTTATATTGTTTGGGAAAGATTTAATACTAATTACTATCTACATTGTTTGATGTTGAAAAGTATGAACGAGTTAAACCAAAGTAATTACACATCAGCTCGGCATGCATGGCATGCATGGCGATGTCATCAGTGACCCCTGCGCCAACCTTTTCTGCACGCTGCTGGTGTGAACAGGCCAAATGACCCTTTTGGGTTTGTATTCCCCAACCCCCTCTCTCTTCCTTTGACCTGCAGAACCCAATCCAGGGCATGGTGTTTGACTTCATCAGTCAGCAGTTCTTTGACATCTTCATCATGGTGCTCATCTGCCTCAATATGGTGACCATGATGGTGGAGACAGACAATCAGAGCGCGGAGAAGGAGGATTTCCTCTTTAAAGTAAACGTGGCTTTTATTGTCGTCTTCACCGGAGAGTGTGTGTTGAAGCTTGTTGCCCTGCGACAATACTTCTTCACCAATGGATGGAACATTTTTGATTTTGTTGTGGTCATCTTGTCAATAGCAGGTGGGAATCTAATACATTATGGGCACAGTTTTGAATTACATTGCTTGGACATTGAAAACAGACATTAGATGTTCATATACTCTCTCTGATTATCGTTTATCTCATTTAATTTCAGGTACAATGCTCTCAGACCTGATTGAGAAGTACTTTGTGTCACCGACTCTGTTCAGAGTGATCAGACTGGCCAGAATAGGCAGGATTCTCCGTCTTATTAAAGGAGCAAAGGGCATTCGGACGCTTCTCTTTGCTCTAATGATGTCACTTCCTGCCCTATTCAATATTGGTCTCCTGCTCTTCCTCATTATGTTCATCTTTTCCATATTTGGCATGTCAAACTTCGCCTATGTTAAAAAGGAGGCTGGAATCGATGACATATTTAACTTTGAGACGTTTGGCGGCAGCATCATCTGCTTGTTTCAGATCACAACATCAGCAGGCTGGGACGGGCTTTTACTTCCAATGCTGAACAGGGAGCCTCCAGACTGTGATCCAGACTTCGAGAACCCAGGCACGGACGTAAAGGGTAACTGTGGCAACCCGGGTATGGGCATGATGTTCTTCTGCAGCTACATCATCATCTCATTCTTAGTGGTGGTCAACATGTACATTGCCATCATCTTGGAGAACTTCAATGTGGCGCAGGAGGAGAGCGGTGATGCGCTCTGTGAGGACGACTTTGAGATGTTCAATGAGACTTGGGAGAAGTTCGACATAGATGGAACTCAGTTCATTGAGTATAGCCAGCTCTCCGATTTTTGTGATACATTGCAGGAGCCGCTGAGGGTGGCGAAGCCCAACCGGCTTCGCCTGATCGAAATGGATCTGCCCCTGGTCATCGGGGACAGGATCCACTGCCTGGATGTCTTGTTGGCCGTCACACAGATGGTCTTGGGAGACACAGTGGAGATGGCAGCAATGCGGGAGAGCATTGAAGCTAAGTTTATCCTGAGCAACCCCACCTCAGACTCCTTCGCGCCGATCACCACGACGGTACGCCACAAAGAAGAGCAGAGCGCTGCTGTGGTCATTCAGAGGGCTTACCGCAAGCACCTGCTGAAACGCTGCATACGCCACGCCGCTTTTATGCACCGCTCCAAGAGGATGGGGAGAAAGGAGGAAAGTGAAGATCCACCGGAAAAAGAAGGGCTGCTCGCGCGAAAGCTGGGAGTGCTCTATGGGAGCAATGTGGACCTGGCAGAGGAGATGGAGCAGGCCGCGTTAGAGACTCTAGCAAGCCAAGAGCCTCCTAATCCTGAGACATTGTCACATTACCCAGGGGCCCAGTGTGGTCCAGAACCACCTGAGCCAAACATCATGGTTGTGCCCGTAGAAATAACTAATGAGGTTTTATTACATTCTGCCCCCCACCAACACCTCCTGACCCTACAGGAAAACCTGAGAGAGTCAATTGTATAACAAACAGCACAAAATAATCAATTATATCTTCCCCCTGTTGTTTTTTTTACCAGCCAAGGGAGTAGTGTTAGTTAGATCTCACTAATGATGCAGAATTTTCCACATTAGATGAATAGGTTAACACAGTGTTAATGAATATTTTTATCTGTGTTTCTTTTTGATAATTAAACTTAACAAACATTTCCTGTTTTTTTTTTTTTTTTTCATGCAACATTAAAGTGTCATTTTGGGGTGAAAGTGAAACTGGAGAGCATGGTTTTTCTCCGATAGCAACCATATAGTCATCAGCAAATATAAATAGTATTAATGCTAAATGGGAAGCATAGGTAAATCAACAAGTCTACATCACTTTGTGTAATGTTCAATAAGAATTCATCTGGATTAATATGGAAAATGGATATACTCAAATATTCAGTTACCATTTGTCTGTGTTTAACGTCCCACTGTGACCTCTTTTCTGTGCCTGTGATAGTTTTTAATTATGAGTTTGTTAGTTTGTAATTGTGGCGGTAAATTTTACTTTAATTGACATCTCCAAATTAAGGGCACAAATTAGAGTGATTGCTCAGAACTTCAGAGAGTTGAAAGACTTACAGTCTTTACATTCAATATCAGCCAATAAAAAACTTCATAGTGTTTGTTAGTGTAGAGTGAAAAATCGTTGTGGACCAGAATCTGTGATTAGACATATTTCTAGTGAAAAAATAACAATTTTGAAATCACAAACCTATATACACTGTTGCTCATAGAGTTGGAATAAAATATTTTTTACCTCGTTCCATGAAATGGTTGTGACAATGTCATTTATTCTTGACAGATAAAGTGGATATCTTCTCAAAACTTTAGTAGTCAATCTCTTCCAAAGTGATTACTGATGCATTTAAATAGGAATAAACAGAGGATTGTGTCTGAAAACAAAATTATTCCAACTTTATGGGCAACAGTGTATAATTCCCAATTTATATTTCCCTTTGCCGAAATGGCAGAAGTCTGAAGTTCCAGTGGATTTTAATGCATGCTGTATGGTTGAAACCTTCATTTAGGCAAGGAATACCTTTGCTTTTAGGTATGGCTGTTACCGGAAAAACCAAACCATGCCCCCCAGTTTCCAACCACAGAGCAACTTGAACATCACGTGACAAAACCTGAGTTATCCTCCAGTAGGATTTTATGCTGTGTTCATGTCACACATAGTTGGTACAAGCTTGAAGAGAAAACTATAACAGTTACTTTGCTTCCTCTGAAGTGACATGAATACAACACTACTATCCAACTCTACAGAGCAATATTTGGAAATTTTCTTAGCGTGCACTCAGCACTACTTAATCATGAGAACCGCACTGACGTTGTGCCGTTTCATGAGTAAAATAGTAGACTGTGTATCACCTCATTTACTCTCACATTTACGAACAATTAAACAGAAACAAATTCCTATTCCTGCTTACTTTAAGTCACTTTTATGTGGAATCTCGTCACTGTGAGTGCTCTACATGCTAATTCTTTCTATTAGACGCTAAACAATTTCCTATGGTGGAATTCGTTTTGTACATATGTAAAATATTAGCTAAAAACAAAAGCATATCTGGATCAGATTTGTCCCAGTCTACCAGTGAAACCCTGAGCTCTGTAAGTCATTATTAGTTAACAATAACATGGGCCGGCTAATGCAGTTAACATCTGCCCCTGACTGGCTCGTTCAGACGGCCCAGTTTATATTGCACTATTTATATCCTTTCCAGGTCAAGTTAGAGCAGTTGACTGTGTAAGACTGAGAGACTTCCCTGTTTTCTAAAATGGTTTCATCACTTATATATATGCATGTCATATAAATGTTTTGTCTTTTTTTTCCTATGTTTTTTCCCCCCTCAGATATCAGGTGATCTCAAACCTCAGAAGTAATCAGTAATCACTTGTTTCCATTTGGTTGTTTTCCATTTCAGTGTTCAGGTTTAAATGCTGTCTGTGGCTGCAAACTTAAGATATGATGTTTACATTGACATGGTTACAAAACAGAACGACTAATCTCCCTGTTCTTTTCAGCTGTTTCTATATTCGTCTATTAAATAACAATAATTCTAGTAAGAATATAAGTACTTTGGTACTTACTGTACATTTTAAATGAAGTTTTGCCTCAGGTTGCATCAAGTTTGTCTTTTGACTTGATCTTAAATGAATCTGATTTTCTGAAACGCAGCGGAGTGTTGGTTTAGTTAAATACATGAATCTGATGTTAAATAAAAATACCCCAGCTTTGTATGTGTAGTTTACATATTTACAAAAAAGAACTTCATGCACAGTGGATCTATTCATCTCAAGTCTCTCCTCACATAGAAAGGTTGCGTCACTTGCTGTTGTGTAAGTCTTAACTGAATTTAAAATGTCTTACTCTGAATATATATATACATGAATTACATAAGCACTTTTACAGTTTTCTAGTTTTTTTTTTTTTTTTTTTTTTTACAATAGACTATAGAAGATTGTCTCTTCTCTTGTTCATGTGTTCAGCACTGTTGTAACATCAACCCTGGAGGAAAAAGAAAAATCATGAATGTTTCCTCTATGAGGGGTCTCTTTGTCTTATCCTGCTGCCACAGCATGGCAGTTATTCCTGTCAGAAGTCTGTAATGTGACCTGCAGCAGTCCTATTTCAGATTGACACGCTGCTGCACCACTTAGCTGTAGTCTCCCCCCGATGGTACCATCATATTCACAAGACAGTGTCCTCCTTTTGTTTACATTTCTAATGGAGGGAAAGCCATACCAGGAGCTTCACTGGTACACCCACAGTCAGTGTTGCCTGTATATACATTTTTTTGTCTGTATTGTATATTTATATCATTTTGTTATTGTACAAAATTGTATCTATATTGTTAGAATAAAGTTCTTCTTGTAGGGAAAAGTAGGCTGTGAGCTAATGTTGTCAGTTGCTGTTTTACGGTGCATTCAGGAAGTCTTCAGACCCCTTCAAGTTTTTCACATTCGGTCATGTGCAGTCTTATGCTAAAATTGAAAAAAAAAATCACGTTTTCTACACTCTATACCCCATAATAGTAAACTGAAAACAGATTTGTAGAATATTTTGCAAATTTATTAAAAAAGAAAAACTAAAATTTCACATACACATAAGCATTCCGATTTTCTATGAAATTTAGCTCAGGTGCCTCTCATTACTCATCTTTGAGATGTTTGGACGCTTTGACTGGAGTTCCCCTGTGGCAAATTCAGCTGATTGAACATGATTTGTGAAGCCACACACCTGTCTATTTAAGGTCTCACAGCTGACAATACGAATCAGAGAGAAACCAAGCCATGAGGAGGAAGGAACTGCCTGCAGAGCTCAGAGGCAGGACTGTGTCGAGGCACAGATCTAAGGAAGGCTACAAAACAAATCTATGCTGGATTTGACAGTTAAATGGAACTAGTCTGGAACAACCGGTACTTTTCTGGCTGCCCCAGCAAAACTGAGTAATCGGGGGAGAAGCACCTCGGTAACAGAGGTGACCAAGGACCCGATGGTCGTTCTGGCTGAGCTCCAGAGGTCCTGTGTGGAGATAGGAGACGCTTCCTAGAGGGACAGGTGTGTGCCTTTCCAACTCATGTCCAATCAATTGAAATTTACCACAGCTGGACTCCACTCAAGGTGTAGAAACATCCTAAAGATGGCTGAAGGGTCTCAATAGTTATGTTAATGTGATATTTCATTTTAATTAAAAAAAAAAAAAAAAACATTTTCAAAAATTTCAAAAATTCTCTTTGCTTTGTCATTATGGGTTGTTGAGTGTAGACTGATGAGGGAGAAATATTTTTTTTATTAAGCATAAGGCTGCAACAAATATGACAAAATTGAAGGGGTCTGAACACTTTCTGAATACACTGTGTTTCCTGTGAAACTACACTGGTACACTGAGGCCCTCTGGTGGTTATACGATGCACAGGCTCCGCTGCTGAATGATTAATTCCCAATTTTGTCACGTTTTGTTTTTAAACTTGGGCTTTACAGAGAGTTTCAGCTCATTGTTCACTCTCATGGGAAAAGGACAGCGAGAGAAAACAAAACAAAGAAAAATCTAAAAAGCAACTGTATATTATAGATCCAGATCAAACAGCAGACAGGCACTTGGAAACCAGATGGTGAACATAGTGGAGCATTTAGCAGCTAAAGAGTTGAATTCATGTGAATTCATAAGCCAAGGAGTACAAGTGTCCGTCTGAAGTACACCAAACAGGTTATTGCGCGAAAGCATTCTTTGGAGTTCTTTGGACAACGTATGAGGTCTAGGTTACAGATGAATAAGCTACGTATATCAGGGTTCCACCGCACAGACAATTCTTATTAGTGGGATCATTTCAGTCTTAGATACTGCAGCATACAGCTGGCTTAACCTTTAACCCAGGTGCTATCTGTGCGTGAATGTCAACGAATGAAATGAGCACTGCTTCTTCCAAGAATTCAGAAGGTGGGTGACCATTTCATTTTCATATTTCTGTGGTTGCATGCTATGCCTTGCCCTTTACTGACTGTTGATTACTTAAAGTGGTGGAGGCTGAGCTGTAGAGTTGCTCTGTTAATGTGCATTAGTGCTCTTCATTTTGGCTGCCTGGCAGAATAAGTATGAGCATATTTTCATTTTGGACGGATCTGATTATTCTCTTGATATTTGGTCTATAGAACATCAGAAAAAAAATGCCCAAGATGACTTCTTCAAATGTCTTATGTCCATCCAACAGTGTAAAATCCCAAAAATATTTGTCTCATTATAATGTAAGACCAGGAAAAGTATCAAATCTTCACATATGAGACGCTGGAACCGTGAAATATTTGACATTTTATCTTAAAAATTGACCAGTTTTTCATTTGTAGTCATTTTTGGGCGCAAACAAATCAGACTTTCTGAGTCACCTCTCATTAAAAGAGTGAACACTGTTTCCTGTCAGCAATACATTGTTGTTGAAGACGGTTTATCTCTTGCTCACACACTGTGAAACCTGACTAAACATGCAGTAGATAAAAAGTGACTGGGTGCTGTGAGATGTATGTTTGCTTTGACAATTAGGGAAATGTGATCTGCTTGGCTGACCTGAAAACTTCACTCTTGACTGCGTAGGAATGTTGCATAACAGGGGTAAGAGGCCTTAACCATGCAAGCTGCTTTGTAGGGCGGTGTTTAACCACACAACGGTCATGTAACCGTGCCAACGATTTCGCAGGTGTAATGTTTACAAAGTAGGGGGATCAAGAATGTTAACACAGTTCATCATCATGCAGGCATGAATGTATGTGCAAAAGTTAACAACAATCCATCCAATAACGGTTGAGACGTTTCACTTAAAGTCATGTGAAACTCGTGGTGATTCGTGGAGGATGCCACTATGAGCTGGCACAGGAAGCTTCGTCCCCTGGGGTCCACGAATGTCAGTTTTCGTCCAATAGTTGTTGAAATATTTCTGTCTGGACAAAAACTGGTGGACTAAACAACACACCGACACTGTCACAGAGGCGCCTCTCAACATGCAGATTCTGCAGAAAAGGCGATAACGTTGTTGAGACAAGTAAACCCACTCAAAATTAAAATTGAAGTATTTTTTTATCACTCTACAAGAGCCAATATGGCTTAGTACAGATGACCCAACCCTCTCTCTTGTGACAAACAGAGAAATCAAGAGTGTAAGCGTATCAGAAGAAATCCAGGAGGCTTCATCCAGAAGTAACACAGCTAACATTTCTTTCTTTCTCCATCTTTTCCAGACGTCACTAGATCCAAATCATTCTCCCTTTTGCCTTGAGCCACAAATTGAAAATGTCCAAATGACTATGGGCCTACTGCGTGAACAAACACACATGTTGGCAAAAAGCATCTTTTTACACTCAAACACATCAGATCAAGTAAGAGACGCAACTGTCCATATACTGCTTGAGTACTTCCTTGCATGCTGCAGTGACTGAACAGTATCTATTTCATCTTTGGACTTGGAGTCAATACTAACAATAACCAGGAGACAGGCTCTTCTACAACTGGACAATGGTTTCAAAAGAAATTATAATTCAAAAATTATAAAAGAAAAATAAACTTTAGACCTTAACACTTGTTTTGGTACACACCAAAATATGTTGTTGCTACGGAAACTGAATATTGTCAAGTGCAGTAGTGAAATCGGGTCAGATTTGTAACCTTGACTTATTCTTTCCAGCCTTTTTTCAGTTTTACACTATTTTATTTAGGCCAAATTCTTGTAAGGCCGCTTGTGTTCAGACAACACCAGCTTTGTAGGAAAATAGGAGCTCTAAAAGTATTAGTTGTGGTATCGATACGGAAACTCAGATGTAATACCGGCACTAGTATCAAAATATGTCAATGAGTACCAAACCCTAATTCTGTTAATAATTTGGTATCACATAAATGGTTTTATCCTACAAAATCCTTCCAGAATTATCTTCCAAACCCCTTCATGCTCCGGTTTCCTGCATTATTTCATTTGTCCCTAAAAATGGCACAGATGTGTGAATGAAATTGGACAGATTTTTTGATGGTAAAAGTGTGGGTTGTTCCGAGTTATTTTGGTTCAGTGTCACAGCGCTCTTCCCCTCATTTGCCTGGCGTTAAAGTGTGTGTACTAGCAGACAGCACACCCACCGGCTGCAGACACTTCTTCTCCTCGCTCACAACATTTTCATGACTGCAGAGACATTTAGGCGCGTGTGGACATCAGAAATAGACAGACACATTTTTCCTTTTGCATGTCACCATGCGCTGGTTGCTGGCTGGATGCTGTGGGCTTGCCTTGATCAGTCTCTCAGGTAAATGTGAACTTCTTGCAATAAGATCAGTTTAATTAGCGACTGAAAAAATGAAGATGATGCAAACAACAGGTTGTAGTCTTGGTAAACTACATGGTAAATACATTAGTAAAACACAGAATGTTATTAGAGCAGTATAATTCTCCACAACATGCTTTAGGCAGTCATTTAATTGTACTTCTTTTATGTTTATTTAACAACAGCTACAGTTCATACAAGTGTTTTGCATGTTATTTTTGAGCCCACAATACCATTACTTCCTGGCCATCTGGGGGGAAAGGGGAAGTTGTCTTCAGAGACAGCGGCTATATAGTATTATTGTCATGTTGATGAATTTATGTTGTCTTAGGTTATTTTGATATATACCCTGTATATAATTGATCAATTACTTTATTATGTCATACTTGTAGTTCATTTTAGAGAAAGATAATAGAGAAAAAATAGATGACAATAGATGTTTACATGCAGCAAATATTAAAAACAACCGTCAGCATTAGTTACCTATTACCAATACAAACATGACTTCAGCACCACAACAACCACAAGGTTGATTTGTTTACCTTATGTGGCATCAGGTTGGATTAACCACTGCATTAATTATATTATACTCTCCACCTCGTTCATTCTAGAGACACAACTAACCATTATTTTTTATCACCACTTAATGCGTCAGTTATTTTTTACATTAGTAACAGTCATTATTTTGTAAAAATGTAAAAAAAAATCAAGTTATTTTTTTCCATTAATTAATTTTCCAATGTCTAATTATCAAATGAACTGTTTCATACCAACCAACTGACCAATGATCCTTAACAGAAAAGAGGAACTTATCTTCTGAGACAAAGACTCTTGATTGATGAATTAATATCGTCTTAGTTATTTTGATATATAACAAATAGCAAATCAATTACTGTATCTGTATGCAGTAAAATACTGTTTATATCAGAGAAAAAAAAACCCAGCAAATCCTCAGATGCAAGACGCCATAACCAATTTAAATTGATAACGTACTTAATCATTTAATTGATCATAAAAATGGTTGTAGGTTCATTTCTGTTGCTCCACTAATTGATTAATCAAGTTATTGTTTCAGTGCATTAGTTGATCGACATAAAATAAAATTACCAACGATTCTAGTTGCACTCCTTGGGAATACCATATATGAAACTCAAGCATGTAGCCCTGGGTATAAACATCAACTAACAATGTCAGTATTCTGTATAACTCTATCATCCATTACATCATCTGTAAAATAATGACTGAGATATTTGACCTCACTAATCATTTCTAAGTGTGTCTCTGCTTAAGTAGTAACACTGTAAATTGTAATTTTTATATCCCCTACACAGCCATTAAGTACATCACTTTTCTTGGTATGAAATGTGAAATCAAAGCCAGCATCACATTGGCGTGCATAGTCGCCTATACCTATCAGCTGCTGGAGATCAGCACTGCTGGGAGAAATACAGCCAAATTACCTGCATATACGCTTCATCTAAAGAGAGATACAGTAATTGTTGTTGTAACTGTTTAATAAATTCCCTCAATCTTCTTTTGTCTGCTCAGCGGCCCTGCAGGTCATCCAGAAGCCCCGGTTCTATGGTGTAAAACCTGGCCACATTTTGATAATGCGCTGTTCCTCAGAGTCAGACAAGCCAGCCACTTTACAATGGTACAAGGCCGATGTGTATGATCAGAAACCTGAAGAGAGAGTAGAGGTAAAAGGAAAAAGGTTTGAATATTCTAACGAGGGTGTGAACCAAAACGCCTTTCTCTACATCCGCAACACGCACAGAGAGGACAGCGGAGTTTACTTCTGCAAGATGAACAATGATACATGGGGCTCTGGAACTGAAGTTAGAGTCGTCAGTAAGTAGCTGGAACAACATTGCATTGTTTCATTTTTGGAGGCCGCTTTTCAAAACACGTCTTTCCTCTGACAGGACAGGACGTTACCAAGGCCCTGCACTTCAGCAGGATGAAGGATGGTCTCATTATCTTCCAGGGCCTGCTGTTGGCTGTGTGTATTGCTGCTATGCTGCTCCGCAAACATACACAGGTGACGAACAAGATGAACAAGACACCTGAGACAAATCTGTGCTTTACCAGATTATACTGCCATGTTTAGCGCAGGAGGACAGAGTGTCAACAACACCATAGACATGTTGGCAGGTCACAGCCAAAACACAGGCCTACCGTCATTCTGCTGGGTGGTTTTTACTAGGGCTGCAACTAATAGTTATTTTCATTCATTTGTATATAATATTTCTGATTTATCATTTTATCCATATCAAATTCCCAGAGCCCAAAGTAAAGTCTTCACATCTCTGATTTTGACTGACCAGCAGAACCCAAATATTGTCACTTTTACAATTTTATAAAACAGAGTGAGCAAGTAAAAAAATCTGATTTTCAGAAGACAGACATAGTGAATGCTTGACATTTATACTTGATGAATAAGTTCAGCCATTTATCAAATATCCAGATTGTTCTCAGGTCATTTTCTGTAGATCAGCTGAGTGTTTCAACACTATCTGAGCGACACTAGGACTGGTTTTGGTTTTTGTCCTTTGTTATTGTACAGATTAGAGATTAGCTCAGATTAGTCGAGACAGGAAGATAGACAGCGTTCTACAAATTGCTGTGTTACAATCAGGGAATAAGAAGGCAAAAAGAAGAAGATAGAAGATGAATGCAACTATTTTGATAATGAAATAATCCTTTTTAGTTCATTTTTCAGACAAAAATGTCAAACATTTGCTTGTTCCAGTCCCTCAAATCTGATGATTTGCTTCTTTTCTCTGTCATACATGACAGTAAAGTGAACAGACTATCTTTGGGTTTTGGACGAACAAAACATTTGACAATATCATCCTCATCATTTTTCACAACTTTCTAACATTTTATAAACAAAGCAATTAATCTATTAATCAAAAAAACAATTGGCAGATTCATCACTAATGAAAATTACCCTTTGAGACAGGCACAATTGATATTTTCTACACGTTCAACAGTTAGTGGTATATGCTAATATCATCTTTTCATGCTAGGCTGTAGCTAGGCAGAGTACTTATGTCTCAGACATAAGTAAGGGGAAACACATATTCATCATCATTCCTCATTTAACATTTGGTACTTTGCATAAATTAGCTGAGAGCTGATCAAGCTGAAAGACTGCAATCACCCAGTTTAGTTCCAAGTTCCTGAAGTCCTTCATTCACATTGAAAACACCATTGATGTAGCGGTCCAGAACAATTTCAATAGCAACAGTTCTGGTCTTCAACCATTGCTAATAACATTAGCCACAAATGATAAAGCACTTTTTCTTCTTTCCTTATTCATTTTTTACCTTTGGGCCTTTGTTTTAAGGGTATGCCACGGTAACAGGTGTTTTTATCACATAAAATTACACACCTTTTAGTTATTTGTCAATACAGTTTGAAGTAAAGGCTTCACAAGGAAAACTTCACTAACTTTAGCAGACAGCCCATGATTTACAGTAAAACATTAACTGCAAGTTTGATTGGGAAATAAGTTGTTGACAATAGTTAAACCCACTGCAAGGATTTATTATGATGTTCACTGTATGATCTAGAATAAGGACAAGTTCATCCACCAGTGCAGCAACTCATAACAGGTTTGCCAGATCAAACATGGCTAATCCAGGGATCAAACCGTAGACGTTGTGCTTAAACATAGCTAATCTTTGATGTGTAATGAGGGACCTAGTAATTATTATTTGATTCTTTTACAATGTTGAAAAGTGAATGATGTTGTTAACACCACTTTGGCAAAATGTTATTTTTGTTTCACAGTATTTATGGCATAATTTATCCTCTAACATGCCCAGTTGTTACTCCCTTGTTCCCAATACTCATGTTTTCTCCCATTTAAACACTGGTAACAACTAAATTACACTGTAGATCACAGGCTGCATTATAAAGTGCTGCCATTACTTCCAGTGGCAGAGTCACATTTCTTTCTGCATTTCCTGATATATTTATTCATTTTTTCTGTGCAGTGTGATTATCAATAACTCTTCAACTGCATTCATTTCTCTCCTCTTTTTTTTTAAACAGAGCGAAAAGAGCGATAGTGTATACGAGGAGCCTGAAACTGATCACATCTACGAGGTTTGTTTGAATATCTCTGCTTTACAGTAACATTCAACATAGATGAGGAAATTTCTTTTTTGAAGTGAAGACACACGTCCCAGCTGTGCTTTTTTACATACAAAAGTAAGAACAATGAAACAAACAGGATACAGTCTCCTCGCACCACTGAGATTCTGACCACAATTGTATCTTCTTCTTCTGTCTGTGCAGATCTCAGTTTTTTCATGTATGAACACAGCCTATCCTGTTGGCTTTGTGGACGTACCTCTTGTTAGCTGAACTTTTGTTTGCCTTTTTTTTTGTAAGAATAATGACACATTAACTTTGGAAAGTGACATCTGTGGGTTGAAAAATAGATTTTATTGTTTCCTTTTTCTTGCAAAAAATCCTAGAAAAAGAATTTTTATGCAGCGCCATTCACACGTAAAAAAACGAACTAACAACCAATCAATGTGTTAGCAGCTGCACAACTTCATCTATGAGTCAGGTCTGAATCAGATGCAACTCAAAGCTGTAATGAACTTCAAAGCCTCACGTCACATTATTCTATAAATATATAAAACCTAAATTGAGAATAGGACTCTTCAAAGCCACACGGGACTCAAACGTACACATGTAGCATGACTAAAACCGGCTTGTTTCCTCTCTCAGGGCTTGGCAATTGAGACATGTGGCGGAGGTCTGTATGAGGAACTCTCTATCTACGCCCAGGCCGAGGGAGCTGAGGCCCCATGGGAGTGAGGCCGACTTTACCGAACTACCTTTCATTTCACCGCCTCAGCAGTTTTTACAAAAAAACAAAAGGACTGATTACACGTTCTTAACTGTAAGTTGTAAATTGACAATAATACATTGAGTCCTTAATGAGCTCACTCAGATATGGAGATGCGCCATTTGATTCAAGTGCAGTGTGTGATTTGTTTGGAAATGTGCAGCAGTATGCTTATTCTTATGCTTGATATATTTGCTGTTGATTTGTGCTCAGTAGTATCACTGTATTGAAGTCCAGTTTCAGCTGACATTTTTGGTGCCTCAAGAGTTGTTGTTTTTTTTTTTTTCCATAAACTGTGTTGTGTTTGATTTCTTAACAACTCTTCTCTAACTTTTTTTAAATCTTGTAACTACAGCTCAGGACAAAGAGAGAAAATGCTACAGAAATTTGGTGTGTATCAGAGTCAAAATGAGGCCCTGCTTGTTTCTGTTGTTAGATTATCTTCATGGTCTATATATATATATATATATCTATATCTATTGTAAACAATAAAAAAAACTTTTGTTTATCCAGCAGGAATTTAAACAAACATCACTTTTGCATTTGCTGAAAGTTTTTATTGGGTACAACATGTAAAAAATATAGATTCCAATTTACTCAGTGCACATTTCAAAAATAAATAAGCATGTTGATCAACTTAGAAAAATATATGTTCAACCAGTCTGTTTATAAATAAACAACAACTCAATAAATAAATACATTAATAAATAGCTAAATAAATAAATAGACAAGCAAATAAATGAGGAGATGGTAAATCTGACAGACAGATTTTAGTTGGCGGTGAGCAGAGATGAAACCAGCTGGTCAACTCTCATTAGATGGCTTTTGATTTCCTTCCGGATCAGCTCCCAGGATTCAGCGCTGTGGCCCTACACACACAAGAATATTATTATTAGAAACATCATTACATAGATAGATAGATAGATAGATAGATAGATAGGGATATGACAGATAGACTTACCATTCCTTCCGAGAACATGGCGGGAGAGAGTTCTGAAATACATGTGCACCTTCTTGTTCTTCTTTCTTGTGGCTGTGGCTCCCAATCTAAATGAATAACAGGTAAAAAATCCTTTTAAAAACAGCTTTGTATTAATTCAATAAATCTTCATGACACTGTCACCATGGAGCCATTCATTCCTTCAGTCAATCCACCCTGAGACACTTACACAGGGAGCGAAGGCCGTCAGCCTGCTGCGTTACAACACCGAGAAAGTCTTCTCTGTTTTCTCCTCCCATGATGCATTGCTGTGATCCTCATCAAACAGGACAGCCACCTCGTCCAGAACCTGCACTGTGAAACCAAGTTTTATCCTCAGCCTGAGAAGAAGAAGAAGCAGAAGAAGAAGAAAGGAAGAAAGAAGAAGAAGAAGAAGAAAGAAGAAGAAAGAAGAAGAAAGAAGAAGAAGAAGAAGAAGAAGAAAGAAGAAGAAGAAGAAGAAGAAGGAAGAAGATATCCGATTAACTACAGGGGACACGATTCTATTGACACACTGTTGAAGAGTGCCAAGAATAAGAAGAGTATATAATAGATATAATAACCCAGACTTTTCCCTGGAAACCATTCAAAGAAAGAAAATCAAGTCATGTCTTTGATTTCTCACATCTTTCATTCACTGCAGGTTTTTAGAAAGAAGCTGAGTGGATGACTTACTGATGCTTTGGACGCCTGGCTGTACAGATCATTAGGGAAGGCCACAGTGTGCTCCACTTCAGCATCCTCAGTGGTGTTAGTGGAATTATTGACCTGCATCACACACACAAACACACACAAGTCATGTGTTGAAGTAAACACACATTAACTCATTCACTTAAGATCATTCACTGACTTTAAACAACAGGCAAAGAAGTTCACTCACCATCGTCTCCAGTAGATCCAAAGAGTTTTCACTGTACTGTCTGAATTTATGATCCATCCATCTGCAGCTCAGCGAGGAGCCTGCACTGTACAGACCCACAAACAGGCAAACCAAGAAGATCCTGTTGAGCATTTTTAGTGAAGGTACAAGTTGCTTTTGTATGGAGCAGGTTCAGATGTGTCCTGGTGTTGTGTTGGAGCAGAGCTGCAGCCGCTCATTTATAGAAGGACTCACCTGTTTCATTTTTCAGACATATACCTGCTGGGAAACCCTGGCCATGAGCTGTGGCTTTCACACAGTTCAAAGGTCAAAATCAATCACAGCATATATGTGAATGTCAGTGTCACACATTTCAGATTTGTATTAGTGTCCTGATGAAAAACTTTTCCCACAATGATAAAAATGTAGTCCTACAAATATAATAACTAAGCTTAAATACTGCATGACACACAGATCACTATTCATTATAACACAGACGTGTTAGACACAGAATATTTTGGGAGTAACAGGAATATTTTTTTTTACAATTTTTAAGGAAATATTATTTTGTACTTTGTGTTGCTTCTACAGGTTTAATGGGGGTTATTGTAACATTAAACATTATTTAAATCTGTTAGTTTACTTGTTTTGTATTTTAAATATTTGAGGCAAGAAGCTCTTTATTTCGTTTTAATGCCCTAATTATTCTATTATGTTGTGTTCAAAACTGATTGTTTTCTGTTGTAAGTAGTTTCATAACGTATATCATTAAAGCTGTAAAATTGTTTTACCTGCAGTGTGTTCACATATAACCTGCCACCAGGGGAGAGCGCTTCCACAAAGAGAAATGAAAGTGAGTGTGGCCTGTGTTACGTGACAGTGACGCACCTTCATGTTGTCTGCAATATGACAATCACGTCACACCTCATGTTTCTGAAGAATGACCACACACATGAAAATGAGCTTCTTAGTATTTCATCATGTCATCTACTGATATGAAATGATTGCTGTGAATTGCTTTTACTTTTTATTCTTCTTGTGGGATATTTGAGTTGCAGGGCTTTGTGTATTTTTTTAAAAGCTCATCCAGGGACAAGAATTAGACTATTTACAAATTTTCTGTTTTGTTTTCTGCCCTGCATAAAATAGAAAAAAAGTTTAAAGTAAAATGTTCCTAGTTATCCTATTAACAGTGTTTTAGTACGTCTACAATATGGAAATATACTGTGCAGCTCATGTTTAGTGATGCCATATGAAAATTTTCTTTTTTCTTTTGCATATGACTTGTGAAACAGTGGAAACCTTTACCTCCTCACACGTTAAAAACCTTCAAATGACACAATGAGAGACGGAAAAACTCTCCCTATAGTTACAACTCATGTTCACAATAAAGTCACAACAGACGTCTTTTAATTTGAAAAAGTCTAAGACAAAACTTTGGGGACCATTGACCCCGATCTATATCATAAGAAAAGAATAATATTTAAATGTTATATATGATTTCTTTTCAGTTTGTTTTTAATGTACAGGACAAAAAGAATATTTACAGAGCAGATTCATGTCACATATACTCTAATATTAATCTGATCCACATATCTTGGCCCTGTGGCCTTTTGAGGAAATACAAGTCATTTAATTAAATAAAGAAAACATGTTACAAAACACAAATTAAAAATACAAATAATAATAATATGTCCAATTACACATTACAAGGAGAGTCCCATAACAAAATAAAAGTCTAAGCAAATATATATTTATCCGTAATCTTCAGCCACTTCTTCAATTATACTTGTAATGAAACTATCAGGCTGAAAATGTGCTGTGATGTGTAAATTAAAATGTGAAGGAGAATTCCCTTTTCCACAGGCGATCTGGTTCCCACGTTGAAGCAGCCATGTGCTGCTTGGAATAAGTTGTTTGACTGGAGCCTCTTTCATTTTCTCTTTATAGGAACTTCCCTTTACAGCACCTACTGGACAAAGTGCACCTGTAGCTTTATCAATGAATGATTGTTATCAATCCACACAAACAATGATGCAATTGCAACAATTTAAAAATGGTCAGAAATATATATTTTTCTTAATTTTGAGGAAAATTAGTTTGGGGATTTTTTTTATATTTGGCTTTGACAAAAAAAAAATCCTATAATTCCATTATTTTTAATATTGAACAGTAAACTTTTAATATTAAAAAATAGTGGGATGTGTTTACTTTTATTTCTTTATGTTTTTTTGTGACATTATAGATGTATGCTGTGATTGATTTTGACCTTTGAACTGTGTGAAAGCCACAGCTCATGGCCAGGGTTTCCCAGCAGGTATATGTCTGAAAAATGAAACAGGTGAGTCCTTCTATAAATGAGCGGCTGCAGCTCTGCTCCAACACAACACCAGGACACATCTGAACCTGCTCCATACAAAAGCAACTTGTACCTTTACTAAAAATGCTCAACAGGATCTTCTTGGTTTGCCTGTTTGTGGGTCTGTACAGTGCAGGCTCCTCGCTGAGCTGCAGATGGATGGATCATAAATTCAGACAGTACAGTGAAAACTCTTTGGATCTACTGGAGACGATGGTGAGTGAACTTCTTTGCCTGTTGTTTAAAGTCAGTGAATGATCTTAAGTGAATGAGTTAATGTGTGTTTACTTCAACACATGACTTGTGTGTGTTTGTGTGTGTGATGCAGGTCAATAATTCCACTAACACCACTGAGGATGCTGAAGTGGAGCACACTGTGGCCTTCCCTAATGATCTGTACAGCCAGGCGTCCAAAGCATCAGTAAGTCATCCACTCAGCTTCTTTCTAAAAACCTGCAGTGAATGAAAGATGTGAGAAATCAAAGACATGACTTGATTTTCTTTCTTTGAATGGTTTCCAGGGAAAAGTCTGGGTTATTATATCTGTTATATCTCTTCTTATTTTGCCCAGTTTTGGAAACAGTTGTCAGACAGTGTCATAAATGTGTCCCTGTAGTAATCGGATTACTCTTCTTCTTCTTCTTCTTCTTCTTCTTCTTCTTCTTCTTCTTCTTCTTCTTCTTCTTCTTCTTCTTCTTCTTCTTCTTCTTCTTCTTCTTCTTCTTCTTCCAGGCTGAGGATAAACTTGGTTTCACAGTGCAGGTTCTGGACGAGGTGGCTGTCCTGTTTGATGAGGATCACAGCAATGCATCATGGGGGGAGAAAACAGAGAAGGACTTTCTCGGTGTTGTAACGCAGCAGGCTGACGGCCTTCGCTCCTGTGTAAGTGTCAGGGTGGATTGACTGAAGGAATGAATGGCTCCATGGTGACAGTGTCATGAAGATTTATTTGAATTAATACAAAGCTGTTTTTAAAAGGATTTTTTACCTGTTATTCATTTAGATTGGGAGCCACAGCCACAAGAAGAAGAACAAGAAGGTGCACATGTATTTCAAGAGACTCTCCCGTCATGTTCTCGAAGGAATGGTAAGTCTATCTATCTATCTATCTATCTATCTATCTATCTATCTATCTATCTATCTATCTATCTATGTAATGATGTTTCTAATAATAATATTCTTGTGTGTGTAGGGCCACAGCGCTGAATCCTGGGAGCTGATCCGGAAGGAAATTAAAAGCCATCTAATGAGAGTTGACCAGCTGGTTTCATCTCTGCTCACCGCCAACTAAAATCTGTCTGTCAGATTTACCATCTCCTCATTTATTTGCTTGTCTATTTATTTATTTAGCTATTTATTAATGTATTTATTTATTGAGTTGTTGTTTATTTATAAACAGACTGGTTGAACATATATTTTTCTAAGTTGATCAACATGCTTATTTATTTTTGAAATGTGCACTGAGTAAATTGGAATCTATATTTTTTACATGTTGTACCCAATAAAAACTTTCAGCAAATGCAAAAGTGATGTTTGTTTAAATTCCTGCTGGATAAACAAAAGTTTTTTTTATTGTTTACAATAGATATAGATATATATATATATATATAGACCATGAAGATAATCTAACAACAGAAACAAGCAGGGCCTCATTTTGACTCTGATACACACCAAATTTCTGTAGCATTTTCTCTCTTTGTCCTGAGCTGTAGTTACAAGATTTAAAAAAAGTTAGAGAAGAGTTGTTAAGAAATCAAACACAACACAGTTTATGGAAAAAAAAAAAAACAACAACTCTTGAGGCACCAAAAATGTCAGCTGAAACTGGACTTCAATACAGTGATACTACTGAGCACAAATCAACAGCAAATATATCAAGCATAAGAATAAGCATACTGCTGCACATTTCCAAACAAATCACACACTGCACTTGAATCAAATGGCGCATCTCCATATCTGAGTGAGCTCATTAAGGACTCAATGTATTATTGTCAATTTACAACTTACAGTTAAGAACGTGTAATCAGTCCTTTTGTTTTTTTGTAAAAACTGCTGAGGCGGTGAAATGAAAGGTAGTTCGGTAAAGTCGGCCTCACTCCCATGGGGCCTCAGCTCCCTCGGCCTGGGCGTAGATAGAGAGTTCCTCATACAGACCTCCGCCACATGTCTCAATTGCCAAGCCCTGAGAGAGGAAACAAGCCGGTTTTAGTCATGCTACATGTGTACGTTTGAGTCCCGTGTGGCTTTGAAGAGTCCTATTCTCAATTTAGGTTTTATATATTTATAGAATAATGTGACGTGAGGCTTTGAAGTTCATTACAGCTTTGAGTTGCATCTGATTCAGACCTGACTCATAGATGAAGTTGTGCAGCTGCTAACACATTGATTGGTTGTTAGTTCGTTTTTTTACGTGTGAATGGCGCTGCATAAAAATTCTTTTTCTAGGATTTTTTGCAAGAAAAAGGAAACAATAAAATCTATTTTTCAACCCACAGATGTCACTTTCCAAAGTTAATGTGTCATTATTCTTACAAAAAAAAAGGCAAACAAAAGTTCAGCTAACAAGAGGTACGTCCACAAAGCCAACAGGATAGGCTGTGTTCATACATGAAAAAACTGAGATCTGCACAGACAGAAGAAGAAGATACAATTGTGGTCAGAATCTCAGTGGTGCGAGGAGACTGTATCCTGTTTGTTTCATTGTTCTTACTTTTGTATGTAAAAAAGCACAGCTGGGACGTGTGTCTTCACTTCAAAAAAGAAATTTCCTCATCTATGTTGAATGTTACTGTAAAGCAGAGATATTCAAACAAACCTCGTAGATGTGATCAGTTTCAGGCTCCTCGTATACACTATCGCTCTTTTCGCTCTGTTTAAAAAAAAAGAGGAGAGAAATGAATGCAGTTGAAGAGTTATTGATAATCACACTGCACAGAAAAAATGAATAAATATATCAGGAAATGCAGAAAGAAATGTGACTCTGCCACTGGAAGTAATGGCAGCACTTTATAATGCAGCCTGTGATCTACAGTGTAATTTAGTTGTTACCAGTGTTTAAATGGGAGAAAACATGAGTATTGGGAACAAGGGAGTAACAACTGGGCATGTTAGAGGATAAATTATGCCATAAATACTGTGAAACAAAAATAACATTTTGCCAAAGTGGTGTTAACAACATCATTCACTTTTCAACATTGTAAAAGAATCAAATAATAATTACTAGGTCCCTCATTACACATCAAAGATTAGCTATGTTTAAGCACAACGTCTACGGTTTGATCCCTGGATTAGCCATGTTTGATCTGGCAAACCTGTTATGAGTTGCTGCACTGGTGGATGAACTTGTCCTTATTCTAGATCATACAGTGAACATCATAATAAATCCTTGCAGTGGGTTTAACTATTGTCAACAACTTATTTCCCAATCAAACTTGCAGTTAATGTTTTACTGTAAATCATGGGCTGTCTGCTAAAGTTAGTGAAGTTTTCCTTGTGAAGCCTTTACTTCAAACTGTATTGACAAATAACTAAAAGGTGTGTAATTTTATGTGATAAAAACACCTGTTACCGTGGCATACCCTTAAAACAAAGGCCCAAAGGTAAAAAATGAATAAGGAAAGAAGAAAAAGTGCTTTATCATTTGTGGCTAATGTTATTAGCAATGGTTGAAGACCAGAACTGTTGCTATTGAAATTGTTCTGGACCGCTACATCAATGGTGTTTTCAATGTGAATGAAGGACTTCAGGAACTTGGAACTAAACTGGGTGATTGCAGTCTTTCAGCTTGATCAGCTCTCAGCTAATTTATGCAAAGTACCAAATGTTAAATGAGGAATGATGATGAATATGTGTTTCCCCTTACTTATGTCTGAGACATAAGTACTCTGCCTAGCTACAGCCTAGCATGAAAAGATGATATTAGCATATACCACTAACTGTTGAACGTGTAGAAAATATCAATTGTGCCTGTCTCAAAGGGTAATTTTCATTAGTGATGAATCTGCCAATTGTTTTTTTGATTAATAGATTAATTGCTTTGTTTATAAAATGTTAGAAAATTGTGAAAAATGATGAGGATGATATTGTCAAATGTTTTGTTCGTCCAAAACCCAAAGATAGTCTGTTCACTTTACTGTCATGTATGACAGAGAAAAGAAGCAAATCATCAGATTTGAGGGACTGGAACAAGCAAATGTTTGAGAGTTTTGTCTGAAAAACGAACTAAAAAGGATTATTTCATTATCAAAATAGTTGCAGATTCATCTTCTGTCGATCAACTAATCAGCTGATCAGGTACAGTAGACTGTGTGTCGATCAACTAATCAGTTGATCGACACACAGTCTACTGTACCTGACAAGTACTTTGGTTTGGCAACAGTTAAAGGTGATATATGTAAGAAATGTGTCAAATAATTTACATATATTAATCACTTTTTTAGGGTTAATGTTTTTTCAATTTTTACACGCATTAATTAATCAATTACATTCAGTCTCATGTATGTCAGGTCACTGTTTTGCTTGATTATTGTATTTTTGCCTTCCTATTCCCTGATTGTAACACAGCAATTTGTAGAACGCTGTCTATCTTCCTGTCTCGACTAATCTGAGCTAATCTCTAATCTGTACAATAACAAAGGACAAAAACCAAAACCAGTCCTAGTGTCGCTCAGATAGTGTTGAAACACTCAGCTGATCTACAGAAAATGACCTGAGAACAATCTGGATATTTGATAAATGGCTGAACTTATTCATCAAGTATAAATGTCAAGCATTCACTATGTCTGTCTTCTGAAATCAGAGTTTTTACTTGCTTACTTTGTTTTAACTAGCAACATTTTACTTTAAACTTTTTTTCTATTTTATGCAGGGCAGAAAACAAAACAGAAAATTTGTAAATAGTCTAATTCTTGTCCCTGGATGAGCTTTTAAAAAAATACACAAAGCCCTGCAACTCAAATATCCCACAAGAAGAATAAAAAGTAAAAGCAATTCACAGCAATCATTTCATATTAGATGACATGATGAAATACTAAGAAGCTCATTTTCATGTGTGTGGTCATTCTTCAGAAACATGAGGTGTGACGTGATTGTCATATTGCAGACAACATGAAGGTGCGTCACTGTCACGTAACACAGGCCACACTCACTTTCATTTCTCTTTGTGGAAGCGCTCTCCCCTGGTGGCAGGTTATATGTGAACACACTGCAGGTAAAACAATTTTACAGCTTTAATGATATACGTTATGAAACTACAGCAGACGTACACAACAGAAAACAATCAGTTTTGAAAACAACATAATAGAATAATTAGGGCATTAAAACGAAATAAAGAGCTTCTTGCCTCAAATATTTAAAATACAAAACAAGTAAACTAACAGATTTAAATAATGTTTAATGTTACAATAACCCCCATTAAACCTGTAGAAGCAACACAAAGTACAAAATAATATTTCCTTAAAAATTGTAAAAAAAAATATTCCTGTTACTCCCAAAATATTCTGTGTCTAACACGTCTGTGTTATAATGAATAGTGATCTGTGTGTCATGCAGTATTTAAGCTTAGTTATTATATTTGTAGGACTACATTTTTATCATTGTGGGAAAAGTTTTTCATCAGGACACTAATACAAATCTGAAATGTGTGACACTGACATTCACATATATGCTGTGATTGATTTTGACCTTTGAACTGTGTGAAAGCCACAGCTCATGGCCAGGGTTTCCCAGCAGGTATATGTCTGAAAAATGAAACAGGTGAGTCCTTCTATAAATGAGCGGCTGCAGCTCTGCTCCAACACAACACCAGGACACATCTGAACCTGCTCCATACAAAAGCAACTTGTACCTTCACTAAAAATGCTCAACAGGATCTTCTTGGTTTGCCTGTTTGTGGGTCTGTACAGTGCAGGCTCCTCGCTGAGCTGCAGATGGATGGATCATAAATTCAGACAGTACAGTGAAAACTCTTTGGATCTACTGGAGACGATGGTGAGTGAACTTCTTTGCCTGTTGTTTAAAGTCAGTGAATGATCTTAAGTGAATGAGTTAATGTGTGTTTACTTCAACACATGACTTGTGTGTGTTTGTGTGTGTGATGCAGGTCAATAATTCCACTAACACCACTGAGGATGCTGAAGTGGAGCACACTGTGGCCTTCCCTAATGATCTGTACAGCCAGGCGTCCAAAGCATCAGTAAGTCATCCACTCAGCTTCTTTCTAAAAACCTGCAGTGAATGAAAGATGTGAGAAATCAAAGACATGACTTGATTTTCTTTCTTTGAATGGTTTCCAGGGAAAAGTCTGGGTTATTATATCTGTTATATCTCTTCTTATTTTGCCCAGTTTTGGAAACAGTTGTCAGACAGTGTCATAAATGTGTCCCTGTAGTAATCTGATTCTTCTTCTTCTTCTTCTTCTTCTTCTTCTTCTACTTCTTCTTCCAGGCTGAGGATAAACTTGGTTTCACAGTGCAGGTTCTGGACGAGGTGGCTGTCCTGTTTGATGAGGATCACAGCAATGCATCATGGGAGGAGAAAACAGAGAAGGACTTTCTCGGTGTTGTAACGCAGCAGGCTGACGGCCTTCGCTCCTGTGTAAGTGTCAGGGTGGATTGACTGAAGGAATGAATGGCTCCATGGTGACAGTGTCATGAAGATTTATTTGAATTAATACAAAGCTGTTTTTAAAAGGATTTTTTACCTGTTATTCATTTAGATTGGGAGCCACAGCCACAAGAAGAAGAACAAGAAGGTGCACATGTATTTCAAGAGACTCTCCAGCCATGTTCTCGAAGGAATGGTAAGTCTATCTATCTATCTATCTATCTATCTATCTATCTATCTATCTATCTATCTATCTATCTATCTATCTATCTATCTATCTATCTATGTAATGATGTTTCTAATAATAATATTCTTGTGTGTGTAGGGCCACAGCGCTGAATCCTGGGAGCTGATCCGGAAGGAAATCAAAAGCCATCTAATGAGAGTTGACCAGCTGGTTTCATCTCTGCTCACCGCCAACTAAAATCTGTCGGATTACATATGTGCTAATTTATTTGCTTGTCTATTTATTTATTTAGCCATTTATTAATGTATTTATTTATTTATTGAGTTGCTTGTCTATTTATTAACAGACTGGTTGAACATATTGAACATTTGAACATTAACATTTGTTTAGTTGCTTTTAACTGGTTGAATGATTATTTTTCTAATAACATCAATGTGCTTTTTCTTTATTAATTTGCACTGAGTAAATTGGAATATTTATTTTTTACATGTTATATCAAATAAATAAATAATCTTCTAGCAAATAGTAAAGTGTCTGTTGTTTTATTCCTGTTGAGAGTAAAGTAGTAAATCTCAGTGTGTAGCTCAGTAAAAACCACACTATATAAGACTTTAAGTTTATTCAGCTTAGAGACAAGTCCGTCCTGCTGCCTTTAAAATGTGAGTTAAATGAACTAAAATTGAATAATTACTTCTAAGCTTTTTTATGAGTTTTGAGAATGTGAAACAACTTCAATAAACTAAACATATTAAATCAAATCAACTGTTTGCTCAAGCTCATCCAGAGACAAGAATCTGACTATTATATTTAATATCCCTCTTTATAATGTCACATAAAGCAAAGCTAAAATATCAATATAGTCTGTTACATATTACAATGCTCCTATATATTATTACCATATAATGATTATTAGAGGAAAACTTAGGTTAATTAAAATAAAATGTTCCCAGTTATTTCATCAACATTGTTTTGGTACTTCTACATTGTGGAAATATACTGTGCAGCTCATGTTTAGTGATGCTATACTGCCTTTATTCAACAGAGGGCGCAACAGTACAATTAAGCCTATATATTGTCGTTTTTTTCTGTCCCTTGTTGAAGTTTGAAGTTTTAGTATTGATAGCTAAATATCAGTTGTAAATCAGTGTATTTCCAGTATGTATTTTTGCCAGTGATGGGAAGTACATTTAATCTAATACTGTCCTTCAGTACAATTTCCATTCTTATGTTACTTTTCCAATCCACTACATTTCAGTTGTAAATATAGTACTTTTTACTTCACTACATTTATCTGACAGTTGAAGTTATTTTACAAATTAAGATTTCAGAAACAAAACGAGAGTAAAGGTGAAATTATGATATTAATGGCTGCTTTAATCATTATATTTATTATGTATTTTGTTCAGTTGAATTTGACATGTCCTATTTGTAATTTTATTTCTTTATTTTCACTTTCCTCGTTTCTTGTGACTTGGTTATGTGTGTTTTTTTTCTGTTTGAGAAGAATAATATGGCAAAAAAAAAGTAACAATAAATCTATAATATAAAAAAATGGAAACCAAGATTAAAATAGGCCTAATTCAACTCAAATAACAGCAGAATTATACACATTAATGCATCAGATAATATATATCACTGAGAGGGGTCAAGCCATTAAGTAGGGTATATTGACCTGCCAATACTTTTGTACTGAAGTAGGATTTTGAATGCAGGAGTCTAAAATATCAGCTTTGAAATACGACGTTTTTCGACTTCATGCCATCTTTGTGCAACACATTTTTTTCTAAAACAAACAAGTAAACAAACTGTTGGTATTATCAATTGGCTCACCATTCCAGATTGATCTATAAGTGTGGGGGTAATGGGTTGGAGTTGCTGGACAGTTCACAAGCTGTGAGTGTGTGATCAAACGTTTTTTTTTTTAGCTGTGTTGTGAGACAGAAACTGAAGAGAGAACAGGGAACATAACGTCCTCACAAATCAGCAAAAGCAACAACATCAGCACGCCTCAAAACTGTGCTGCCTTTAGGTACTGCTCGTAAACTAGCAATACCACTGTTGATGGAACTTGATTAGCAAGCAAAGCTAACGTGCAGGTCTCAATTTAATAATGTATCATACATCATATAGGTTGGCTTGAAGAAAATACAGGAAATTAACTCGGTCGGTTGAGTAATATGAATGACAACAGAAAAATAAAAATTAACTGGGGAACAAACAAATGCAGAAACAATAGGGCTACCTGTGACATTGTCAGAAGTAGGTGAACAGGAAACAGAGTGTGCAGGTAAGAACCAGAGGAGACCACAGCTACCTGTGTATGGACTTCCCGCATATGGTGATTGACTAATTGTCATTAAGGAACCCCTCCATTTTTTGTTTAAATGGATAACAAAAAACATGATGGCTGCAGCAAACCGACCCCTAGTTCTGTGTAAACTACTTCTCATCACACCGGTCTCCAAACAAACCCAGACCTCAACGAAGCAGTTAACTTCGCCATATTCAGATATGGGGCTAGAACGTTGACATTGACTTGGGCATTGAAAACAAAACCTGAAATGAAGAAGTAAACAATGGTATTGAAAAACTTGTATTTCAAAAAGTTGTGTTGGAACTGAAATAAGTATTTTCACTGAACAAAAAGGTTCCACTGAAAAATAAAACACTTATTTTATTTCGATATTGATTGCATTATGTTGTGTTTTCAAATGTCAATCGTCATTTTTTTATGGCATAGAATGAACAAATATTAAATACTCGTAAAAAGTAGTTGACACATTTACGGTATTTCTGGTGGAACTTAAAGGTACCACAGATCTAATCAAGTTCCCATGATGCATTTTCGTTCAGCTGGACGCTCGCGACACTTCTTGACAGAACAAATCTTTAGTTAACGCTAATTTTTGTGCGTTTTTCGACATTTTAACTGGAGCAATGGAGAGCGACTGCACGAATGACTGACTAGCCGACTGAGTTCACAGTCATTTACGGAGGATACGCGGCTGTCTTTGGACCTTAATGCCAAGTTAATCGAGCTGTTTCGGTAAGGAGGCTAGCTGTGTAGCTGTGTGTTAACGATCGCTGCTAACACCACACTCGGGTTGATCTCGGTTTAAACCCTTAAATGCTGCACAAGCCGTGGTTTACACAGCTTGCTTTAGTTTTCTTTTTTTCTAATAATTACTATGTTTCGACTTGGTGCCGTCACAAGCCCAGATCAAAGGCTAACATTAAAAGTGGCAACTTGCTGTTAGTTAATGCAAGACTGTTGTAAAGATTAGAAAGGAGTGTACTGTAACATTAGCTGTTTTAAGCATGAAACGGTCACAATACGCAAATAAACTGATTGTAACGCTACTTTACGGATTATACCCCTCCTGTCTGTCTGCTGTTTAAGTGATCTATTTTTGACAGAAGCTTGGCACAAAAGGTACAAACGGCTGTGTGGCAGACAACCTTTAGTGGCCTTTAACTTTCTTTATGATCGTTAACTTTAAATGCCAATATAGCCGAATACACAGCAGAGGTGTTGTCAGTAACCTGAACTAATGTCGATGTGAATGTTTGTCAGACAACACTCCGATTACAAATTCGCTATTTTATCACTGCACTCCGCAGTGTCGGGATTGGCTGCTCATAAACATTACATGTAGCTCATACACCGAAACGAGCGTGTTGAAATCACGTTTTCATACTCGCTTAGTTGACTGACATCAAAAAACCGAAAAATGTGTAAATGAGAACAACTACCGGTATATTGTGAATTCAGCTGCATTAAAACACAGTGTGGGTGAGCACAGAGAGCAGGAAGAGACTGAACGTAGGTGTAACCTTGGTGGACGCTGTGTTGCAGCAAAGAATACAACTTTTTCTGTCATTTTTATTTTTTGACACCGTGTCCAGACCATGAAATATTGAGTTGTTCAGCTGGGCTCTCTGTCTCAGCCCTTACTAGAGGCAGTTTAGTTGTTTGCTTAGTGAAATGAGAGCAAAGAAAAAGAGATTTAGCTCTTTTCATGTTGTTCAGTCGTTTCAGTGTGGACAGAGCTTAATTACCTGGCTGTGATTGTATCAGTTTATGGGTCTCACGTTGTTTGGACCCTGATTTCTTCTTTTTTTTCTGATTGGGGAAGTTAGTTGTTAAGCTTCTGTAGCTACTTCCCTGCAGACACCCTCTTTATAATCAGCACCTCACATGACTCACTCAGAAGTGGTTACACACTGAAACCTTGAAATTGCAGATATGTCACAGAATACAGTCTTGTGATGAAGAATGTAATGATAGCTTGATGGAAAATATGCTGCTACCCTGAAGTCAGGAAGAACAAGAAGAAGAAATTGTTTCCATCATCACATGTCTTGTTGGTCTGCCCGAGCACACAAGCTTGCATTACTTGTTTATCCATTATTTGTGTGAAATGTCATTCCAGCAGGGAAGGGGGGCTCAGTAGAGACAAGTGTTCTGCAAATGTCAAAGACATTGTTTTTATGTTGCAGTGTGCCATGTGGGAGTAAAGCGTCCCAGGAGTGCCATGCTAGCCACACAGATGCCAGACACGCCACCTGAGGCTAAAGATGTCAAACAGGTAAAACTACAAAATCTTTTTACCTTGTAGACTTCTCCTCTCCCTGGTTGTTTCCTGTTTTACAATTAATGCTGTACCTCTGGTGAGGGGGTCTGAAATTTGGATGGATTTTTGCTAAACAGGGTCAGGCTGTGACATTTAACTAGTATATGTTGTAATTGTACTGTTGCAGCTTTACTCAAAAGTGTTTACAACACTTTCAGCGCTGAACTAAAGTGACCCATTCACTTGCTTGTGTATCTTATTACAGTGTATTTAGAACAGGCTTAACACACAGTCTGATGCTTTTAAAGAGACAAGGCAAGACTGATTTTTTTTTTTTTTTTTTTGGCAGAGGGGGGTTATAATATAATTATATTGGTGAATTTTATGTTTCAGGTATAAACAATGCTACCAGTAGACCACACTTCAAAGTTTTATTAGTCACATGCCAGGGTACAATGTACAGTAAGCAAAGCAGTGAAATGAGGGTTGGACTCAGCAGCAAAGCAGAAAAAATGTAATTTAATATTTTGGAAAATATTGCATATGGAGGGGAATATATACATTGAATATTGTCCCAAGCCTATAAAAGACAGGAGTGCAGACCTTGTTTGGTTAATAGTTAGCTGAATATACTGTATGTGAGACTGTTTTAATACAATGTATTAAACAGCATAGCTTTGCAGACGCTGTACAATGTACTACTGAATTAATGTATGCGAGTCAGGAAGCTTGGGAAGAAGACGATTTGTTACTATGGAAATTTTATAGCCGTGAAGCTCGATTCTTGCCAAGTCAAGCACTGTAAAAGAAGGGTACTTCAATGTCTAGTGTTGAGAACATGGAGATCATCTCGAGCCTCTCAAAGTGTTCTTATTCTGCAAGCTGTTGCATAACATAGGCTTGCTTGTTTTATGTTTTAGGCATCATATGACAGTAGGTTATCTACAGGCCACGTCTCATAACAGCACGGCCACTCACCTTGCTCTGTAGAGTGGAATGCAGAAACTGTCGGCTGTATTTTATACTGCATATGAAAATTGAGCTCTTCTGTCTGTTGGTGATAACAGAAGTCACTGTCAGTTTGCCAGCCTGCTTCCTGTCAGAAGGGCACTCATTTGACTTCTCTCTAGAAAAACAAGGAAGCTGATTAATATTTCCCTCTCCCGTCCACCATCACATTGTAGATCAAAGAGAAATTGGCGCAGTCGCTCAAGGCCCTGCAGAAGCGATACGTAACGTCAGACACAGTGGTAACCAGCGAAGATGGCGACGCTAACCTGCTCTGCTGTGCCCTGGAGGCCATCTTTATCCATGGTATCAAGAGCAAGTACATCCGCTCGGAGTCTGGGGGTCGGACTAGGAAGGGAGACCGGGGCCCCCTCCCTCAGCCGTTCTTCTGGAGCCTCCTCAAGACCGTCACCCACCGGTAGGCTGCATATTTACAAATGTTAATCAAATCTCTAATGTGATAATTTTAGGTATCAGGATCATTTTAAGGGTCATCATCCTCTCTGTTAAATCCTCAGTGATGTCATCACAGAACTAGAGAAGATCAGCTTTGTGGGCACGGACGTGGGTCGCTGCCGCGCGTGGCTGCGGCTCGCCCTCAACCATGGCCTGCTGGAGTGCTACCTTGCGTCGCTGTTTCGGGAGGACTCCGAGCTGCAGGCGCACTACCAACCCTGTGCCTTGCTCCTGAACACTGAGGAGCGGGAAGTTCTGCTCAGCTACCTCCAGGGTCTGGCCTCACTTACATTCAACCTGTCTTACAAGTCAGCTGTTCTCAACGAATGGACCACCACGCCCTTATCTCTCGCTGGACTCTGCCCCTTCTTGCAGACAGATGCACTCGACCTGCCCCTTAACGGTGGGGATCATCCCACCTCCAAGTCCACATGCAAGGAATCCTGGGACACGGTGTCTCAGTCGTCGGGCTCATCTGATGCTCTGGATATGCAGAGAGGGTGCCCAGTGTTGTTGGTCGGGAGGGGATCAAATACTTTACAAGGGGGTAGGACTGCACTCAACTCATCTAATTTAAGCCTGGACACCACAGGCTCCTCTCAGCTCTCCTCCAGCTTGAGCTCTGACAGCCTCCTGCAGGGGCAGGACCCCCGCAGCCCGACAGGAGAGCAGTGGTCCTCGTGTGACCTGGACCTGCCCATTAATGTCAACATCAGCAGCAAGAGGCCACAGAAAGAGTGAGTTCATCTGCAAAAAAACATAGACTAACACCAGCCTTATCTGCTGGTGTTAGTCTATGTTTTTCTTTATTGTCAACAAAGAACCATGAACACACACACTGTAGTTTATTTTAAGTTAATCCCACATAAACCATCCTGTTGCTCACTGCAGAACCAAATGTGTACTAATCTGCATCTTTAAATAGCCTCCAACAAATGCACCATTTACTCCCGTTTGAGTAATCTTTTCTAAAAACTACAGTACCCTGCTGTTGTAGGAGATGACTGAGCCTGTTGTCCAACTGTGGACTGGTCATTGTTATAGATCGTTTTATATTTTAACTTCCTCTAATATGTCTGTGTTCTTTGTTTGAGGACTTGCTGTGTTGAATTGCCCCTTGAGGGACAATTATAATATCTTGATTTTAACTTAATTGATAACGAAACTATATACATGCATACAAACATACACATATGATATTTGTGTGTGTGTATGTGTGTGTATATATATATATATATAATTATATAGTACTATATATATATATATGATCTACATTGAAAAAGAGACATCCATTGACTGTTAATAATTAAATTACAGTGAAATAATTACCTGTAAATAATGATTACAGGTAATTACAGGTAATGATAAGCCTGTCAGTGAGGAAGGTCACATGGTTTTCGGGCAGAATATCACTGACTATACAAAAGCAGCTCCTTTTAATTTACCATAGGTTATAATACCATTTGGAATGACTTTTATAGATAGAGAACAGGGGTAAGGGAGGGAGGGTGGGGAATGAGGGAGATAGAGAAAAGAGGGGGAGAAAGGGTGGGGGATGAGGGTGATGATGTTTGTTTTTGTTTGTTTCTGTCCTGTAGATAAAAAGCTGGAGAGTTATTCCATGTGCCCCTGGTTCCAGTTATAAAAGTCCCGTTCATTTTCCCATAGACAGCGTTGTGTGACTGACAGTTGAAGCACTTCTGTTGTACAGATCCACGTGAAACTCTGCTGGTTGAAACATCAAAACAACTGTTTTAGAAAATATCTGGGTTTTAGTAAAGTATAGAAGGTAACTACAAGCCCCAGAGTGCATTTCAGCAAGAAAGATTCAATCACCAAACAGAAAAAAATATCCATCCATTATTCCAGCTGTTGACACATTATTCCAAGGTGGTTAGCACTAGTGCTAAATTTGCAGTCACAGCAGATAAATAGCCTGAAGTGCAGCCATTCTTCAAACTGTTTTTTAATATGTCTGTGGTTCTTTTCAGTGAGTGGTTTTTCTCACTTAATATTACATTTTAAACATAATTCAAATGTAACTGTAAATATAAACTTGTGTTACATGTACTGCTAATGGAGGCTTAAATCTAAGACTACACTAAAACAGATTTTATAATCTGCATCTTAAATATTTCTATTTCTGAACCAAGTTCTAGTTCAGCGGTGAAATTCCCCTAAATGTACTTCACAAGGCTGTGCGTGTGCGTGTGTGCGTGTGTGTGGAGGGTTTAATGCTGCGTATGTGCTCATAGCAGTGTTTGTAGTGGGGAAGTATTTTAATATATTTGAGGCATTTGTAAAGATGTAAATCCTTACAGTCAAGATAGGGAAGTCAGAATGCATTGATAAGCAGACTAACACATTATAGGTTTTGGTCTTTTCATTTGATTTGCTGATAAGAAGAATCTTTAAAATGTAACGTAAGCATTTTGTGCAAAGGATTTTTCCTGTCATCAGCTAAAACGTTTTAGTCAAATCAGAAATGCACTTACTTAAAGAAATGGATGATAATAATATACTGTCATAACTTGTCTTTGTTTCTGCAGTTTACTGACTGAGTTCCGTGAGAGCAGGCACTGCAGTCAGGACTCCATGCGTGAGGACTCCTTTGTCTCAAGCACGGGTCCGGATCAGTTCTCAGAAACGGCCGTTTTCAGTGGCTCGGAAAGTGAAACCCAGGGTCCTGTCACGCCATCCCAAGACTTTGCAAACCAGTCCCCAGACTCTGCACTTTCCGATTCAGAGCCACCACCAACCTCCCTCGAGCTGCCGTCGTCTGACGAGCACCATGTTAACCACGCCCCCTCAAAGGTGTGTGATGATGCCTCTAGTGAGTTCCGCTCGGACACTGAGGTGATCTCCACAGTGAGTGAGCCTGTGGAGTTTGTGCAGCCTGTAAAGGAAGTAAATGTGGAGAGGAGCGAGCCTGTCCGGAAAGAGAGGGAAGCAGAAAGCTCTGAGAAGAGCACCACAGACTCTTCTGTCCACCCAGGGCCACGACGCTCCGCCAGCATCCTCAGCAGGCAGTTGTCCTCAGATTCTATATCAGTGAGTATATCTGCAGACAAATAGCTTTTAGTTGAAAATAACTCACACAGATGCAGAAAACAACAGGCCTTACCAGGACTTCATCTATAATAGTATGTGATTGAATTTCTCATCTGTATATTTTTATATAAACGCTCAGTATTATTATTGATGTCCTCTCTTCACTGCAAATTACCTATAAAAAGGAGAAATATATAATTCACTTCCCTGCACATGTAGTGTCAGTTCAGTTTAGCTGCACCACACCACCTAAAAACTCATGTTTTAACGTCCTTGTTCGTCATCTGGAATATGAAACCACCAGATTCCCGCACAGTCAGACAGTGGCCAGAATGAACTGAAACGTGTTGCGCTGTCTTCCATTTCCGTCCCGCATCTCTAATTCCATCGCAGTTAGTTTTGTGGGTGTGGGCCGTTTTAAGACAAGACTCAGTTTGTAAGGTTTAGTTTATACTGCCACACAGTTACTCCCTCATGGTTCTGTGCACTGAGGTAGCTAAAAAGTGCAGTGAGGCTTTACTCTTGAGTTTGTCTGTAGTTTCTACTTCTTAGAGTTCCACCATGCCTTCATCTTAAATTGAAGAGATACTTACAAATCCACTCAGAGTCAGATGAACAGTTCTTCTGTGGAGAAATGAAAATACAATCTAAGAAAATGTAAAGCAAGTAAATGTATTCAAGGGTCCAAAATCAACAGTCAAATAGGCTGAGTCAAGTAACTCTTATCTAATGAGCTTTTTGCATCAGATTTCTAGATATACAAGGCTAGGAGGCACCAATATTGATCTAGTAATGAAACCACATTATAGTTGAATTATACTAGAGTTTTTCCGGTACAATACTAATATTGGAAATGCCTCTGATACTACCTAAAATACCTGATTGGATATCGCAGAGTATGTGAGTCTATGCACTGATCCAGTACCACATAATGTATTAATAAATGTTTTATTTTCACACCCAAATAAAACAGCAGGTTTCCTGGAAATCAATTCTTCTTTGCCACTCTTAAACAGTGGATGATTTCTGGTAAATAGTGTAACGTTAGCTGTTAGCAAAATGTTGGTAATTTGGCAATATGTTACACTGAAAAGTCCCACCAGTAAAAAGGCAACATGTACAGTATGCAAGGATTTTATTTCAAAGGGTGACACTAGTATTAGGACGAGTGTAGGAGTTGTTATTTATTCCTAGATTTATTTATTTTTTATGATTGCCAGTCAAATCAGATAATAAAAGAAAAAGTCTATGATATTCATGTATTTGTTCATTTTTTACAACTTGAGCCATGCCAGACAACAATGACGGCAATCATATCACATCCATACAGGGTTAGAACTATGCAGCTGTTAAAAAATATTAACTCAATGGTGTTGGATCAATACTTGGTGTCGATCTGATACCATTGTGTTAAAGAAATTTACACAAATTTGGGTATCGGGTAGGAAAAAATGGTATCGGAATATCTCTTAACTCTACCAACAGCAAAATAAACACAACTGATTTGACAGAGCAAAGGTTGCTCACAATTAGTCAGTGATGATTTTACAGACAGGAAATGCAGAATTGCCCTCACTTACTCACTCACTGTTGCTATCTGGGTTTTCCCACTGAGGAACTTACAAATGGGATGTCTGACTTCTCCTGGAAGCCAATGTGTCATGGTGGAAAATATATTTATTTATTTATTTTTATTTTTTTACCCTCTCCTCAAGCCACTCAAGGAGATGAGATGATAAGTTACAATAGTCCTTCTGTGTTGTCTAAAATATTCACTGTAAAAATGAAATCCTTTATTCTGTGTTTACTGTGCACATGATTTCAAAACGGGAACATCTCCAAGATATGTCACAGTATTTCCGAAAATATGTAACTTATAATTCTCACACTACTGATCCCAAAGACAGTGGTTTCTTTCGCAAACTAATCCTTGAATAGACTCAGCTCTGTTATGTTTCCCATGATCAGGAGTAACTAAAACTCACATTTGTTGGAATAGCAACAAAAGCATTTTATTTCCTTGTTGTGCTAGCTAAAGCAGCTTCCTGTCATTTCCGCTGCAGCATTCCCGTTCCTGGATCTCTGAGGATGATATCTACAAGCCCCATCTGGAGGAGGTGTCGGACAACGATGAGACGCCCCCTCCTGCTCCTACACCCGAGCCCAAGGTCTCCCAGTCACCTCCCAGTGTCGTCCATCGCAGGCAAATAGGTATTCCACAGCACCTCTGTGTTTTGAGTGTCAAACTGGAACAATGATTTTTATATATCATCACTGCATGGTGTAACAGAACACAGGGTTTGCCGCCTGCCTCCATGCATATCCTAATCTTTCTCAACTAGAGCTGAAACGAGTAGTTGATTAAAGGATTGACAGAAATCGGCAACTATTTTGTTGATCCATTGATTGTTTTGATCATTTTTGAAGCAAGAATTGTGAAAACTAACCATTCTCTGATTTTTTTAAACTTCTCAAGTGAGAGAATTTTTTGGTTTTCTTTGTCATTCATCATTGTAAACTGAATGTATTTGGGTGTCGGACCTTGGTTCAAACAAAACAAGATGTTTGAAGCCTTCACCTTGGACTCTTGGAGGTTGTGATGGAGGTTTTCATTATATTTTCACATTTAATAGACTAAACAATTGGTTTGAAAAAATCATTAGCTGTAATGAAAACTCTGGATTCAAAGATTGACTTTACATTGGTTTCCTGGTGTGTTACTGCCCCCTGTAGATCAGTGGAACCGTGCTACTAGTGGTCAAAAACTGTAAACAAACCCCGTGAGCAAAGGTTGTTACCAAGGAATTAAGCTGAAAGGTAAACGGAAATGTTCAAGTGTAAGTCAGCCAAACAGAGCAGGAAGTTCCTGTAGCACTGGAAACTTTGAAATGTGACTTTGAAACACGTTGCAGTTCAGGCCACTCCCAAAATAATGCTGTCACAGCATCTAGCTGTTAAATGGGAAAACACCTGTTGTTGCATAAATGATTGGGCTGTGACCAGATTGCACTGGAATGTAATACAATAGTGTTTCTTGTGAGACATCACCTGAATGAGTCAGAGTGATGAAGAAACAAAGGGAAAGCAAATGTGCTGCTGCAGAATTTCCTGGTGAAAATCCACCAGGGGGGGAGCTGAGAAGGGAGATGGTGAGAGATGTAATCTAAAACTGCAACAGTGAATTATTGCGTGGAAGTGCTTGGACTATGGAGAATTGGTTGCCACACTGCACACTGTCAGTAGGGGCTGTACTCCAGGAACTACAACTGTATAATCTCATTACATGAGGGGCTTTTTTCACCACAGGCTAAAAGTAGCTCCTAATTAGACAAAACAAAAATAAGGGATGTGTCAGTCCTAACTAACAAAGCTTTGGGTCTAAGAGTTATTCAAGAACCTTTTAGTGTTAAAAGTAGTTTCTGAGAGATGTTAGAGGGAGTCCAGAGGACTCCTCAGTACTACTGTCAGTAATGTTCTGCAGGTAAAGCATCTCATTTTAGCATTTTTTTTTGTAAAAATATAATTATAATGAACATTTAAAACATTTTTTTTTGCTGGATTCAGTTACTCACCAACAAGAAACCTCTTTATAGCTTTGAATTCTGTGCTCACAACTGATATAATCAGTTCAGTTTGTCGTCTTCACAGAATTATGATAAGCTTATCTTTCCACTGCCGTTTCCTGTAAATCCTATTCATAGTTATTACCATGTTTGTCTTGTGACTTTAAAGTCAAACATAGTTGACTCTTTTCTTTTACTTTGTCCATCTGTCTGTCTGTCTGTCAGGGCTGTCCAACCCATCTCGTGGCTTGCTGAAGCTTGGTCATCTAGAGAGACGAGGTGCAATGGGAATGTGGCGCGACTACTACTGCGAGCTGTCGCCGTTCGAGTTCCGTCTGTATTTCAATGCAGAGGAGCGGATGTGCTGCAACAACTGCTCCCTGGTGCGATGTGAGGAGGCTCGCATCACCTCACCCGAGGGCCGCTTCGAGTTGGCCTTCCCGGGGAAGCGACTGTACCTCAGAGCGGCCAATCATGGCGAAGCTGAGGACTGGGTGGACCGGATAGTCGAGGCAGTCAACAAATGTCGTCCGGCGTCTTGTGTTGATGAGCAGTGGGAGGTGCTGCAACCATCCAGTGAGAACGGTGTAGATGAACGCACATTTTCATCCCCGTCCTCGACCCCTTCCAGCCCTGAGAAAAGCTTATCATCTACCATCACGGGGACATGCGCAGGGCTGGAGGCACCTCCTCTTCACCAGGAGTTGGACTGGACTCGGACTGCTGATTTGGAAACAGACGCCATCAAAGAAGCCGTTTTATACTTCTCTACAGATCCTGAGGCTCGGACATGGGTACCTCTGATCTTCTCCCTCTCCTTGGAGGCCTTGAAAGGCTTCCGGATACAAGGGGGGAGAAAGTTTCTGCAGCTCACCCATCCCATTGAGGAAATCCGGGACGTGGTGCCTGATGTCTCCCTGGGAGGACCGGCCTTTTTCAAACTCTTGACGGTGAGGAACACGCTTAGACTCAGGGCGGAGAACCCAGAAGAGGCTCGCTCGTGGAGGGCTTTGATCCGTGGAGCTCTGGACTCTTACCTGGAGAGCGGAGAAGATGAGGGCTCTGAGGAATCAGCTGCAGCACACATGGGGGTGACTGGAAATCTCTACAGACTGGTGCAGCACAAACTAAAAGAAAATGGAGCACTTCTAGTTCATCTTTGCACCGTGCCCTCGGAGAAGGGTCTGGACACTCAGAGCTTCAAATGTGCAGGTAAACCTGAGGTGTTACGCCTGGTTTGGTTCACTCTCACTTTCATCACTCAAGCAAAGTTAGCTCAACTATGTTTACATTTAGCAGGTAAAGAGCCAGATATTTCCCTCAGGAGTTGGTGGGGACCAAAAACAGAGCTAAAAGAGGGAATTTTGGACTTGTGTTGCTTCAAGTTCACTATTTCACCTTAAAAGGTGTTAATATGTTAATGTTTTCTTCATGATTTGTTTCCAATACCCCCAACTGCCCAAAAAATCAGCTATTGCAGATTTAAAGTCTATTCAGGAGTGTGTGTTGTATGTATGAACCTGGATGAATTTGTTTTTCTTGTGGTTGTGAATCAGAGGCTGAGATTTGTTTATTTTGTGTCATACACAGGGTGTCCTCAGCAGATTGGCCCGTCCCGGAGCAGAGCCAGGTTGTGTGAGTTCTCGGGCCAGTACTACTGTGACTCCTGTCACCACGGTGACACTTCCATCATCCCTTCACGCATGGTGCACAACTGGGACCTCACACAACGAGAAGTGGGTGTCACACATACAAATCACTTCTTTACTATTTACTTATGTACAAACACAGATGGCGTTATCAGATATTGGAATGACACGTCAAATTCAGTGATACATAAAGGCTTCTGTTATCTGATCATTTAAAGCCAATATTGTAGGCACAATTTTAATTCTCTTTTGATGCTAATTATTCAACCACTGTATGCGCTGGTTTCACTTTAAAGACTGTTTCATAAGTTAGACATATACTATATATGTATGTGTGTGTGTGTGTGTCCAGGTGTCTAAGAAGGCCCTGCGGCTGCTTGCTCAGGTGCAACAGGAGCCTCTTCTGAACCTGGAGCACTTAAACCCTGAGTTAGTGAGACACGCAGAGTCTATGGCTCAGGCCCACGAACTACGACAGAAGCTACGTCTGCTGGGCGACTACCTGCTCACCTGCCGCAGCGGAGCCTACAAGAAACTCCAGGCCAGGTGTGTTTTTGCGTTTTCTACAGGGTATCTGCAGCTCTTGAAAAGTCTTGAAAGTATTGGATTCAGTTTAAGGCCTTGAAAGGTATTAAAGTCTCACATTTCTTGTATATCTTGCCTCTGTCAGAAATTTCTATCAGAACCATCAAACCTGTAGCAAACACTGGAATCTCTTCATCTCATAGTGGGCAACTGTCAATTTTGACAAAAGAATTATTATTTTTTCATTTTTTATCAATAGTTTTTAACTGGTAAACCCATATATGAATTATTTTACACCAGTTAACATTGCGTAAATATTTATATAATTAGGAATTATTGTTACATGCTGCTGGCAGTTACTGAAAAAACATGATATGAGAATAAATAATTATAGGCCATATTGTCCCTACAGCTTATCCATCATACTTTTAATTCTTTTATTTCTTTTATGTAGTTTTAAAAGGTCTCAAACTGAACTCTGCAGAAACCCTTTTAATATTTTTGCATTATTTTATTATTATATGTTTTTGTTCTTTTTTTTTTTTAAATGCCTGTGCAGAATGGGGCAGCGAACGTACCTGTTGGAATCGAGCCACCTGTACAGTGTCGCAGACCTACGACAGGTATCCAGCTGGCTCGGTTACGTTGTTACTTCACCAGTCCTCTGCCTCCTTGAAATGCCCTAATACGCGTGTGTCTGTCTTGTTTTTTTCTAGATAGCAGACGGCCAATATGCACCATACCTGACGACGCTGACACAGTTTGCCTCCAACCACGTGTTTCACTGTGACCTGTGCACTCAGCGTGGCTTCATTTGCCAGATATGCCATGCTGATGACACCATCTTCCCCTTTCAGTTTGATAGCACCACCAGGTAAGTTATCCTGGACCACCTTATTCCTGCTTTCACCTCCTCCCTGTTTTCCTCACCCCATTCATTCATCCCCAAAACTGCTTTTTTCATTCACAATATTTGTTTCAATTCAAAAAGCCAACAGTTGATGAAAGGAAAGATAATGTCTAAAGAAAAAAGAGACTTTGGGACCAAAAATGTGGCAGAACAATCAGATTTTTTTATCTTACACACTCACTCCCGCTGTTTAAACCATCTGTGAGTGTCTGTTTTTCCAGCTCGCAGTTTGGTTGCCATTATTTCTGGTCTTCCTTAGTTACTTTTAAGCTCCTCCCACTGACATCAAACGTAGATAAATTTAAAAAAGTTTGTCTTTTGCATACTGAGTCCCAGCTATATTTTAACCTTACAGTTGGTGCTTGGTGTTAAAAACATGATTTTTATAGGCATTTTTGTATAGGCATTAAACAAGCAAATTTTGATTGTTACAGAGAGAAGTCGTGTTCCTTCAGCTTTGGAAAAAAATAAATCTAACAAATAAACAATAAACAAACAAATCTCCACACACTGTTCTATGTATTTCTTTTTATGTATACATTTACTGTTATCATAATTAAATGAAACCATATGTCAAAGGACAATTACGTAGCATTTGGTTTTTAAAACTCAATTGATTTTTCTTCATTTTGTCCTAATTTTTTGCAATACTTATATTAGATATGTATTATATATAGATATATTACAAAAGACATTTACTGGATGCATAGAAATTGTTCATTATTACTTTTTTTTTTTTTCTCTGGATATGTTCTAAATCTTGTTTATTTCTTCATTCAACATTTCTTTGAAATAATTCTTTTTTTGTCTCTGACTCAGGTGTAAAGATTGTAAAGCCGTGTTTCACCTGGTTTGTAAGGCTCCCGAGGGGTCGTGCCCTCGCTGTCTACGAATGAAGAAATACCTGGAGAGGGATCTTAAGGAGGACTGAGGGCAGGCAGCAAGACGGCGATGAGGGAAGGGGAGAAAAAAATAATGGAAACCTAAAAACAAAATCTAGCTTTTACATGAAGTAACCTCAAGTGCAATTATGAGCGCAATTAACCTGCACTAACTGACCATAAAACTGAAGACGAACGTGTAGGAGCCACAGTGCTACAGTAGCTAGACTCTCTTGCGCTAATTTAGAGGTGCGTCGAGCCCCGTGATGCTGACACATTGCAGCCAAATGTTACTGACTTCAATACCTCTCTGAATTCTGATTCAGCCACGGCATCAAAAAGGAAGGACAGGACACCGGTGACGGTTGCTGCCAAGAAGTGGATCCAGTACATTTTCATGTTGTGGGTTTTTTTTTTTTTTCTTCTTTTTTACTTTGTTTCTTATTGTGACAGATACATTCTTAAGCATCATGTTTACCAGAAATGCTCTATCCTGCATTTTTCTTGGATGCACAAAGAAAAGTGGCATATTTAAATGTAACACAGCAGTGAGACTGGGTACTGTACACGCAGAATAATAAAAACAGCACTTGAAATGTTCTAATTAACACATTTTGATTGTGCCTTCGTTTTAATTTAAGCTTTACACTATGTTCCTCTTGGTTTGTCCCTTTGACAGGGTCAAAAAGCATCACATAGGCTGTTTTTTTTTCTTTTATTAAATTGCCGGAACCATAAAGTGAAATAACACTGATTGATACAGATGCTCTGATTTGTAGAAATCTGTCACCAAGAAGACTTTGTGGAATGTTTCTTGTAGTATATAACTCAAGTTTATTTAAACTTACAATCAGGCATTGGTTTGTATGATTTAAGATCCAGCTTTGTTTTCCTAAAGGTTCCGAGGGAGTAAATAAATTATAAACATGTTGGTGCAAATTAAGATTTTTTTGGGGGGGGGGGTTATTATTGGATTTCACAATGATTCTGAAGTCAAAACATATTTTGCACATTTGCACGTAGCTATGACTGTTATGGATATTTCAGTTGTAATATCCTCCAGCACATGAAATTACCCCTAAACTAAGTAAGAAACCCACGTTTCATTTTCACCTCTTCAAATATTTCATTCTGTAGAGTTAAACTCTATTTGAGATTCATTTTTGCAGAGAACAAAAAAAAAAAACACTGAAGGTTTACTTATCAATTCATTTTGATATATGCAGAACATATCACTTGTAAGTGGCAAGTACAGAATACTGCAGTACTGTTATTCCTGTTTTGTTTTGTTTTTTTTAATTGTCATCTCATTTAGTATGTATAAGGTATAAATGAACATTATACAATAAAATAAATGTCAGTGTCACATTGTGTTCTCTTTTGTTTTGGACAGTTTTAGACTAAAGCTGAACTGGATTATAGATCATTACTGTGAATTTCATGGATGTGACATTTTCTCTTTGGTATTAATGCTTTTCATGCTCTTATTTTTTTGTTCTAGTAGGTGGCTCAGACAAAAGGCTGTCAGCATGCTAGTTCACTTAGTGTGGGCTAGATAGGTAGATGGAAGTGTAGGCTGTGTTGATTGCTGAGATGAGGTAGGTCATTATCACAAAACTGCCACAAAAACACACAAAAGTCCCACAAAACATCTACAAAGTCTCACAAAATGACCAAAGAGACAGAATATGTCCACAAAAAGAAGCTAAATGACCATAAAGAGACACAAAACAAATATTCTGGGTCTTGCTCCTGTGCAGAAGAGGTGGGGGTTGCTTCTTCATGTCTGTGCTCAAGGGCCTTGTTATTTGGACATTTAACTAGTAAGCAGGAAAAACACAGGTGCAACTAATCACGTCTAATCACATTACACTGCTCCCTTGCTCAACACCAAGGCCCTGGAACTGTCTCATCGTTAATATTGTTATAAGTTTCACCTGTTTGTGTTTGACTTAATTTTATTGGTGTGATTCAATTTTACTTCATTAGATGCAAACTGCAGAAGTTAAAAACAGCAGAAATATAGTTATATAAAAGCCTATGGGTGAAATTTCAACTTCATTATAAAGCGAAGCAACCAATAAACACATGAAGTTGTTCACATGTTCCGACAGTCAATAATACTTTAAATTAAATATCTTATAGAAGTGTGCAACTTTAAAGATGTTTAACAAGTTTAAATGGTGACCCCCCCCCCCTCACTCACTCTCCCTCCCTTAGAGAACTATAATTTGCTGGCAGAAGTAAACTCGCATAACAAAGAGGATCACGGTAATGGGAGGAGTAAACAAGGACAACAAGCCTGAAAAACACGTTTCACAGGGCGCCCAGCTCAGTCGGCTTCTCTCACTGCGGCCGGAGCGGCAGATTAGGTCTCTACTCTCCACCACCACCAGCTCCACCAGCAGCCTCACATTCCTGTGAGCGTCCGCCACCACCCCCCACCCCCCCCGCTCCACTCCACTCTACTCCACTCCACTCAACGCTGGTAACCATTTTACTTGTTTTTATTTGAGCCGTGAGTCAGAGAGTCAGAGAGTCAGAGAGTCCGGGGACGGGGGCGAGGGATGGATGCTACCGAGGGAGACGCACCGGTGAACCCGCAGGAGAGGAGCAGCCACACGGCGTTCATAGACAATAACACTCTGTATGTGTGGGGAGGCTACCAGGTAAGAGACGTCAGGTACCTGCGCGAGGAGCCACGTCACGAGTTAAACAAGCTATTTAAAGTCTCCATTGTGGGAATTTCATGTTACTCCAAATAATCATTTAACGCTCATATTAGGAAATGAACTATGTTCTACTTATCTCAGCTGCCACTTCATTAGGTACACCTGACCTCAGCCAGTGCAGTGCAATAAAAACTCTTAAGAGGTGTTCATTCAACTTTATGGTTGAATTAAATGGCATCATACTAAAGATGTGTATTTTGTCGCCCCTTTATTGATATAAGTGTGGTGGACAAAATAAAGACACCTCAGCATTCAAAGCAGCCATAAAATTGAACAAACACCCTTTTAAATCAGTTTAAATTACAACTGAATATTATGTAACCTTCATGAAAATACAATTTAATGAGGGCTGTTGTATTATACTGCTTTGGTAGGTGTATCTAATAAACTAGCAGCTGCATGTGGAGACCAATGTTAACCTAGAAAACATGCAGGAACATTCTCAAAAACAACTTGTGACAGGATCCGTCTGTGAAACCTTGACTGAAGGAACATGTTTTGACAGGAAAATGTGTCTCGCACTATATCTTGTTGCATCCTGGTTGTTGCTATAGGTACCATATCAAAAGATGCATATGAACATTAACAGTAAAGCAATATTTTGATATTTTGGGTGTCAGTTTTTAACCTGGAATCGTGCCACTCTTGCAACATCTCTGGTGTCTTTGTTCAGCAGATAAAGGCACAAGTACACTGTGTTTTCATACGTGACTTTATCTCCATGTTCCCTCACAGGTGGTCGCTCGAGAGGATGTCATGTTGCCCAGCGATGAGATATGGCTCTGCGATTTAGACAGCGGGGCATGGTAAGGTAGAAATGAGGCTGTTTTTTTTTTTATCAGCTGAGATGAACACTGTCACCCTGACCCTGAAGCTGTGGATGTAGGCCTAAGAGTGCGTGTGTTTCTTCTGATAAAATTAGTTCTTTAATGGTACAAACAAGATATGGTGAACACAGGCTTGATTTAAAAACAAATACAGTTAAAGAGGGAACGCCTTGTTTTTCAGGCTCATTCATGTGCTAACAGCTCCTGTGTTTGTTTGCTGAGACCAAAGCCACTCCAATCTTTATTTTTTTACATTCTCACGTGTGTTTTTACATTTACAAGTGTTCAGTTCGCTCTCTCTTACCACCCTTCTCCTTTTCTGCGTGACAGGGAGCGGAGGGAAATCACAGGAGACATTCCCCCAAACTTAGAAGGCTTCTGCGGCTCCCATGTCAACGGCACACTCTACATTTTTGCGGGATGCGACCCCGTCGGATACACCAACCAGGTGAGTTACCGTGGACAACAAGTCATGTTGTGGTGTTTGTTTAAAGCAGCTGACTCCAGCTTCGCCTTGAGTGTTGTCATGACAGTGGAGTCACAGAGCCGGTTTTTGCTGAAAGATAACAATATATTGTGAACATGATACATCGGGAGCGCCTGGAGGAAGTTTGATTTACATTTGGCGCAAATGTCCTTTTTGACTCAAGGATGAACTGATTAGTTTTTTGTGGTCAAAGGTCAAGGTAAGTGTGACCTCACAAAACAACTCAAGAATTCATACAGTAATTATGAACAAAATTTAACACAAATGTCTAATAGGATGACATTTTTTATATATATATATATATATCCAAAAGGTCAACTTCACTGTGACATCATATTGTTCTTAACATACACTTAATACCATCCATTATCCGTACCGCTTATCCTTTATGGACGCGAGCCAATCCCAGCTGACATCATGCGAGGGTGGGGACACTTAATACCTCTTCTCTACATACTGTATGAGTCCAGACAGACATGGATGTAAACTGCAACTTGACAGCATTTAGTTGTATATTTTTCTTGTACTACACAAAATGTGCAAGGATATATTTAATTTAGACGGGAAACAGCGTTGCAACTTGGGAAATGGGCTAAAATCACTTTTATCATTGTCTCAAGGGATGTTGGTATCGAATCGTCCACCACTTTGGTCCAAACTGCACAAAAACCAGTGCGTCCTGCTGCTATTAATTTCCACCAAACTGCAACTTGTCTGCACGATCATTGCCGATAACAATTCAAAGTGAATACATAAAGGACTTTGAACTATTGCAATGTCCTCTTTAGAATAAAAATGTCCCTTTTTTTTTTTTTTTTTTTTTTTCTTTTTTATATTTAACCTTTATGGCTCTTGAGGTACGTGATCTCTTTTGTAGGAGACCTGGGAGGCGTAAAGAAATGAGCTTGACCCACTGAAAACAGTTATAATCTTCATAAAACATGGCTTGAATGCCTGGTATGAAGGCAGTGTTTTCAAATGGAGCTCATACCAGACTCTGTGGACACTGGAGATAATCCAGCTTGATCATCTGGTCTGATAAATGTTTGAAACATGTGAAAGCATGTGACAGACAGGAAGTTGAATGAATGAATGTTCTTAGTCTTTTCAGTGCAGTCCATCTGATGAACACATAAATTACAGTGAGTTTGTGATCCAGCATTCAGAGTAAAACACAGACTGGTACACACTACTTGAGCTTTCTATCATAGGGTTTTTATATAAAGCTTATTTGATTATATGATTCTCTATTAGATGATCTGAGGAATTTAACTCTCCTGTTTGTAGATGTTCAGTGTTGACCTCACAGAGCCGTGCTGCTCATGGAAGAAAATGACTGACACCAAGGGAACGACGCCGTCGCCACGAAACAAACACTCGTGCTGGGTACACAGAGACAGGTAAGTGTCTGTGTGTGTGTGTGTGTGTCTGGAAATCCTGACTCCACACAAACTGCCCATGAAGAACCAGGTGAGGCTTCCAGCAGCTGTTCACACCCTCAACATGGCCGTCTCTTCACCCTGAAGAACTAATCATTGTGCATTTTAATTTCACATTCACAAAAGTAATTCAATAGCTAAAACAAGTGTTTTGGAATTTAAATAATGCTCAAATTTATTCATTTTTTTTTATTTGTGCTACAGCTTCCATAGTTTCACATGTGAATTAATGAGAAGGAATCCTTTTGTGTTGGTGCAGATTAATCTACTTTGGTGGATATGGATGTAAAACCATTGGGGAGGTGCGAAACACGTCATCGTCAAGCTTCGTCGTGGAGGAGATGTCCTGGGTAAATAATAATGATAATGATACAGAACAACAGCAGCTGTATACAATATTATTACGTATTGAGTGTTTTATGAAACAGAATTATTCTATAAATCTGGGAACAAGTATCTCTGAGCAAGACCAACCAATGTGACCAAAACGTGAGGTGATAATCATCAGTTATTATGTCGAGATATGATGATTTAGTTTATATTGTACAACTCAAACCCATAAGCACATTAAGATTTAGATTTTTCCTTTCTTTTTTTTCTTTTTGTTTGTTAAGACAACAATTGGAGACACGTTATTCAGGTGCTGGGGCTGGAACAATGAAGTCAATGTTTTTGACACACACACTGCTACGTGGAGCATGCCAGAGACTCGAGTGAGTAAAACAACAAGAGAGTCTAATATCTGTCTAATTTATCTACTTTTTTCTTTATTTTATTCCCTTGAGCTTTTACTTTCAAATATTAACAATACAGCAAGTGAATTCCTATTACAGACTGATGATCTTGGACTTTTTATATGATGGCCACATGAATTTGATGACATTTACCAGATGTGTTTATGGTGTAAATGTGGTTTGGCTTTGTTTGTATGTGCAGGGTCCGGCTCCTGGCCCCAGAGGCTGCCATGCCAGCGCCCTCCTGGGGAACAAAGGTTACATCTCTGGTGGTGTGGTGGGTTGAGAAGCTTATCTACACTGTAACTGTAAACACTAAATAGCCAAAAGTATGTGGACAAGTATGTAGCTGTGGTCGGGGGCTGTTTTTTGATAGTTTAACTCGGCCTTTCAGTCCCAATTAAGGGAAATCTTAATTCTGCAGCAAACGGCGACTTTTTTTTTTTTTTTTCCCAGACAATAGTGCGCTTCCATCTTTGTGGTAACAGTTTTGGGAGGCACTTTCCTGTTTCAACATCCCTTTCCTGTTGTGACGTGATGACAATGCCCTTGTGCTCGAAGTCAGATCCTTAAAAAGTGGTTTTCTTTGAGTTTGGTGAGGGAGAACGTGACTGGGCTGCACAGAGCTCAGCTCAAACTGACTGTGAGCCAGGCCACATCCCCTAAGCTCATGTGGCTGATTTTTGAGCTGATACCTGTGGAAAGCGAGTGTCTGGATACTTTTGGCCATGTAGTGTATCTGTAAACAGGTTGCAGTCTGTTTACTATACGCACTTAAAACCTAAAATGGGAGTGTATGTGATTGTTTACAGGAGACAGCAGAGTTGGACCTGTTCTGCTTAGACCTGGAAACCTGGACCTGGACTCAATTGTAAAACTTCCTTCACACACACACACACACAGACACACACACACACACACACACACACACACACACACACACACACACACACAATAGACAGATTTCATTTCCACAGCTTTTCTTCCTCCAGTGATTTACTGACTGCCCCCCCCCCTCTCTGTTATATATATTACACCCCACCAGTGACATCTCCTCGTCCTGTTCACCCCTGGGGCGCTCCATGCACACCATGACGCCCATATCGGATCACGCACTCTTCGTGTACGGAGGTCTCGGCACAGACGGAAACACTCTCAGTAAGTCTCCAGCTACAGCACAAGTATCGGCCTCTTTAGTTTCTATGTTTAAGGCTGCGTGCCCCCCCCCCCCCCACCATCTGCCCTGCAAAAATATGCACAGGGTTGAAGGACATGTCTTTTTAATGCATCTCCAAGAAACAAAAGATATGGTCATCGTGAAGTGGTTTTGTTTTCCCAGAGATGTGAAAATCCTCCCTGTTTTGTTTAATCTCTACTTTATCCCTGACCTCTTTCCTCTAGACGACGCCTGGCAGTTTAACACGGTTAAAAGAGAGTGGACCAAGATGACACACCCACACAAGGACAAGCCCAGGTAGTTGATTCATGAGTGTCATAAATGTGTCTGGTCCAAAAGTAAAAAAAAAAAAAACAACGATAAAATGATGCAAAGCCATGGTCGTCCTCCTCCTCAGGGTCTGTCACACCGCGTGCCTGGGAAACGACGACGATGTTGTTGTGTTCGGCGGAAGCAGTAACCTCTGCATCCTCATGGACTCGGTATGTGATGGGAAAGCTTCTCAGTTACACTTCCCTCCCTCCCTCTGTGATATTGTGAATTGTATGTTTTCCTTGAGTGAACTAATTATAGACTAAAACTGTTACATAATGAAATGTTAAGTGGTTTAGGGGCTCAAAGGCTCACTTATGTGGTAATGTAATGACTTCACACATGGAACCAGCGACTGTTTACAAAGCTGTCAGTGAGGTCAGAGCAGGACAGGATGACTGACGGTGTGCACACGAACATGTTCAGATGAAGGGTGTGAAAATGTTGCCGCCCTGAGAAATAATCTCAAATCAATCAAAATCTGCACAATCTGAAAAAAGACTCAGTTCCTGTAGCCATGCTAGTGACATCACAACGCAAACATGCTGTGGTCTAGAGGGTGTAATATTGATATCTAATCAATCACAGCAATCAATTCACTTTTATAGTCGAGATATTTAAACTAAAAACAAAACGACATGATAACGTCATGGTGGCGTTTGAGGAAAGGTCGGGGCGTCACCAGGGTCAGTAGGATTCATCCTCTGGGAATCACGTATGTCTGTGCAAAATTTAATGGTAATCCATCAAGTAGTTGTTGAGACATTTGGATCACAGCAGTGGATCAATAAACGGACGGATAAATGTCATTTTTCTATCATGTGATCATTGTCAATCCTCTTGTCATCAGGTGGCTGTTCTTAGGGCTCCATCGCAACATCACTGCAGAGACGTGATCATCTTCCAGACCCAGCCGTACTCCCTCTTCAGGTAGGATGAACCTCCCCTTTTTTTTTTTTTTCTTTTTTCTTTTTTTTTTTTTTATTTCTGATCCACACGTGCAGCTGAGAATACAAAGACCAACTTGATATTCTGTTACGTGTTCAGTGGGACACTGTGGCTTTTGTACTCCAAAAGCATTTCTCGTTACTGTACATCTTGTACAGTGGCTACGTGTGAGAGCTTGTTTGCATGTCCTCTCTCCGTTCACACATGATTAAGCAGTTTTAACAAAGTCCACAGAGACCCATTAAACACTCTCACTCTGAGCTGCACGGCTCCCTGCTGGACCTGTGTGCCAGCTCACGTACAACAGACATGGTGTTATGTTAATGAGCTTTAACTTTATACTATGCATGGTAGGCAATAGGCTGTTTATGTGACATGGTCGGATTAAAGTTTCTCAGATGAGATTAAAATGTTGGTGGTGTTCATTTGACCCTCTGAGCTCTTTCTTACCAACCAGTGGACTTTTTTTTTTTTTTTTTTTTTTGTACATTTGTGTTTTTCAATCGGTGAGGTTAAAGGTATCAGATTTGTTAAGGCTCTGTGGATGCTTAGCTTCGCAGATTGCACTTTTCAGGAAACCGGAAACCTCGGAGGGACGACGTGTGGCAGGAAGCTCGTAAAAAACAAAACAAAACAAAAAAACGAGGTGTGTGTGTGTGTGTGTGTGTGTGTGTGTGTGTGTGGCCACGCTAGCAGCTCTGTGAAGCTGTACACAGCAGAGCTTTGAGCCAAATTCTCACCAGATTTCACAGAAATCCATCCAGTAGCTGTCCACAGGAAAACCAGTGATTAGGATTCATTCTCTGGAGAACAGGAATTTAATCACAATTGATCGAAATGATGGCACATATTTTAGTCTGGAACAAGGCGGTGGACAAACAGACAGACAGACAATACCATCTCTAAATCCACCTTAAAACACTTGAAAATAAGCAATTTGCTTTAATGGGACTATTTTATTGTTGGTCCACTTATTGGTTGGTCCAGAACTTTGGTCCTATGCAAAACATCTCAACCTAGTTAATGGTTTTCCATTTATATTCAATGAAAACAATCAGTTTACAGAGGATTAATCCTAATTTTTCACAGCAGTCTCATAAATGATATTGATGGTTAGAGCTTGATGAACCTGGAAAAACTGCCATGTGTGTAAATTGCCACACATGATCACAAAATAACTTCTGCAGTGCACTGAAATAACACAGACCGATGAGACATCATTGTACGAGCATCTGAATGTAGATATATTTAGTGCTATTTCATTGATTTATTTATTTATGAGTTTACAGAAATGATGACTCGGCAGAAACACCTCTGAAATTAAGGACAATAAAAATATTGCAACCTACAGATAGACCAACATCCACCTGTGTGCAGCAGAGCATGTCAGAGCAGGGTTACAGTTACTCAGTTTTTAATGACACTGAATGTGTTTTTTTTTTTAAAAGTAGTTTTGGAGCATCTGAACAAGCTGTGCGTTTGATTTCCCCTCCCTAGATTGTGTGAGGACTTGATGGGGAAAAAGCCAGAGCTGTTTGGGAAGCGGCTGAACTGGCTGCCTTCGAAGCTGAGGAGCAGAGTTGATAAGCGAGTGGCTTTTTTCTCCAACACGAAGCCAATCTTCACAGCTTGAGGACGACTGTTTTTTTGTTTTTGTAGTTTTAGAGACATGTGTTTCTGAGCCAGTCAGTTACTACAAAACCGTTACATTTTTTTGTTTTTTTGTGTCAGGAATATTTGTAATGATTTGAAAAAACAAAAAAAACATGGTGCTAAAGTTTCATTGTTTTAACTTAAGGAAATATCATTTGTAAATAAAGTGTTTGTCTTATTTTAAACAACAAAGCTTGATTTAGGTAAAATTTTACATTGTGTAGTGATGTTTTTGAATAAAGGTATTGGTATGTTGTATTTTTAGTTCGGTGTTTATTTCTACAATGACCAATACAGTAGAATCCAGTAAAGAAACTGTCTCCTCTTCAAAACACTAATTAACAGATTACATTTCATTTAATCGAATCAGCTTTAAAAGGATTTAATAATATGAGTTTCTCTTATTCAATATATCAAACAAGCATTTTAAGGGAATTACAAGCAGTTAGTGATACAAACAGGACATTACACACTGATTTGACAAGTGACTGCATCTGTTAGTCAGTCCAAAGCTAAGGCTGCACTTTTACATAAAAAGGTAAATATTACCTGAGAAAGATAAAATTATACATGTGTGAAGTATTGTAGTTAATAATTTTTTATTTCCTGTTTTTTTGTGAATTTATTCCTTCTGCTTTCCTCCTACTTTCTATAACATAAAACCTTTTTCACTTCAACCTTTAGTATCATTGATCTTCCCTGAAGTGAAATTCCATCATTAATCTAATTTTTCAAGAACCCATAACATATTTTGAAAACCAAAGCAGGACCAGGCAGGGAAGACTATTTTTTTGAACAGCTTTTTTTTTCTTTTTCTTTTTTTTTTTTTTTCCATTTGCAAAAGGTAATTTCGAGAAGAGGCCTGATTGTAGGTGTTGACAGAAGATTCACGGGGTAGCTGATGCTGGAAATGGACGGCCTAATGTCTGTTTGCTTCACACAGGTCGGACGTAGTTAGCAGGGAGCATGCCCCGCTGCCCTGTACGCTGGTTGCATCCGAACACCCACCCCTCGTCTATCGGCTCCACGTCCAGGATCACATCCCCCTCCAGGAGAGAAACCTCATCTGCCTCTGCTGCCGTGTAGCTGTACATGGCCTGGTAACGCTTCTGACACACACACACACACACACACACACACACACACATGTTGCATAATATGAAGAGCACACAAAGTTCAAACTGATTACTTTGCATTGAATTTCCCTAGTGGAGGCATAAACACACTCATAACTTCTACTGTACAAACACATGTAGCAGCTACACTGACAGTTGGCAGACACTCAAACCACATTCACGCAACACACACACACACACACTGTGGGTATCATTAAATCCCAAGACTTGTATATGAACAAAAACTAAAAAGCTAAACTATTATCAAACATCAAACTAAATAAATGTTCATGTGTGTTTATGTACGAGCCTTACCGCTCCACTAGGTGGTGCTACAGCAGCAGGGTGCACTTGTCCGGCTGGCTGTCTGAATCTTTCAGGGTTGGGTGTCTGCTCTTCGTAGTCTATATACACACACACACACACACACACACACACACACACACACACACACACACACACACACACACACACACACACATTAACACACATTAACACAGTTATACAATGGTAAATCTGTGTTATTAAGACTTTGTTTTAAAATGTACCAGGATATGTCTCACCTTGTCTGTTTTCGGGAGGAGGTGCGTCACTTCGGATTTTGCTCTTCTCAAATTCCTCATGGTACTTTATCTGCACACACATATTAAATCCACATGAGGGCGCAATATTCTGGAGTTGAACGGCCGACCCTGAAGGTCTCACCATTTTAGGAGGTGGTGCTGAGAGATGATGAGGATTTGAAGAGGCAACAGTTTTAGTAGGGAGGACATTTCTCACAGTCAAACAGCTGAAGAACCTCCTCTGCCTGTTTCAAGTTTTCATGTGAGGAGCACTTTCTTTCCTCATCTTACAATAAAACTTTACAGAAAGAAAAAGATGAAAAGCACCGATAGAAATGTGTCATTTACAAATATCTTTCTCTGATACAAAAATCCTCATCCTGATGAAAGCTGGTGCCAGTTTTTATTACACTCAGGACTCAGGATGCCTTATTTTCTTCATTTCCTGTTTGCATTTGTTGTGGCCTTTGGTTCTAAAGCAAAGAAACACTTTAGTTTTTTTCTATTCTTGACTTGACTAACAAATAAGAGTAATGTCTAAAACCTATGTGTACAGGGACCTCTGTTTTGGACTTTTATTTATCATTGAATATAAAGACATCATAAGACAAGGATGATGAGCTTTAACATGCATCAAATGGCTGTAATGAGAATATTTATCCACGCTCATATTTTGGCTAGTTTTCTGTGGCATTCACTGACGTGGGAGTTTTTTCACTGTGAATTGTTACTCGTATTTTTCTCTTATAGCTTGAATGCAACTCCATTTTTGTTTATTTTCTCTATTCTAAACAAAAGACACTGTGTTTGCTATGATATGGGATAGTCTATGAGTCACACTTTTAAACTATAACTACTTTTCACATCTCGGTAAAGAGAAACTCCAGCAGTGACATGTTTGTGCAACATGCATTAAGTCCACCAGGGGACAGAGGATGACCCGAGCTCTCTAAAATGAAGTGAATGCTTCCAGCTTTCAGGGGATGGAAGAGGAAACTGGATGTTGATTAAGGAAAAGAGGGAGCAGCCTCCTGTGTCCTCAACAGACCTCAAGAGGCGCAAACAGAGAGAGAAATTTGTGGGAAAAAGAGTAGAGGAGAGAGAGGGACTTAAAAACAGGGAGATACGAAAAAAAAGGAGGGATGGGTGGAAGAAAGAAAGAAACACACAGTAAGAAAGACAGAAAGATACAAGCTGTGGAAAAATAAGTTGCTAGATTTTGCCCTTTTGACATGCAGCTTATCACCCGTCATTCCTTTCTGCAACTGCTGCTCTCATGAGAGAGAAAAGAGAAAGTTTGTGTGTTTCAGTTTGGTATGCATGTGTCTCCCAGTGAGTGAGTGAGTGTGTGTGTGTGTGTGTGCGCGTGTGTGCGCGTGTGTGCGCGCGCAGCAGAGAGCGGACGTTCACTTTGTGTCCACAGCTGAGAGACTTTGACCATATAGGGCAGCTGCTGCTCAGTGGACGAGGAGAAATGTCTGAAATGCGCCTGTGTGTCTCTGCAGGATCGTACTCTGACATCCTTCACTGCTGTCTGGAGCAGTTTGTTCTTTGTGCTTGTGCCTCGGCTTCGTCGACTGTACCGGGCTGCAAAACTACAGTCCTGCTCTTACTGTTGTACTGACTCCTTCCACATCAGTAGAAGTGCTGCTTGCAATCTGGCCCTTACAGAAAAAAACCCCACTCTGCTTTCCCTTTGTTTTTAAAGTGTTATTACAGTCAGATATCGACCAGATGTTTCACTGTGTTAGTTAGACTAAGGAAGAGTTTCTCCTCAGAGCAGCAGATTTGAAGTTATGATGTGAAAACAGCTGTCAAATGCAAAGAATCTGCACAATTACAACCAGAAATGAGAAAACATGTTTGTTGTTAGTGGGACCGCACTTACGTTACTGATCTGGTCTTGTGTCTTCTTCACTCTCTGCATCTCTGGAGTGTCGACCACCACACTGAAACCTTTCCCCTTGCTCTTTTCAAAGTCCTCCTTGTAAAGAGCCTGAAAATTTATTGAAATATATCAACAACAACAAAAAAAAGATGTTATTTTAGAGGAATAGTTGGGTATTTTGGGAAATATGCTTATTCGCGTCCTTGCTGAGAGTTAGATGAGAAGATTAATACCACTCCCATGGCCGTACAACGTGTAGCTAAAGGCAGCAGCTAGTTAGCCTAACTTAAATACATATAAATACTGTAAACGGGGGAAACAGGTAGCCTGGTTCTCTTTGCAATATCCACTTAACAGCACCTCTGCAGCTCTTTAATTAATGTTACATCCAGTTAGTTTAACAAGTTTACTTGAGCTTTAGAGGTGCTGGTAGTTACCTTTGGACAGAGCCAGGCTAGCAGGTTCCCCTTGTTTGCAGTCTTTACGCCATGCTAAGCTAAGTGGCTGCTGCCTTTAGCTCCATACTTAGCACACAGGCATGGGAGGCACAATTTGAGGGAGACGGTTTAATTATATTTATCATGTTTCTGATTCATGCATGATTATAATCTGCATTTTAGCTGAAAATATGGAGTGATGAGCTGCATTCATGGTGTATGGATCAGGTGAATCTCGCTGTTACAAGCTGCTAAGTAAGAGTCACCTTGATGTTTCCCACTCTTTTTGCTTGTAACTCCTCAATATGAAGCCATGTCTACTTGCAATCTCCTTGTTACAGGAGGCGTGTCTGTGAATTGTGAGCAGTCGATCAAAAATGTATTTCCTCTTCTTAGACAGTTTCACTTTAATAATTTTTAGAGGCCTGAAGAGATAAAATGATACGCTATTTCACAAGAACAAACAAAAGATTGGAAAAAAATAATCAGAAAAATAAAATATAATTTTAAGCAAAAACTGTCAATTTCTTATTTGTGGGGGTCTGATTTTACAGGTTGGCAACAACTGCGCTTGGAAGCTGCTTTGATCAGTCAGTCAGCAACCAAAAAATCCGACACAACCTGAATGCAGCATCAGATGAAAACCACTTGAGAAGGATTTAGCAAACAAGTTTAAGTGTAAAGAGAGAGATTTTTCTGGAAGCGATTGCAGACATGCAGACACATAAACAGAAACACAGTTAGAGGCTGGAAAGACATCACATAGTAAAGTTGCAACTAAAACTAAAGTTGATGGATTGATTGTTATGACTGTGGAGACGTTACAAAGGACTGAAGTTGAGGTTTAGTGTTATTAGACTTTTTTTTTATCTGGTCAGCGGTTTTCGAGGTGAACCGGGCGTACATTACTGATCTGGTCTTGTGTCTTCTTCACTCTCTGCATCTCTGGAGTGTCGGCCACCACGCTGAAACCTTTCCCCTTGTTCTTTTCAAAGTCCTCCTTATAGAGTGCCTGTAAATTTGTAATTCATCAGGATTCAGGAAACTTTATTGTTCAATTTAAAATGAGACAAAGGGATTTAGAAAGACGCCTGAGGTTAACTTCTTAAAAAGGGACCACAACTTAGATTATAAGGTTAGATGTTGTTGGGTTGCACGCACACTTCTGCTAAACCTGATTCACAAATACACATAAACACACTCATGCTGTCCTTTAAACAGCTGTTTGTCAAACTTCCTTGTAGGTTCATCCCTGCGGGAAACACTTGTAACATTAAACAACGCCGAAATGTTTATTTGAAAGTAAATCTGAGATCCCCACACATTGCATACACACACACACACACACACACACACTCATGCACACACAAGTGAGTCATGTTCTTGCTATGAGGGATATGCTGTCTCAGTGAGAGAGCTTGACTGCCGAGACTTTTATGGTTATAAACAATGAACAGGGTTGGTTGGACGAGATGAGAGGAAAGGACAGAGAGAGGAGGAGGAAACGGCTTTCGGTGTAAATTTGATCATGATTTTATCATAACAATCGTGCAGCATAGTGACATAGTTATGTTACATGATGGTTTCAAATGGTTTTACCCAAAAATGGACAGTTAGAGTGGTGGCGTCCAACAAAAACAGCGTAAAGGTAAAATGAGATTCATGTGAATGTTTTAAAAAGTGACTTCACTGTTTCATGAAAATCATTTGGCTCCTGAAATACTTTTAATTCCCATTAGTAAAGAGCTCCATCTCCTTTTAGTGTCTCCATACAGAAGGGTTCTGTGCTCGCTGGATGGGTAAATGTATCAGCCGCGGTTCCCATCACATACTGTGCTGATATTTAACACATGTGGTTTTGTTTCTTTGTGTGTCCACTTAAACCTGATGACAGATTTCCCAGCATCTGCCTCTCGGTTGGAACTGGGTCCCTGAGGCCTAGGTGCATTCAAGGCGCCACGACTTGAATGCGGAAAAGTGTTCCCATTTCAATTTTGCTTGGTCGAATAGTTTGAGAAAACCACCTCGTGCAAGCGTATTAAATTCTTTTGTTACATTTGAGTTTTTTTTCACGTGATTTCATTAGTCATTTTTGAGTTTGCAATTTCAAATTGCACATTAAGCAGGTTCCTTTTTCTCACAGGTTTTCTTGGAGAACAACAGTTTAGGGCCGGTACTTCTGTGCAGGCCAGGCTGCACGTATACCACACAGTTTGGACACACTTTCTTTTGACTGGTAGTGTTTGTTCAACAGTTATCATGCAGTATTCATTCTTCTCCGCAGATTTTAACTTTCTGTTCCACAAACACAGGTGATCTTGCAGAAAAGCAGCCTTAACAGAACACAGACTCCTGATGACCTCAGTTTCAGAATGAAAACTTTTCTACCTTTTGCAGGGGAAGAATGTCTTTGCCCTCTTTCCCTGAAGTAAAATTCAAACTGTAAAGGAATCTCTTTAATTTTGCGTGACTTGCAGGACTCATCCCTTTGATCAGGTTAAGTTGCTGGCGTGAACAGTGCGAGTAGATTAGAGCTTAAGAACAGTGAAGGCAGCCAAGGAGGCCGAGTTGAGCCGGTGCCACATGAGAGACCAGTGTTTTTAAAAATACTGTCCACTTTGTGATCACTCAGCAGGAACATCTAGACTGTATAAAGCTCAGATTCGGTCACGGTCGCTCAGTCTCAAATCTTCACAGCAGAGTTAAACTGGCATTCTCTCTCTTTGCTATTTGGTCAAAGGGCTCATTTGATTTAATCGAAGGAATCCAATTGTCACGAGTGCAGAGCCGAGAGGTGCGTCCTCGTCTCCTGCTGTGAGACAGATAGAGAGCTGAGTGGAGGAGACAGACGATACACCGAGTCATGATGACGCAACGAGATTAGGACGACTATCTGTGGCAGTGAGAGACAGCAGAGGCTGAGCAGGAGTGATAGCAGCGACAGAGGCGAGTGATAGGACTGATCCTGGGGTCTCACCTGGCTGTTGAGCATGCTCTGTTGTTTGAGACGCAGGTTCTCGGGGGTGTCGGTCACTATGGTGAAGGAGGTTTTGGGGTAATGCCTGGAAGCAAACGCAAGAGCAACAGAAATGTTTAAATGTCTCCATCTCTTTCACATAATTACAATGTACCACACAGTGCGGTTGTGTTCAGAAACCAACAGAAAATAGTCGGATAAGAACTTTTTTCTTCTTTTTTTTTTTTTTGCTAAAATTTAACAAAATATTGTTTTTAACAGGTCAGTGCTAGAAACTGAGATTAACATTATGATTTTTGGTTTTCAGACTTCCTCTAATCTTTGCTTTCCTTCTTATTAATCCTTTTTATTTCACATCTATTCAAATAAAAAAGCATAAAGGAGAGAAAAATCAATCTTTGGTTGAAACTGCTCTGTTTTATGGTGTTACAAGCTAAAAGACTGGGAACTTTTGTGGTTACAAACCTTGAAATATATTATAATGTATTTAAACTTGATCATTTGTCACATTTCTTACCACTTTGAATCTGACAATCTAATATCTCAACTATTGGTGTTTTTCCTCTTCATTTTATCATCATTATTACTACTATTTTTAAGGCACATAGGAATGATCTGACTGCTGTTGTAAGATGCAGGACCCCTGTAGAAATGCTGCCTTTATGCATGTAGGTTTATTCTTTTTTTTTTTTCAAACCTGAGATGTGCCTTATTTTCATTTTAACTTAACACACTTTATGTTCATTTATTTTTGTTTAGTATTTGCTAGAAAAATAGCAAAATAGTAAAATAGCCTCCAAGTCACAAATGTGCAAAAATCTGTCAGGACTGAGGTCTGTTCTGGACATGGACAGACACCTCAGGTGACACTGAAGAATTGTTGGGATCACATGATTCAGTCTGTCTGTTCACACTTCCCTTTTCCATCACCTGCGCACACTCCAGCTTCCACTGCCCATCTGTGTGTCTTGGAAATAAATATTTACTCGTGATGAAACGACCAAAACCTCCCAACAATGAAAACTTCAGCTAGAAAATTAAAAAAACTTAGGCTTTTACCAAAAAAAGGACAAATAATAGATGTGATTAGATTTATAATACTGAATATTTTAATTTTGTGGTCATAGTGTTATGATGAAACGTTACCTTCTTGGTCACTCCTGCAAGATAATTCAGAAGTGCTTTGTCTTAATCTGATGCTTTCCGGTCACTTGATGTTTAATGATTTCAATAATGTGGTGGTCAGTGAGGTGTAAACACTCACATACTGCAGTAAGGTTTCTTCTCAAATCCTTTGTAGTTCGTCATGCTCAGGGCCATCTTGCATACCTCACAGCTGAAACAACCTTTGTGCCAATACTGGAGTGAAACAAAGAGCAATGAGTCAGAGATTAAATGTGAAGAAATATTAAATGTGGTACTGAGTTCAACAAAATGATGTTCTATTGATTACAATATAAACATCCTGGAGGCCTGTGGTGACCCGTTAATCGGCCACTACAGAATTCTTATTTGGTTTTGCTGATGGTTTAAATTGATGCACATGGTATCAGCTAAAAAAAAAAAAAAGACAGGACACAGTGGGAAAATCCCTGAGAGCACAGCTGCACTGAGCGAGTGCCAATAAGAGACGGTTACATTGAAAAATTACAATATGAGAATGAATAATGGAAATTTAGATGTATATTAAAACCTGTGTCCTGGCAATGACTGGATCAAGGTTTGTTTTGTTGTACCCCGACTACCCCAGGAAACTGTTCTACATGATTTATTTGTTTGAGTTAATATCCAAAAGTCATGTGGTCACCTGAAGGAAACATCTTAGTGTCACAAAATAAAAAATTGAGCAATTTTTTCAGGGTTTTACTCTGAGAAATGTCTAAAATTCCTTAATCCAAATTCCATAACTTTGGCCTGTTTTAAAATGAAAGGTGTTTTGCTGTTTATGCAAAAACATAAATCATAATATAATAGTAAAATCTGAATAACTATCTGTTTCCCATACACCTTATTGTGCATAGAAGAAACACTTTGTTGTGTGGTTCACTGTGTGACCTTTGTGGTACATTCAATATCTGAGAGGAAATCAGACATTCAAAACAATGGTGAGTAATCCAGCTCTGTGAAATCAGGTTATTCCGCTTTGATTGTTTCCTTAAATTGATTAAATTAACCTAGACTGCGATTTTTCTTTATCTGTTACAGATACATTATCAGATCCTGCTGTTACAGACAATAAAGACAAAAACACACTATCTACTCTATCCTTTTTGTAAATTTTAGGGGTTTCTGACCAATGTGTGGGTTTGCGTCTCTTTTTTGTGTATATGCAGTATGTTTATATAATTTATGCGTGAACAAGCCAGACATTTTCATATAATAGTAGAGAATCACAGAGGTGATACTGTTTCATTAAGAACAAAAACAAAAATACAACATTTTTGGTTAAAATTAAATTGTAACAATAACAACTGGTTTTGCAAAACAGTCAGTGACATGAAAGTACACATCAAGGAGAAAAAGACCTATACCTCTTTAGTACTGACAATATTTTAAAGCATACTGACAACTTTCAGCAAAAAATTAATCAAGTGTCATTTGATGTGAGAATTTTGCAAGACTAAAGCATAAAACTGTTTAAAAAATCTACAAAATGTATAATAGTAATATTAAAGGCTAAATCTTTGTGTCATTTGGAAAAATATTCTGATCAGTGAATGGGGTTTGTCCTGTGTCACCTTACCTTATCAAGGCAGTTTATTTTTTCTGTGGGGTAAACTGGTTTCTTGCATCTTCCACAGGGCGGATTCATGGTGGCGTAGGGATTCCTCACAAAACAAAAAAAGGATAAAACGGTTTCAGAGGTGAACTACAGGCTGTGATGAGCAACTGGGACACGAACCGTCCTCTTCGCCTTCAGGCACTTCAATTAATATACAGAGGCGACCTCAAGGCGAGGAGGAGTCAAGCGTGCAGCTTGACGCATTCAAGTTCCGTCAGAAACAGTCGGATATAGGACCATTTACTTGTTGTGTTTGTGCAGAACTACCAGACTGGCGTCGAAATAGCATGTAGATAGTATAGAGGTCAAAGAACTGTAGTGATGGTTAGGTGTTGCGTAATTGTCATGTAGAGCTCTTTGCTGTTAACTTAATTCATACTTTAAATCCTTAAAATGACCCAAAATCTAAATTTGACCGAAAGCTCTATATTGATACAATTTCAATTTCATCTAACATTTTTCATAACTTAAGATAAAGCGTGTCAAACCACAGCAGGTGGCTGCCTGTTGTTCAGTATTGAGTTAGTATGTACACATTCCACTTTAAGTTTATGAATTACGGGGTTCTGCGGAGCACCTTAAAGTAGCATAAAATGCATTAGGGGGAATCCGTAATAACCTTAAAAGGAGACACAAATGATACCACAAAGTAAGGGAATACCAATTAAAATGCATTAAGGATTGGCTCTGTAATTAGTGTACATGGCCACGAAACTATAGTTTAGGGGGAAGTAAAAACAGAGGTTGCCCCCCCCCGAAACCAAGACTAAGTTAATACAAACCCATTATGAAGTGTATATCTGGTCTGAAACGCCTCTGTAATAGTAACCAGGTCAGAAATAATGAATTAAACGGCAAAAGTAAAAAGTAGACACATCGATGACAAATAAATAGTTGAGCAAACTGTAAATTAGATGTAACATTTGATGCACACGGTTTAACTGTGTCTAGTTGGCGGTCTCTGCCGGACACTGAGATAAATAACATCTCCGTCACCCATCCTGACTTCAATGTGAACGTTAGCGAAATGCTACATTATGGTTTAACCATAGACCCTGTGTGTTAATATGCGTTGTTGTGCGGTGGTACACAAAAATGAAATATAAACTCCACTGAATACACAGACCACAGATATTATTTATGGTTAAATACATGGCATGATCCCTTGCAAATGCATCGGGGGTATAGCTCAGTGGTAGAGCATTTGACTGCAGATCAAGAGGTCCCCGGTTCAAATCCGGGTGCCCCCTCTTTTTATTATCTCCATATTGGTTTGTCGTTTGTTTTAGCATATAAACCGATATAAACGTAACCAAAACTTACCGATACGGTGAAGTTGTTGAAAGTGTCCTCAGTTAACGGCTACAACAAACGCCACCCGCGCCATGTTAGAGTTAGAAGGGTTGGAAATCCTACATTTGTTTGCATCATGCGACTTTAATCAAACTTCACAAATTTATCTTTATTTCTTACACACTTTTAATTGCTTTACCGTCATTTAAAGACATTATATTACTAAAGCCAGCATCACTTGGACTATTCCTACCCCCTTTTTGGAATGGTATGTTCCACCTGTTGTAGTTGCAGTCTACTTAATGGAGGACGTAAAGTTTTTTGGGGGCGCTGAAATAAGGTCCCAGTACAGGTGTTACTACATTCGTTTTGCGCGTTAATGTTCCTACATCAAACTGTAAGTCATATATTAACATAACTCCTTGTTTGTCTGTCATTTACTAGGATAATTGGACCCTTTTTGTGGACTACTAGCACTTGTTATGCTAATTAGGACCAATTAACAGCAGCAGTGTTAATGTCAAGTTTTCATTGTTAGTCAGTTGGAAAGCCTGTTAGATGTCTGTTGCACCAGGTTAACCAATAATTATATTAGTTACAAGCAGCCAGCATGCTTGAATGTTAATATTTAGCTGTGTTTTGTCAGATATTTCCCTGTTAGCTAAACAAACACTACAGGAATAACTGTCCTTGCTTGCTATAGCTAGACTTGCTGTAATTGCAGCCTCTGCCTCGTTGATGGCTGTGGGACATAAATGATTTAGGCTCAATGTGTCATTTGGGATAAGTGTGTGTTTCTTGTAGCTAGTCTTATGGCTACATCGTGTGGCCTACTTGTCATCAATCACATATTCACTGGTTTTGTTTGTATCATGTTTGTCATTCAGAAACCACACACACACACACACACACACACACACACACACACACACACACACACACACACACACACACACACTTTTGCCCCAGTGCCACTCACCTGACAGTGGCGGCCATCTCTCCCACCACGTCATTTACCTCGGTGATACAGTAGTATATTGACATAGCTACAACTAACAATTACTGACAGGTGACAGAGTCGGAAACACTCATCGTAACCACCTGTTCACACTCAAGATGATCTGTGCCATTTGTTTTCATCTCCTCACCAAGCACAAGATTAATGTCAACACTCACCACCAGCTTTTATTAGAAGACATTTAAAGAGAAAGGTCAAAAGAAAACTCTCATAACTTGACATCGCTACAATTCATCCAAACATTTTTCTCCAGAGAAGTTTGAGATGATCATTATAATCACTATCAGTAATACAGTATAGCTAAATATCTGTTGTAGTCCAGAGATATAACATTTTATGAACCAATCATTGCTCGCGTAGAAGTTTCAAGAAACAAAAATAACTCCATAGACTGGGTAAAAACAAAAAATACATAGTTAAGTTGAGCTGTACATTGGTTTGCAGTATGAAGGCTAGTTCAATTCATTCCCTGACATCCCCTTGGATAGATGGGTTTTGTACAGTTACACATTTGCATCTCATCATTTCTGTGCAGTCGTCTTCCTCTCAGACCCTCCAACCCTTGGCTAATATGGCCAGTCTCCTGTGTGCGATGGCAAAGAGCAAGATACACAGAGAAAGCTGGAAAGAGCTACGAGAGCAGTTACAGTAAACACTGTCCAGCCGCCAAGGTTGGAGTAGGGCATCCTGTGTCAATGGTCTGGCTGGTCGTCCGTATTCATCCCCCTGTAGTGCCGTTACAATCCTCAAGATGGTGTCCTTTCTTCTTCTGAGTCCTGCAAGTCCAGGACCCTTAGCAACACTGCTCAGCTTCAATGAAACCTTCTTTTTCGTGACCCCCAAGCTCAACCTCAGCGTAACTGGAGTGGCAACCCTGGTTGCGGAACTTCATAGAGGGCCAGTAGTTATTGGTGTGTCGCTACAAACAACAGACAGTAGTTGCTGAAGGCCAGGCATCAGAAAAACTTGAACTGTTGACTCTACAGAGTGTATGAAGCTGTGGTGTGTAGGTGGAGCCTGAGGTTCTTTTTCTCACCTGCATGAGGTAGAACGGTGGAGCAACTGTAGGGTGTGTGTTGATGTAGTAGACAGCCAGTAAGGTCAGAGCTACAAGCAGAACAAGGGCAGCCACCACACCTGCTATGATGGCCGTGTTCTCTGTTATCCCCTTATGCTTTGAAGAACCCGTCTGTAAATCTGAAAGGAAAGAAAACTGAGACTCTGGGTATTGTTAAAGCTGGTTGGCTGACCTTAGGGCCTTAATGAAAGTGAGTGCACTTATTATCTTGTTAATAATCCTTAAATGTACAGGAAAACTGTGCACACACACATCTATGGCAAGTAGGGTAGGTCAAAGGTGAACCAGGAAATATGTTGATAAACTGTGATAGATGTTTACATTGAATAGTTTGGGGTCATAATTATACTGTTTACCTTTGTATACTCTTTTGAATGAGGTTGACTAACCTGGATGTTTGTCTAGTTCTGATCTGTTCTGTTCCCCCTAGATCCTTGCTGCAGAGAAACTCACCGCTAGTGACAGGCTGGTCTTCGAGCACTGCTGAAGAAGGCGTTGGACCTGGGGAAGAGTGGTTGAAGGAGCTCATGGATCCCTCAGGTAGTATCGGGTTGTAGTCCTCGCATGTGCCTTTAGCCTGTGAGAACGCCAATATGAAGGACTCAAAAAACAATGAAATATAATCATCATAATTTATACATGGATAATGTGTCTCACCTCTTCAGGGCAGTTATAATCTAACCACTCTTGTCTATGCCGGTCAATACCGTCAGAACATCTGAAACACAGTGAGAACGTAATGAGAAGAGCCAGGCTCTCTACAGCTTCATTGCAAGATAAATCTTTAGAGCTTCCACCTACCGTTGAAGTGTGTTGCACCAGCCGCAGTCGGTTGTCAAGTTGGATGTTAGGCAGAGATCACAGGATGTGTGCTGAAGACAAGCTGGAGGAATGAGATACAGTGCTCTGGAGTTAGAGAGGTGAATGATGAAGCTAGGCTGTCATATGAAAGCCAGATAGTCATAATACTTACTGGGTAGAGGAGTGAACTCAAAAGCAGATCTGTTAACAATCTTTGTTGTGTCAATCTCCACACGATGATACTCGTAGATAGTGCGCCGCTTTGGATCTTCAAGACAATTATAAAATGTTGGTATGTTTGAGTTTTTGCCATATGGATTAAAAGCTACTCTGCTTTTACAGAATATTATGAAAAAAAGCATAAATTCCTAAAAAAAAAATCAGTCATTGACAAAAGAGAAACAAATTTCAACAATGGCTCAGCTCCATCTCAACGAGCCATGTCAGTGAGCCAGCACGCACAGTATCAGGACCTACTAGCTGGAACTAGCTCCTCTAAACAGAATGCAGTTGTTTTTTTTTATTGTTATCAATTGCACCTGTCTAAAGATGTTCAGGTGTCTATAGCTTCAACAGATTAAAAAGTACGAACCCCTTAATTAGTTAACAGTGAGCCATTCGCAGTACACATGTGTTGATGGTCTTATTTCTCTTCTTTTTACTTAGATTAAATAGATCATATTACCAAAACATATGAAAGTTTCTCTGTTTATAACAAAGTAAGGCCCGGTTTATGAGGCATATGCCAATGTCAATTTGAGGTTTTAAGTAATGTAATAACTTATACACCAAAATCCTAAAGCTTTGTTACAAAATTGGAAGTTTTTTATAATGAGAAATGCTTGTTTTTATAATGAAAAACGGGTGATATGTCATAATAACAAGAAATATATTGCATTATCAAAGAACAAGAAACAGTTTTTTTGGTCATCATGGCACCAATAGGCATCCAGAGATTTTGAAGTTAGTTTAAAATCTGACCTGAGAGCTGCGAGGGGGAGAGGAATGCCATGAAAGCATCAGACAGTCCCACTTTCACTGGATGCTCGGTGGAATTAATTTTCTCCACTGGCACAGGGATCTGAAAAAGAACGGCATTTTGTTTTAACGTGGCTAAACCTGATATACAATCAGAAGATTTGTTCTGTTTCCTCATAACAGTGACCGTACAGACGATAAGAAAACAGTGTAGCTGAACTCCATAACTTACATCTCTGTAGTTGAAAACAATGGTTCCATTTCTGTGGAGGGCTGCCTGGAAAGTAAAAGCTCCTTCAGCCTCTCTGTCCTTTAGCCGCACCTTGTCCCACTGCACCACGAATAGGTTACCTGAGCAGAGTGAGACGCAGAGGCCAGTCAGAGAAATCCAGGAGCTCCCAAACACTACAGGCGTCACTGAGAAGCTCCCATTTACCGTTGTCCGAGTACCTCACTGTTGAGTTTTTGGAGAAGCTGGGGTCAAAGTTGGCCATGAGGGGGGCAACGTACTGTGTGGCAGTCAGCATTCGATGAGTAATCTCCCCCATGAAGATGAACCCTGGGGGGGCCGGGTCAGAAACGCAGGTACATATGTTAAAAACGCTTCATTCAGAAAATTCCTACATTGTTTTTTACATACTCTTAAGGACGATTGCAGTACATGTTGCATGTTTGGACCCTTTGACTACAAGCAATATCTACTACGAATTTTTTCAAGATGCAGTTAAAAGCTCTGGAAAAAGCTAGTAAGTGGACCTTTAAGTTAAGTTTACATTGTCAAAGCAGGAAAAATACATAAAAAGTATAAAACTGTGAAGCAGTGAATGTTTTTATCCCCATTACAGGATATTCAATCAATGTTGAATCAACAAACAACTCAATCTTTTTACGATAAAAAATTTAGGACACGCACAGCAGGTCTTTAAGCAATTAAAACCATCAAAGAAATGAAGGCATGTATATTTAATTAGATATATTATGGCCTGGTATCCCTGAATATTTCCCCAGGGTACGACAGAGTCTCCTTCAGTGCATTGGTAGACGTTTGGTCTCCTGATTGGAAGAGCAAAGCAGATGAGATCAAGTAATGTAAAGTAAAACTCACCGCCAGTTGCTACGATAATTTGTCTCAAGTAGTGTCCATAAAAAGGGAAATCAAAAGAAAGTGCCACCCTCTGTGGAAAAGAAGAAATATCAGACATGTCTGGGTGTTAAATCCAAAGTGTGTGTGTGTGTGTATGTGTGTTTGTGTGTGTGTGTGTGTGCGCGCGTCTCACCGCTGCCTGTCGATGTGTATTGGACAGTATGCCATGGATTCGGACTTGGCTCTTGTGCAGCGTGTTCAAATCTACCCACAAGTCTTCAGTCTGTCTGTCAGTTGGACCAAAGCTCTGCCATGTGTAGTAGCTCTTGGTGTCCTCCTGAGAGAAAGAGGACACTCATTAGGAGAGCGAACTTGTCAGAACATGGTGAGATAGTTTAGAGTAGCTTTCTGAAATTCATTCATTTGCTTTATTAATAATATGACTATTTCACAATTCATATCATTGTCCTCTACAGTTCTTAAATTATTGTAGGTGCCAGTTAGGGCTGGAGAAATTAAACCCTAGGCCTGTATTGTACTTTTAGTCTTAAAGAATATATACTGTAGTAGATTTGTACTGAGAAAATACGTGGCAGAATAATCAATAATGAAACTAATTATCTGCACTTCTAAATTATATTTCATTCACATCACACTGATAGGACATAATTAATCTTTGTGAAGATTTTCTAACATATCTACACCCTCTTTTAACCTCTTTTTACAATAATTTGATCTCTTCTCTACACACCACTCTGCATATTTATGTTTGGAGAGGGATCAGCAGCAGCATCCTGAAATCTGTTGAATTGCATTAATAATGTCTTGACTGAAACATTCAATTTTCTTTTATTCAGACATTTTGTCATGACATGTGATGATGAACCAGAGAGGATCAGGGCTGATGTCACACGCAGACAGTTGTTCCCAGTTGGGTTAACGGCCCCCCCCATATGGAGTCGTGAGAGCCGTCAGGTAAGAAATACATTGGACTACACAAAATTCTTATGAAAATTATTCAAATGAGAAAGTAACTTGTGAGCATATCAATCAAAAGATCAAAAACATACAGGCTATCAAAAAGGTTATGAGAGGAAATTGCTTGGTGCTAAGGGTAAGCTGGGAACCACTGCACTGGGACATCTGAGGATTTCTCTCCTCTATTTCTGTCCATACAGTTCCACTTGGGGGAGCTGTTTACACATTACACACAGTGCTTTGACAACGAGGACCTGTGTCTTCCAACAGATATCTAGTCTTGATGGCATTATTAATGTATGCCACAGTTGAAGGTGACAGAGAGCAATGGTTCTGGGGTTTAGTGTGGGCTCAGAAAGTGGAGCAGTTAAATGCAGCGCTCTCAGTGCCTCTCCGGCTGCTCCATATACAGAAAGTGACCCACTTTTTTTCTCCCATCTCTACTGCCTGACAGCAGCCTGTGTTTTCGAGAGGGTGGGAGGGGTTTGGGATTTCTAGGTGAGGAGATGGGAACAATCATATACTATTTTCCCTCACAGCTGACTGATTTATTGAAGATATTCCGGTTGGACAAGAGATGGAGGGTCTCGGAAATTGGGATCAGACCTCCCAAAAAAGGCAACAGCAGCAGTACAACAGAGCTACTTGTGATCTTGTCCAAGTGAGTCATTCACGAGCACACACATGTGCACATACTAACGCACAGCCACGCTTAAACAAACACTGTAAGTTGGCAGGTTGAGGTTGTCGTCTGTTTTCAATTTGAATTGTAGGGAGAGGGAAAAAAAAGTACAACACAATTTATTTGGGTTGAATTTTACTGAGGCTGATTTAAGTGAAAGACGAGTCTGGGACATAAGACAAATAAAACCTCATTACACATACACACACGGACACACACACACACGGACACACACGGTCACACACACACACACACACACATACACACAGAGAACTAAAAGGTAATGAATGGAAAATGGCAAAGGATACGTCCAACTGGCAAACACCTAATAACAATGACCTCCACTCAAAGCTTCTTAACTTTGTGAGAATAAAGATTATAACCCCGCTTGACCTTTCAGCTCAGTATTATCACAACCCATTGTCAGGTTAAAGCTTAAACAATGTAATTTATGATAAACCAGATAAAAAAAAAATACTTTTTAGTTTCACTTCATTCATTTAGCTTGACATTTTGTTCATGTTGGCCAGTTTCTTGTTGGGAGATGGAAATGTTTTGTTTTTCCAAAAGTAAACAGCGAGTGACGTACCCGTCAGGCTGATGTTATTTTTAGTTGAAACAAAAGCTACGGCAGCAGTTGCTAGGAGCGGTTAACAAAATGTTTTTATGAAGAGCTAAGAGATACGACGTCTTAATGTCATATTTCCGCTGTAAATCAGTTTACAACAACCTGTTCTGTAGTTGTGACCTCATCGCCAGTCACTACTTTTGTTGCAGTTTTTCTCAGTCAGTTTTCAAGGCTGTGGCTAGTGTAAAGCCGCATTTCCACCGCAGGAACTCTCCCCAGGAACCTTTCGAGGAACTATGTGCGTTTCCACCGCAGGAACCACGGTCTAAATTTAGTTCCAAGGTAATTGATCGACCCCCAAAAAGGTACCTGGGCAGGGGGTAGTACTTTCCAAAGGCTCAGGAACTTTGGGGGGGTGTGGTCTGCGGTGCTGAACATTTCTGACTGGTCGAGTACTCACTGCATTTTATTTCATCCACGATGTTTAAAAGTCTGCGGCGAGCGAGCGAGCACTGACCAAGCAAACACATTTTCCACAGCACGAAACAGGTCCGGGTGAAGGTAAAAAAACTGAAACAGGACTTCAAAAAAATTGAAGGACCACAACAACCAGAGTGGCTAGGGGTTGCCACCCGTTACGTATAATACAAGATCGTCCCGTATTTGAAAATGAAATGCTGCGTCTTGTATTGAATGAATATGGGAGGCAATTTGTCCCGTATTTTTGTTCATGTTATGTCCTCAAAGAGCTGTGAATTTTGCATAATCTTCCTGGGACTTTAGGCCGCGGTGGAAACGCAGACAACAATGGGCCACAGGAACCTTTTAGTTCCTGAAGAAAAGTACCTGGAACTTGGTCTAAATGCGGCTTAACAGTCAATTGAGGTGCATGGTTCTACAGTAATACCGAACTGCAACACAAACTGGAGCCTCCCGCGAGCTTTGTTGCTGTCTAACTGCTCTATCTGAGATGCACTTGAATGAACCACTGTTGTGCTGTGGTGACCTGGCATTGTATGGTTGTTGTCTAGTGTCATAGAATAAAGCACCGGTATGGATTCATTCAGTTGCTGTCTCTTAGCTTTCCAAGCTAATGAAGTGTTCTGGGACTTCTGCTAACTACGTGTTGCTAGCTCCTTACATCAGCCCATGTTGCACTATGAAGCAAGCTCGTTACGTGTGTTAACAGCTCTGTGCTGCACTTACGTGGATTTGGGGAAGTTTACATTTCACCAACTCCAGCCAAACTTGTTACCCAAGTATTACATTTGCCAAACACATCCTCACACCCTTTTATCTTGTAAAAGTGAAACATACTGTCTGAAAATACAAACAAAGGTTCATTAATCTAACTATTGTGTTGATGTCCAAGTATGGTTTTTCTATAGTGAACAGTGAAAAGTGGTAGTGTTGGACTGAAGTAACATTTTTCTTTTTTCCAATTATACTAGGGCTAATTAGATACCATGAAATACAACAATATGTTGTTTTAATTCCATGTCTTCTACATGGTTCAACTGATGAGGATGCCAACGTTTTATCTCGGTCCTGCAGTAGATTTAGTCTCAGTCTGAGCCATGATATCATGTACAGAGGCTTCAGAAAGACCCTTTTACTTTTGCACACTTTACTGTGTTGTAGATTTCATCTTAAATTGATAAAATGGCATTTTATGCTCATCAATCTACACTCAATCAAAATTTCAGTCGGCAGTTGTCGGCTAGAAATGAGAAGCGTGCTTCTGAAATCAACCACCAGTTATTTAAATAACGACAATTTCAAGCGGTAAGTCTGCTGCCTTCATCATGGTAGACTGCATATGTGCTGTGCTAGAGCGCAAAGCTTGACAGATGTAGTAACAGTAAATAATGGAAGTGGGCTGTATGAATCTCACTAATATGCGGGTCATGTCGTCAGGCAGGGGGCTGATATCGACTCCTCCTCCTCCGCCTCCGCCTCCACCTTCGGCCTGTGTGTTGCTGGTTTCTTTGTGCTCGTGGGGGTGAAAACCGGATGGATCCCCATCTGTCCGCAGAGGAGTCCGGCTCAGCGCACCTAGAACAAGACAGGGATTGTGGTGACTGAGTAGTGTCAACACAGAGACATGCAGGAGCACTGACTCCATGAAAAAACAGATGTCTCTTGAACTCTGCAGGGACAAGAGGCTTTGTCTTGAAATCCATGTTTAGAGTTTTTGGATCAATAACTGAAAAATACAGGAGGAAAAAAAAACTCAACTCACAACACCAGGAAAAAAAAGAAAAGACTCATAAGTATGTTTTCTTTACATCTGTCATGCAGAAATAGAGCCATGATTTGTTTTTAATCTCTGCATTTTAAACTAATCATGTGTCACGTGTGTTTTGGCTCGTTATCAACTAATTGATTCATGATAAAACATTAGTGCGGGTTTTCATGTCATCTGCTCAACAGATCACAGATGGATGTTTATATTTTTTCACATTTCCCTTCAGGAACGTATTTCCTTTGTTTCTTTTTTTTTTTTTTTTTTCATTTTCACAGTAAATTGATCCATGACTCACTGCTCTGTGCACATTTATGGTCGGCAGAGTTACTATGTCAGCAGAACTGACCGGTTGTTCAGCAGAGCGAAGATCTCTGCTGTTTTCCTACTGAAGAACAAGTTAAGGGATTAAATCCAGTTTTTTCTGTCTGGATTTTTATGTGAGCTGTTAGTTCACTGAACTGATGTAACAGCATGTCATGAACATCTTGAGAGAGGGAAAGACAAGAGCCTGTCTGAGGTTCAGATCTCCCTCTCAACCTCTCACTTTTGAAATTGTGTTTATAACATATGACCAAAGATATGTAGACACCATGGATCCTGTTTATACTTTTTTTGTAGTTTTGGTCTGGAGCTGTAGTTTTTTTGCGTAAACGTTTTTGGCTTGCTCTGTTTGTTCCATTTACAAGGTAAATGCTAAATCATTCATTATAGTTTAGACAATAGTTTGCTTCCAGCTCTGACAGTTTTCCTCAGTTCCTCTCCTGTATCAACATGACAATGACCCCCCTGCACAGAGCCACGTCTGTAAAGAAATGGTTATCCCAGGTTGGTGTTGAGGAACTTGATGGACTTGCATGAAGCCCTGACCTCAAACCTCAGACCTCAAACCCCATCCAACATCTTTGAGACGAACTTGAACGCTGACTGAACCGGGCCTTATCACCCCACATCAGTGTTAGACTTCACTAATGCCCATGTGGCCGAGCGGGAGCGAATTCCTGCAGCCAGTTGTCTGAAATCTTGTGGAAACCCTGAACCAGAAGAGTTGATGCTGTTATAGCAGCAGATTGTTTTTGGAATGAGATTTTTAACAATCACATATGGCTGTAATGTTTAGGTGTCTGCATAATGTTGACCTACATGGTCAAAGTATGTGTTTTTCCCTCTGAATATTACCACAACCTACTGGATGTTGGGCATGTGGACTCTCTTAACCATTTGTTAGGTACAGCAGATTATGTAAATTAGCTGCTAATGAATAGTGCAACATTTTTGGAAACATGCTGATTTGCTTTCTTAGTAAGATGAGACGATCTATACCACTCTTGTGTTTGTTTTGAAAATGTCTACGCTACAGCCAGCACCCGGTTAGCTTAGCATAGACTTAAGACTGGAAATGAGGGAAAGTGCTAGCCTTGCTTTGTACAAAGGAAACAAAATCTGACTACCAACACCTGTAAAGCTCACAAGTTGACATTCTTTTCCCTTCTGCTGTAATATTCTGTATATTATACGATTTTATCATCATATACTGAGGTGCACACATTGCATAAAGATTTAATGAAGGGAATTTTCTATTGACAAGTGAAATACAATGACAGAGAGACAATGAAAAGACTTAAGAAATAAAATGGGACATGGGAAAGAAACAACAAGAGGTTATCTCACACACAGGGGAGATGGCTCTAATGAGGAATCTTGTTTGATTATGGTGCAGTGGAAGCTATTTCCACAGCACCAGAACAAGAGGCTCCTAATTGGGTCAGATTGGCAGCACTCATCACCATCATTACTAAACAGCTGAGGAGGCGTCAAACAGCAGGGGGAAGAGATGAGGAAGAGCAGTGAGGAGGAGGCAGATCAGAGACTGTGCATTCGTTATTACAGAATGAACATCAAGTCCTTGAGATGTGTAGATATCTAGTATATGATCCACCATCTCCACAAATTCAGATTTGAGCTTTTCAGACTCTCTAAGCATTGAACTTGTTTTCTTTCCTGGAACATCTCTAACCTTGTGTAACTGTCTGCATGTGGGCCTAGATGAACTTCCAACAAAACAGGCCTAAAAAGAGTTCAAGAGTGGGTTGGGTTTTACATAAGGACTTGAGTTAAGCTGACCTCAGTAGCGTTAGGTCTGGCAGACACATGTGTATGTGGAACCTGCACTGGGAATGTGCAAAGTGGTGCAGAAAAACATCCTGGTGGCTTTGAAACAGGGTCCAAAAAATCCAACAACTAAAATAACAGATGTGACAAATTTGCCAGTGAAGAGCAGATGGTTTAATTGTAAATATACACTCTGCTGCTGCTTATATTAGAATAAAATACACAGGAATGATACTGACAGTCCTCTAAATTTAGAATATTCCTGCTTACTGCCAGAATGGTGTCAATTTACATTGGTGCATCTGCAGAATGCCAGATTTCCTGCTGTTTAATCCATCATATCTTACAGTGGCAGGAGTGTTGACCCAGGTGTGAATGAAACCTCTAATCCTGCAGGTTTATGTTGTGTGGTTAGCAATTATATAATCAGCTATTTTGAGTCGATGGCACCTGGTGTCCACTGTATCTGCCTCCTCAGATGTGTCTGCATTGCAGCAACCACCTTGCAAATGTAGTGGGTGTTGGGAGTCACATCGAACTAGGACACGGCATTTTGAGCCTAATACAGTGTGCTGTGGATATTCAGATTGTGTTCATTCATGCCATCACCATCTCCCACGCAGCTATTTCTCATCCCCCTGATCTCTCGCTCTCTCTCTTTTTCTTTTAAATCTCTAGTAAAATTCAAGCTATTTATTATCGTTATTTACCCTTTCTTTAATCTGTTGCTGTCAACGACAGACATTTAAGAAACATATAAGGTAACATTTTTACTATCAGCAGACTAGACAGCAACTGAAGACAGACTAGACAGCAATCAAATCCACGTTCCTCAGCTGCGACAAAAGCTAAATGTTCTTTCAGTCTGTTCAGTTGGATGAAGTCCACTTATGAAAAATAAATTTCCCCTGAAAATAATCTTTTTCTGGGTAAATTCAAAACACTTTGAAGTTGAAGTGAAGGCGAGGATACATGTACTTGATTGTTGAGAGGAAAAGAGAATTATCAGCAGGCCCAGCAAAAGGGAGTAAAACACTCTTCGCTTCAGAGACAGATACAGTACGCTGAAGAGACCTTTATGTACCATCCAAACACAGCTGAGGAGAGAGGTGATTAAATCTCAGGATACAGAGTCTTGACCCTGTAGCAGTCCTGTTTTGTGTTGTGCTGTTTGATGAGGCACAGAGTTAGTATCAGGACAGGGATTAGCGAAGCACCTGCAGTTGTCTGGCAAAAGAATGATTGGTGGAAGAGTAATCACAGAGCAAGGTCACTTCAATGTGTGTCATCGCAGTTTAATACAGTGGTTTTTATTGTAGTTGGATTTTAAAAGGATGATCTGTGTTAAAACCAGCCTGGAGCTTATGGCGTGGGAGGAAGCCATTTGGCACCTTACGCTGAGAGGAACAGCAGTAACCATAACACACAATCACAAACACTGGCAGCTGGACTGATAAGGAGTCGAAAAGAAAAGGAAAAATGAGGCGTTTAGATAAATATGGATAAATGGATCTGATTCAGAGTTTATAAAATGTTTGATTTAAGTGATGAACTGTCGCAGAGTTGTTTTTTGTTTACATTTGGATCCGATTCTCTGTTTTTAGTGCAGATGACATGTAGATCAAGTTTGCAGATGGACTTGGTCAGATGTACTTTACTTTATGTTTTTTTTTTTTTTTCAGTGCTGCAGTATTTATAGTTTTCACTACAAGAGATTAGAAAGAAATGTACGGTAGCGCCTGATGAATCTGAATCTGAATCTCTTCAGTCAATATGCAGTTTAGTTTAAACTTTGAGACGCACTTTGAATTTAATTGAAAAAGTGCTTCAACTAATGATCATGAATCTGCCAGTTATTTTCTTGATTAATCGTTTGTCAAAAGCATCTGTCACAGTTTCCAAAAGCCCAAGGGGATGTCATGAGATTGCCTGCTTTGTATGACAAACAGTCCATAATTCAAAGATATTGAATTTACTAAGAACAAGAATAGCAGTAAATCCTCACAAATGACTGGAACTGGGAAATGTTTGGCATGACTTAAAACACACAAATAGCTAATGAGTATCAAAAAAGTTGTGATTATTTCTCTCTTTATCAACTAATCGACTAACTAATTGAAGCACATTTCATTATTTTTGTGTAATTTACCCAATGCCAACGCAAATAGTCCAGAGAGCAAAGATTTTTTGCCTGTGTGTGGTTTCTGTTGCGGGGTTCTTCTACTTCAGGTAGTGAAGAAGTAAGAGTTGACTGCAGACTTATGCTCCATTCAGCAAATGATAACACTTAAGATATTCTCTCAGTGGTAACCTAGAAAAAGTTTAACAGAAAATATTGGTGTTATGGGATTTTTTTTTTAGCTCATCTAGGTCATTTGTTGTTTGGAACCTCAGTCGCACCTTTTCTATTGATCAGCAGTCAGATTTAGAATCAAATTGCCTTGTATTGATGCCGTCTGGTTTGAAACGGTTCATATCTGCATATCTGAGACTGAAACCTGAGTTGATCAGTGTGAATCAAGTTGTCTCCTCCTAAACTTAGCTTCTTTTGACGACATCATCAACTTCTCAGATCTGTGTTGATGGCAGGCACATTGAATTGTGTTGTTGTAGCTTCATCGTCTGTCACTTGAAAACTGTTTAAATGGTCACTTGGCCAAACACCATATTATGTCTAATTTAAAGAGAAATTTCCCTAAATATAAATCAATATCAAATGACTCCAGCATTTTGTGATGGCTGAAGTCACATACAGCAATTTAAAGCCTTGAATCTCCTTCACTCTTTTGTTTCTTTTCATGTCAGAATGGATAATATTATAAATCTATGTAAGATTGAGACACATCTGCCTGTTAACACTGGTACGATCAGACATGCTGACTAAGCTCCCCATGGTGTATAGGTGTCTTGGTGCCCTGATGAACATTAGAGGTGACGCTCTGGGTGGGGAAAACAGTACTGGGGGAAAGATCCAACACCAAAAACACAGCAACACAGAAACAGAAACATGACACCTATTTATATAGAGGTATGCATTTTTGTTTTTATCATGTGCAACCTGTCTTTGCACATGAATGACACATGAATTAGTTATTCCCTCAGACAGATCCCATTTCCCCAAGGCACGGCCACACCAGCATTTATAACGGCTACATTTTGGACCGATATCTGTTGATTTCAATGGAAGCTCCATGATCAGTGGATTTTCTCAGAAAGGGTGAAGTAAATCTGCATGGAGCTGTTGCATAGAGATTATCTGCGGTGAGATTTGGATCTGAAATATGTGCTGTTGATCAAGAGCAGACACTCTTTTGACGGTGTTGACCTTTGAGGGAGTGGGAGCGGCCATGCAACCAATTTTATGTAACTCTGCTGCTCTGCAAAAGAGATTTGGCATGGTCCAGAGTCAGCTGTGAGATTGGGGTGGATGGCACGAATACATTCGCTTCAATCACAACATCACCGAGCTTCCAGGTCCACCTATTTAGCAGAGAGTTGTTCCACTTTCTGGTGTGTGAGTGAGCACTAAGATGAAGTTATCAGGCTGCGGGAAAAGGGTGCATAATAGGGAGGCCGCTGTACAGGGGTGAGGCTGACAACTTGAACCGAATCACTGGCTTTGGCAAATTTGAGTGGTGAAGATGAACATGGATGTTTTGCTGGACTTAAAGTTGCCTTATGTTGGGGGGGGGGATCTGTCGCTCTGGTGTGTGCACAGTTTGTCGGGTTGTCCTCTGCAGAGTGAGGCCCCTGATCAGAGGAACTGGGACCACAGGAGAGGCCAGAGAAACTGGAGCACCGCTGATTGTCGGAGGAGGAGAGGCAGCGGAAGAACGGGGGCTGGCTAAAAATAATGTATCTCCAAGGAGAACAAAAATACATTCATGCGCATACACATACATACAGACACACACACACACACACACACACACACACACACATACACACATACACACGGGATGACAGGAGTATACAGAATATATACAGGAGATGCACACAAGTATTTTGGGTGATAAAACAGTTTGAGATGAAATGAACCAACATAGTAAAGCAAGAAACTTCCCAGATTTAAGAATTCAACACTCAGCTGCTGCTCTCATTGACTTTTTCTACTTCTATAAAACTCCTGCTGGAATGAAAGCGTAAATAATCCCCAAAAATTACTGGTTAACCTCAAACATTTACTTTCTAAAATGCCGGATTTCCGATCACATGATCCATATTTCTCCAGCAAATGAACACCAGACACCTTTTTTTTTTTTTTTTTTTTTTAAAATCTGAAATACAGAGGTTTAGGAATAAAATCCTGACCTGCACACAGCCTTTCATGTGTTTCCTGTGACTGACAGAGAGAAATGTCAGGGGACCTGTTAGCTTCACTCACACATATGTGTACACAGAAAAAAAGAAAGTGTCCAAAAAAACATTTTTCAAGCATGCCTGGTGCCAGAAGTTGCAGCAAAGAATTCAGGTCAGATTTCTTTTAACCTTCACAGGATTCACTTCTGTGCAGCGCTTAAGTCTATTGTGAAGAAAGGCCGTCAAAATGGTCCTGACATTAGAGTGCATGTGAATACCTGTGTGTATTTGTTGCTTACCTTCATGCTCTTGAGCCCAGACTCTCCCCAGCTCAGCCTGGGAGAGACAGATCAGGAGAACAGCACAAAGCCCCATGTCCAGCCGACTCTTCTCCCTCCTTCCCCAACTCTTTATCACTCCTCTCCTTCTTCCTCTTCTTCTTCTGTTTATTATTTCCCCCCGTTTCCCCTCTCACTTTGCTGGAAGAACGGGGCTCCTCACTCCTCCACTCCCCCGCCTTTTGTCGCTCTCTCTTTGCCTCTGCTCTCCCACACAGCTGCTTTTTCTTCACCTCAGCTAAGGTTTGCTGCTTTTCTCCCTCCTCTGTCTTTCTCTCTTCTTCTGCTTTGTGTCCTTGTTTGGCCCTCACAGTCACTTCAAGGATGACTGGTCCATGGTAGGAAAAGACTTGACACACAGCCGAAGTGTTGCAGACAGAGAAGTTGTGTTTTCTCTTTGCTCTTCCTTTTGCTTCAGTCTCGTTATTTTCTACTCTTTGAAATAACTCCTCGCTCCCCCTTCTCCCATCTCCCTGTCTGTCTGACTGTCTGTCTCTCTCTCTCTTACTGTCTCTTTCCTTGTGTTTGTTTCTGTTTTGCTGTCTCTAACAGAGCTCTGGATTTTTATATGACTTCCCCAAAGAGGAAATATTTATGTATTTCACCATTTTTTTTCTTTCCTTTCAAACAAAAAAAAAAAAGGGGGAGTTGGAGTTGGGAGGAGCATGTCTCCCCCATGTGGAAGCATGTTGAACCAAAACAAATGTGATGGTTAAATGGTTGACATCTTTAGGACAGGCTTCCCTGCGGTTTGTTTGGCGAAATACAACATGGATTAAGGCAATTTGTGAGTTTTTCGTTTGTTTGCTGTTACATCTGAACACGGGTTTGCTTAAAAAAAAAAACATTTTCCCACAGTGAAGGATGATTAAGATAAAGTGGTATTTAGTGATTTATTGGTGATATTGTTGGGCTATGAAACGTTTTATTTCTTTCACATCTTAAAATGTTTTTCAGATTGTTCTGTCTGTCCCATCTATTTTTTTAAATTTATTTTTGTATTTAACAAACATATACACACCCTTCAACTTAAAAACATATATATATATATATATATATATATATGTGTGTGTGTGTGTGTACAAAAACAGAAAAGTCCAACTCCAAACCAACAGCACACAATGCAGTTTATAAGAATTATATTGAAATAGCAGATCACAAGAACAAAATATATACGGTATACATACAGAAATTATCCAGGTATCTGACAGGAAATAAATAAATGGCACATACAGATGAAACAATCAACCGTCGCTGTCTGGGGACAAATGAGTCGGAGTCTGTAGAAGACTTTTCCAGAGTCTTTGTACGGTTTATGATCAAGATCATGAGTTAGTTTCTCCAGCAGGAGATGATCTGTCTCTCCCATTTGAGATGATTTGTTCAGCAGGAGAAGCATCTAGGAACCAGCATTTGTTTGTTTAGAAGTAGAGCTGAAATGATCAGCTGGTTTGGTCGATCGACAGAAAATTAATCTGCAACAATTTTGATTACTTGTATAAGTCCTTTTTTTTTTTCATAGGAAGAACACAAACATTTTGCTGGATGCAATTTTTTTTTAAATGTGAATATTTGGTGCTTTGTCAGTCTTGATAGTAAACTGAATATCTTTGGGTTTGGACAAAATAAGACATTTAAAGAATTCACGTATGATGGTCGCTGTTTCTGCTTTTTTATGAACTGCTCTTATTCTAATGAAGACCACAACCAACAATGGGTTATTTTGTCTCTCGGTAGTTTCCAACTTCTCTGTCCTTTCTGTGGAACTGACCTTTACACCCATTTGTTCCTATACTGAAGACAAAAATGTTTTAAACTGGGCCACAGGTATATAGTTTAATTTTTTTAAATGGCTGACTAATTTTTTAAAACAGCTGGAAACTATTGTATTTAGCAAATGTTACTCAGACAGCGGTGAATAGTGCATCTGTTGGGGACTATTTTCAACTGCGGATTAATACACATATGATAATATAGTGGCTTGGATAGTATATGTGGGATTAACTCAAAATATACTCATGTTCATTGTAATGAAGGAACATTTTACCCAGTGCAACGGTATGATGCACTGATGTATTTCTAATCGTTTTAGGACAACAATGGAGCGCTGTGACACAGAGGAATGAGACAATGTTTGTTAGTCGACCAGTTCATTGTTTCTTTTGATCTTTTCATGGGATTTGTTGACAATGAGAAAAAAATAGCTTGATGCTGCTATGTTCATGATTGCGACTCTCTCAGTGGGATGGGATGATGAAATATCAGTAGGCGTATTAGTATTAAGACAAACATAGTTCTTGACACCAAGCAACTATGAATGAGCCGTGAGCACCCCTGGCGTTATTTTCCATACATGACATTCTCTCTAGGAGTTAATCCTGTATGCATGTTAACAGTAGGAGACAGGAGGACACTGCGTGATGCTTCATGGAGAAGAAACAGGTCCTGCAAATCTGTTGCAGATGATAAAATGTTGTGCTCACAGCCTCTCAATCTGTGCTTCACACTTAGATTCACTCAGTACCAGAATACATACAAAAAACAGGCCAAAGACAGATTTGTATAGCTGATGCTACCATGTGTTACATATAGAGTGGAACTTTCTTTATATGTTTAAGTAAAACTTGAAATGATCTTTTTCGAGCCTCTCTTTGCGTTTGCAGGTATTGTCTCTTCTTTCCTTCTCATGAGGTGCTGCACTTTATTACTATTAGGCCAAAAACTCTGGATTTTGGCAGTTTTGGCCTCATATTAACAACACAGATGTGAGACTCATATTCAGCAGACCGAGGTTTCGAGTTCAGAGTCAGACTAAACATGTATATTCAGTAGCAGTCTGACTTGAGTTTGTGTTAATCCTTTGGACAGTTATATAAAAACATGAATTTTCTGGTTCCATGAAATGTTTGGTGATGAAATAGAAAGTATTTACACAGCCTGACTATGCTAAATTATGGAAATCTGAAACCTGAATATAAAAATGTGTTGCTGAAAACATCACAAAATCCAATACAAATCAAATACCTTTATATATAACTGATTTTAAATGTCATTCGCAAGTTAGCCAACTTCTATTCAGAATGAAAGACAACATATCCGTGAATTTGTGACTCCATATTGTTAACCTGAATGAAAGAAACTTAATTTTAATTAGGAGGAAATATCTGATATCTTTTCCAAAAAGTTAAAGGCGCTTTAATTCAAGATTTAAAAGATTTAAAAGCTACAGACTCATTTCAGTACCACAGACTTGAGTTAAGGTCAACAGGATTCAGCCTGATGGTGGGAAAAAAAAAAATCTTCATTGTGATCGACTGATGGAGCTCATCTGTTCTGATTGGACATGATTCAAAGCTCACAATGACCATCCAGTGGGAATAATGCTGCCCAACGTGGTCCGTCTTATGATTCCTCATAAACTTAGATAATGTTTGTTTTTCCTACACTTAAATAAACAAACACAATGACTTCAGAGTGTGTGTGTGTGTGTGTGGGGGGGGGGGGCCTCAGCTGTTTTATGGGACCAGTAAGACGATAAATTTGTTCCAAAAGACTTTTTCACAGAGTATGTAGTTTGTCAATTGATTTGAGAATTTCATTAAAACTGCCATCGCTGATTTTGATAAAACGTCTCTCAGTTTTGCCAAATCTGCCAAATTTCAGCCAGAAGAATTATCTATGTATTTGTTATGCTCATTATTTATGAACTTTTCAAATTAGTTTTTTAATAACCAGGATGTTTCAGCATCATCAGTATCAGAATCTGACATTTCAATTCATCTGGGCCAGTTTCAAGGCCCCGCAGCCATTCTGTTTATACTACGCTGGGTGTCTAAATAGGCAGATGTGTTCCCACATGTGCAGGCGGTCTCTGCGCATAAACTGTGGGCTACACAATTTATGCCAGAAGCCACGATTTACATTGTGTGGACTCTAATAGATATGTGGATGGGGAAAGTGTAATTTAATCTTTAGAATCATTAAAAGTCCTTCTCCCAAAATACTTTAAATACTTTTCCCTCATATAAGCATCCAAATTAGACTACCATCTGCTCATATTTCTGAATGACATCTTGTTGTCATTAAGACGTGTGACAAATTAAAGGAAAAACCTGAATAAATGAATAGAGTAACATACTGTAAGAAACACTGTTCGGTGTTACCACAATCATCTAATGAGAAAATATCTTTCTGAATGAGTGCTGTTCATCTCTCCTCTAGTGTTCAAGATTTTATGCCAAGGATCACTGAAGTTGTGGAGGCTCATGGAGACCCAACATCTGACTCAGACAATTCAAGGGGTTTTTTGTTTTTTTCTTCTTCTTTTTTTCTTCCTTTAATTTGCTGCCCGTCTGTAGTTAGAACAGGCCCCTGATAAAGAGGTTTTGGGAAACAACAATAGAAGCCACACGAAGCCCATTACCAAAGCTGCCATTGCTGAGTCATCAGTGGCATTAGGATGTAATTCAGTCTGGCATTCATATGGTCAAATTGTATTAAAGAGAGGCGATACTAATTCTCTTGGAGGTTGACTGCCAAAAGGCTAAATAACAAACATGCAGGTCCAAATGAGAAGGCAAGAAAAGCAGATGAGGAGGGAAAAGTCCCTCATAACCCCCCAGAACAGTATGTTTTCTGCTCTGACACTTAATACTTCGAAAGTCATTTTCCTTGTCGGACATTCGTTTCGATTTTGAAATAATAATAATAATAATTGGAAGGGGCCTGATTTTTGTCTACTGGCCACCGGTGACCCTAACTCCACATTCTCATCTTGCCCTTTTCTTGTTTTCCCTTTTTGTTTTTTTTTTTGTTTTGTTTTTTTTAATCTGGCACAAAGGAGACACAGGGCTGTTTCCCATTACAGAGGGAGTCACACTCATCTGTCTTGCTCCAATTGGAAACAGATTATCGAGAACATTATTTAAGCCTTAACATAAATGCAGTTCAAACATCTGAGGCTAGAATAAAACACGGGTTTGGTTTATTTGAGGTTATTTTTAATGATGACGTGAATGTATTTATTTTGTCTGTTGACCCAAAACAAAGCAAGCTCTCTTATCATTCATTTTAAAGCAATAAGTCTTTGACAGAAAAGTGTCTTTGAAGGATTATTGCCACTGTGTTAAGATAGTCATAGAGAACAGATATGGAGTTCATTATGAGTCAGTGAGGCAGGTTTATAGGTAAGACCATTACTTGTAAAGATTTCCTTGGGAACTTTTGGGCTGGGGACACAGTTTACTTATTCAATACAAAAGAAAATCAATATCAGGACCTTTTTCTGTTGTGAGTCATCAGTGTTTTCTGTCTTAAAATGCAGCATCAAATGAGTTTTACCACAGAAAAAGCCTTTAAATCTCTAAAGCAGTAATGACTAATTTACAAAGAGCCACAATAAACATACTGTAGGTGGTGTTATTAACTTTATTATAAGCTCACATCTGTCTCACCAACTATAAAGATACCTCACTTTTGAGACAATACACAATTAATGTCTAGAGCAGACGTTAC